TCCTCCCCCTCCTCCTCCTCCCCCTCCTCCTCCGCCGCCGCCGATGCTAAATGGTAGTTTCCCTCCTCCCCCACCGCCGCCTCCGCCTCCACCACCACCTCCACCTTCTGCCCCTCTTTCTGGGATTGCGCCCCCTCCTGGCGCACCTCCGCCCCCACCTCCACCCAGTGCCTATAAAAGTCGCGCTCCCCGAGCTGTCAAGCCAGAAAAACGACTGAAGCCGTTCTTCTGGAACAAGTTGACAAGTCCCTCCTTGGCTTCTACAGTTTGGAATGACATTTCCGCCAACTTTGCATTCGACTTGGCCGACCTAGAAGCGACATTCGCAGTAGACAATTTGCCTTCGAGCACTTTGTTGTCGCCCTTGTCGTCTCCGAGAAAGCAGTCCGTCACCACTCTACTCGACATCACTCGAGCGAATAATGTCGGTATGTGCTCTCACGGATGTCAGTGAGTTCGCACATTGAGTATCACTCAGCGATCATGCTGTCCCGCATCAAACTCGAGTTACCTGAGATCAGTGCTGCCCTTTTAGCAATAGATGATCAAAAGCTGTCTATCGATCAACTTAAGGCTATCAGCAGACAATTGCCTACGGCTGAGGAGGTTAGTATTGCCATGATTTACTGATTGAGGGACCTTCATGACTTGCAAGGGTAGATCACACACCTGAAAGACTTCGACGATGTCAGCAAGTTGACGAAGGCGGACCAGTTCTTCCATCAGGTTGGTCCCCCCATGATGATTCTCAACCAGGGATCTTACATTGCCACTGCAGATCATGACTATTCCGAGGTTGTCAGAACGACTCCAGTGCATGTTGTACCGCCGAAAGCTCGATCTCGAGATTGAAGAGACCAGGCCCGAATTGAATATCGTTCGAAATGCCTCGTACGAGTTGCGCTCGTCGCCTAGGTTCAAGAAGGTCTTGCAGGTTGGCCTGTCGGTTGGCGCATGGTTCTACCCACTAATTTCTGTTCGCTGCTGCAGGCCGTATTAGCTGTGGGTAATGCCCTCAATGGGTCCACTTTCAGAGGTGGAGCTCGAGGATTTCAACTTGACGCATTGACGAAGGTAACCTAGAAGCTGAAATTTGGGAGATCGGTACTGACGCACAGCAGCTGAGAGAGACCAAGACCGCGAAGGGAGGGCCTGACTGCCCCACACTATTGCATTACCTCGCGAAAGTGCTGCTCCGAAGTGATCCAGCTCTAGTCACGTTTATTGAAGATATGCCCCATGTAGAGGCGGCAGCACGGGGTGCGTCAAACCTGCTACATTCTATTCCACAATAGAAGTTGATCTTTGACGGTCAGTTTCCGTTCAAACAATAACCGCGTCTGTCCATGGAATGGTGGATGGCCTAAAGCGAGTCTCAGAGGAACTCACGATCCTCCAGAAGACACGGCTTCCCGCGGGGGATAATTTTATCATGGTGATGCAGGTACGGACTATTGCGGTTTCGATTGCTCAATGACTCAAGCATTTACCACCAATGTGTTTGATGTAGCCATTTGTCAAACAAACGAGTGCTAGCGTGGACGCCTTGAAGAACATGGCTAACGCCCTGGAGAATGAGCTGCGATCACTACTTTTATTCTACGGAGAGAATCCAGATTCGCCTGATGCACCGAAACCAGAAGACTTCTTCGGCTTGGTCCTGAGCTTCTCATCGTCCATTCAGGTACATTATGTCTTAGTCTCAACCTCTGCCCGCTGACGTCCGTGCAGAAAGCCGCTTTGGAGGTACACGATACGGAGGAGAAGCGCGTGCCTCCATCCTCTACACTCAGCATCCCGGAGGAGCCATCTACTGGACCATCTGTTGGCCGCGGTGATCTGGACCAAGCCATCCGGAGCATGCGTAAGGGCCAGCGCAGGACTCGTACTCTGAACAGGCCTTTGAGCAAGATCTTCGTCGATGGCGCGCGGACTAGTCGCATCTATGAATAATAATCTCGTGCATCTAACTGTTATCATTTGTTTTAGCCTGTGCTGGATCTTCACCTTTGTATCTATCGTATGTATGGATTTTATGTAACCCGCTCAATATCAAACACGTAATGATACACTTCCAACATTTGACCGGACATAGTTCCTTGTTTATTTGTTCAAAGGAGACACCAGGTCACAACGAGCCACACAATCCAGGAACATCTCGAAGAAGCCGGGGACCTATGATGTGGCATCTTCAGTTCCCTGTGGTCTGGGTCAATTGCTATTGTACTTACATCAAGTGCTTCTGCAACCAGACAATTCTTTCCCGAAGAGCCCCAGGTATCGTCGCACGACCGGTAGTTGTACATGTCTACGACCGTCTCGCCGACCGTGAGTGCTCCGGTGAGCTCGATATCTACTCTGTACCGCCTAACCTTAAACAGCTCCGGGTGTGCGACGTATGCGATGGTCAATGCGTCATGAAGCGGGGGTCCATCCATGAATCCAAAGGTCGATTTATAGGCATCGGCGAAGTATGTCACGAGTGTGGAGAGCATGTATCGCAGCTTCGTGGACGCAGCAGGAAGATCATCGAAGGTAGTTGTTGGGGTTACTGGGGAGAGTAGCCGCTTGTAGATGGCGTGATTTAATATCGCGGTATGCGTAACATTGAGAGGGATCATAGTTTTCTTGACCGGAGCATCGAGTACGATCTGCGCTGCCTCAGCTGAAACGACAAGGTGAGGACGGACTGACAAGGCTCAAAATTAGACTCCTACGATCACAGAGAATGTTGAATTCTGCTGGTGCATCAGAAACATACCCACCATTTGTGTGCAAGGCTCCTGCTTACCAGCAGAGGACGAGCGATTGCCGATCCCTACGCCTCCGCCCATAAACACGAACTCATCTATCATGAATGAGCGATGGTGTTCAGTGAGTATGTGTGCGGAGGATTATCTCACCTATACCGTGAAGTAGGTTCGGATACAAACTGACAAATAGGGCAATGTTCGTCATTGGACCGGATGATACGAGGGTGACCTTATCGCCGTCACCGTTCTTCCATGTCCTACGAATGGCGTCTGAGATCGCTTTGAGGGCCCTAGCAGGCTCATCTGATGGCTCCAGTCGCGCCTGCACACTTGGTATATCTGCGGGAGGGAGTCCTACAACTCCGCCAAGGCCATCGATCCCGTGGATCTCGGGATCATGTCGAGCAAGACGGATGAGTGGCTTTGATGCTCCTGGAAATACATGTATGTTCTCTGGCGCACCAAAGGCATAGAGACAGCGCGCTGCATTTTTGTTTGTGTCTTCCCAGGCGGCGTTGCCGTGTACCTATCCGTTCGTTATCCTCGGCCTGAGGTGTATTATGTGTGTTCGAACACACCGTAGAAATACCAAGCAATTGCACATTGATGGTATGCACGGCGAGCATTATGGCGGTGGCATCATCGTGACCCTTTATATACAAAGTTAGAGGAAAACATGTAAGAGCTCTTCAGGTAACTCACAGGATCGCAATCAAGCCAAACGTACCTCGTTTGTGCGGCCATTAGTAGTCAATACGGCCTCAGCCACAGCTCGGGCTTGGTTAAGGCTCTTATCTAGAGATTTAAAACAAAACGTGGCATCAACATTCAAGTAGGATTCAATCTTTCCACGTACTCGATTGTTGGTCAAATGCAGGCGGTGTCTTGGCCTGATTGGGCTTCGATCTCGATCAAGTACTCATTGATCTCGATTTCCAGTTTCCACGTGCTAAACAAGATCACCGATGCTTATGTCAGCATTTTTTGGCTCCTTGCTGCCTACTCGTGTGCTTCACTCCCTGGGACCGTCGGCACCGGACCAGTCATGGAACATCACTCCCGCTTCTCCCAGTTCAACAGCAGGCAACCAAAAGTAGGCCCTATTGCCAACTCCTCGCGGTTTATGGAATCCCAAACAAGAGTGGTCGATCCTCTCGAAAACTTCAAGAAACGGCCGACACCGTCCAGAAAGCCCTCGGCTTCGACGTCGAGTCTGTACATATCCAGACCTATTGCTACAAATTCAAGGGTCAAGCAAGGTATGCCTCCAATGTCTTGTATGCATTTCCTTACATCCTCACGCAAGTTCACCATCTCGTGAAGATGAACAGTACAGGAAGGACATGCACCTTGCATTCGTAAACAACGCTCTGCAACAGAAGGCTAATGTGAGTGCTGTGTGGATACTCCAACTTCTCTCCCACATACCAGGACAGGGCATCAGCGACGCATTCGATGAGCTGCTAGACCAGTTCAACCTCAAGAAACCCTCAGATGGACCATTACCCACCGCTCAGCTACGCCTATGGATCCTTGCTCTATCCCACGTTGTTTCTCGCCTCGAGCGGTGTCACTCTTCTCTAGTAGAGGCCGTTATCAACACACCATGGACAACGATGGACACGGTTTTCGTCAAGTCTTATATCTCATTCATCGGAATGCTCATCAGCGCAAGACCGGAGTATCTATTTCTCGTCCTTGGGAAGATTTCACATGGGTTTACTTACCGTGCGTCGCGACCGCTCGTCTTCTCTGCAGTTAGGTTAATAAACTCGATGCAGAATCGGGCTTGCAAGCATTGGACTTAGAGCTGCCTTCGAGCTCATCGAGTCCCCTGACGCGACGGGTTGTCTATGACCGGCTTCACTACCTCCTACAACATCTCCTTTCTCTTGTTCCCACACTGCCTTCGACACTCCACCCGCTACTTGTTCGCAATTTCCCTCACAAGCGACAAAGTCAGGCAGCGCAAGTAACCTATATACGAAATATTCTCAGGATCACCGAGTACTGCCCTGAACTTTCAGAAGGCATTCTTGCAACGATTATAGACCGTGCTATTCAGATCGATGTAAGTGCATCCTTCCACCCACAACTGTAGCGGTCAGAAGGTTCTCATGAGGCCCGCGGTAGGTCGAGATCCAAGTGGAGCTGGAAGAATTGGAGGAGCACTCAGCCAGTCAAGATCAGGAGGTCTTCGACATTGATCCGTTTGACACGGTCGTCGGCCAGGAGGGGGACGAATCGGACTCTGACGACGAGGGCGATGATGAAGGGGACAATTTCAGTGACCTATCTTCGGACGCAGATGGCGAGGTGGCCGATGATGACATTCCACCACAGGATGTCCCCACTAATTTCCAGCACGTGCAAAGCATGGTCGACAAGCTGGATTCCATCCTCAAGAATGTGTTTGACTATTTCAATCGTTCTCAGGTAAATACTACCTCTGTCCCGGTAACATTACCGGGGACACCGTCCTCCCGTTCAGATTCGGGGTCATCAACACCAGACATCATACGACCGCCATCACCAACCATACTCGAGGACGGGAAGATGCTCCGGCGGCAGCAATTCCACGCGCTCCTCTCCATCTTCGATCGCACAATCCTCCGCACCTTCAAATCGCGCTATACACAGTTCCTTGTCTTTTGGTACTCCTCCCTCGATCCCGAGTTCAGCGACCTCTTTCAGGGCATGCTGGTCTCCAAATCGCTGCTTGAAGAGGATCAGCCGGCCGTGACTCGCGCTGCGGCGGCAAGCTACATCGCGAGCTTTGTCAGTCGCGCGCAATTCGTCGACCGTGAAAGCACGCGCAGGGTCGTCGCGTGCCTCTGCAATTTCTTGCGCAACCGTCTGGACATCCTCGACGCCGTGACAAATGCGGGTGCCACCCCACCGAGCATGGCGCATCATAGCGTGTTCTATGCCGTCGCCCAAGCGGTGTTCTTGATTTTCTGCTTCCGGTGGCGGGATCTACTGGAAGATCAGGATGACGTGGATGAGTTTGCCGCCGCGGCCGCGCCTGCTAAGAAGTGGATGGTCGAGCTGCAGATCCTGCAGCGAGTGGTCACGTCGGAACTTAATCCACTCAAGGTGCGTACAGTGTACATTTATCTCTGTCTGCCATCTCATCATGCTAGTAGATTTGTTCTGCTAATGTCGTCATGCAATTCGCTCGGGTCGCGCAAGCGACGGATTTCATCTACTGTTACTCGATCATGGAGTCGAATAGGCGTTCGGAATACGCGCCGAAGCCGCCGACGCCCAGTGGGAGCCGCGGCCCCGCCATGCAAGTGAGCATGAGCCAGCGAGGGCCGATGCCTCACCCGGCGCTGCATCCAGCGCTCCTAGGGCAGTCTATGCACTCAGAACTCAACGCGTTCTTCCCATTCGATCCATACAGGCTTCCGCGGTCGGGCTCATATATCCAAGCGGTGTATCGCGAGTGGTCGTCTGTCGCAATTGATGACGACGAGGACGAAGACGAGGACGAGGAACAAGAAGACGAGGGTGAAGAGGACGACGTCGATAAGGGCACTGGAAGGTCCCAGATACCGGCGCAGAGGATCATCGTGAATGGAGTGCGAAAAGAGGGTGAACAGGACGATGCCGACGGGCTTGGTGAGTCGTTTGGCGGGATGAGCATCAGTCCGCGACTGGCAAGTGCGATGAGTGTGTCGGTTTCGTAGTCCACAGCCCTTTTGTCTGGTCTTCTCACTGGTTTCGTGGCATCGATACCGTGTTTTGTCTTCAATTCATGCATGGGATAGCAAAGATACTATATGGCATGGTGCGTCGAACGGGGCATGAGCACCTAGACGAAGAATACGAGGCAACATAACGCTCATGGGTGTTTGGTGCTCGACTTGCTCTCAGTGCATCCCAGTGGACATACGCCAGATATAAGATGGCTTCACTGTCTTAGTCTTCCTGAATATTTGCTAACTCCAGTGTGATCGGGTACGAGCCCAGGGGCTATTCAAACTGCAACTGCTAAATATTCTTGTTATCATGTAGGGAAAAGAGAATCATTCTCTATCTACCCTTACTAACGAACGGAACGTCTGGCTCAATGCAGCGGCATGATAACGGCCATGGGTCCGGGCGCTTTACTCCGCCTCAGATGTTGACTTGGCGGGCTACTGACCCGGTTCACTGATCCAGTACATGTCAGCAGAACACAACGACGATAGCCTACCACCAGTCCAAAAGACGCCTTTGTGCCACAGATACCCGTGAAGCAGATCTGCCCTCCCTAGATCACTGACAGTATGAATGTCTGGATAACGTGTTCCACCAAGCGCCATCGGGATAACACAGATAAAGTGAATACCCATGAATGACATACTTACTCAAGCTACAAGGTTTCTCATCTCTCAGCGACGTCGACCACGTTTCCCGCTACTAGATGATCCATCAGTGGGTATCTGCTCGAACGCTTTGGTCGCCTTCAGATCCCACTCCCTTGGATCATGAATACTAAGAAGAAAATGATTGGCCAAACGAATGACAAACGGGACCATTAGTCAGGGACTATACGTTAGTGCTGCGCTAGCAATGGGGGCTAGAAAGATCTGATCACATCCGGCGACAGATGATGATTTACGCCGTGATCCCTGCCTTCTTCATCTGCTCCTCACACCAATCCCACAACTTCGTGCCCAGCGCAGGATCATCGGCCTGTGGTGAAAACAATATTTTCCTGATCAACGGGAGCGGACAACACAAACATCCCACATACCTCGCTGCGGAGGGCGTGGCCCCTCCTTGCCCAAGGGAAGAAGTACCGACCCGAGTCCTCCTTGGTGACCTCCGGCGACGTGCACGCGTACAGCTGGGTCAGGACGCCGTACGAGACGGGATACTTCAGCTTCGCGACGAGGGTCTGTCGTACTCTCAGCGTTACTGCTTGCAAGTCCGCGAAATTCGGGCACCACTTACGTTCGGCGAGAGTAGAGAGCCTTTTTGGTGCGCCCACAGGCCGGTGTCGATGTTCCCTGGGCTGACAGCGGCAGATATGACGCCTGTGTACAAGGAACGATCAGTATGCGCTTGCCGTGAGCGCGCGCGTCTCCACCTACCCTGGTCAGTGTATCGACGCGCGAGCTCTCGCGCGTAGACAAGATCGCCAAGCTTTGACTGCGCGTATCGCAGGTAGTTAGATCCTTTGGACAGGTCGTCAAATCTGATGCCGCCCTGTCACAAGCGCGGTCAGGGTGAACACGATTGTTCTCACACAATGTCAGGACATACTGATGGACACCATCCATGTGCCAGGGAGGATACATTGACTACGCGAACTGTGCCGTCTGGCGAATCTCTCGTGGTTTTGAGCAGCGTTGGCAATAGTAAACGCGTTAGTACGAAAGGCCCCAGTACTATCAAACTGGTCAGAATGCAGCTGAAGTTTGAAGAATGGAAGCTTACCGTTTGTAGCGAACTGGGGATCAATGCCCATGGGGCCCTTCGTGTCTTCTGGAGGCATCATAATGCCGGCATTATTCAGTAGAATGTCAAGTCTGGTTTCCTTGCTACAGGCGCGTTCAATTTGGGCCAAGCTGTTCCTAAGGAACGTGATGTGTACCTGGTAAACTCATCCACGGCGCGCTTCAGGCTCTGCAAGTCGTCCAGGCTCAATACCAGCAGCACGGCCTCGCCACTAGAATTCTGCAACTTTGCCAACTCGTCATTGATTTTCTGTACGGCTGCAGTGCCTTTCTCCTGCGAGCGGGCGGTCGCATACACTTTTGCTCCATGGGAAGCAAGAATGCGCGCAGACTCAAAGCCCAGACCTGTGTTGGCACCTGTACACGTACTGAGCGTTACGGTGGTGTATCAATTTTCTGATGGTGCTCACCGGTTACTATTGCAACCTTCCCAGTGAGGTCGGGAATTTCCTCGACCGACCACTGCCAGGTGTGTTAGGACAATCATCTCCCAGGACATGGTGACTTACCGTAGGCTTCGGAGGAAAGTTCTCCTTGTAGAGAAGCGCAAGCCTGGAGGGCAAGCAGAGGGCGAGGGGGAAGTGTACATTGACCATTGTGTAGTTTGATGATGTTCAGAAAGGTGGGGAGCGATGGGAAAGGGGATCGACGGACATTCGTTTATATAGTACCCATCGAACCCACCGACAGCCGGCAATCTGCACCCTTGACTGCGGTTCCAGCGGCGAGAAACTAGCTTGCAAAATCGCGACGTGCAGTATGACCGAACGTCTTGGCCGATAGCCGATGGCGCTTTCATAGCCTCAGATCACTGTCTCGATTGTGGTCCTATGCGGACTCGGCGGGTGCCTAGCCAATGCCTTGAGTCTCGCCGCGGCAAATAGAAGCGTAGAGTCTCTATAATCTTTTCTGCCTTCTATTTCGGGGGGTCATCTGAGCCTTGCAAGAAGGCATCTCGTCCGCTATGGCCTAAAGTTTAAGTTGACAACGTGCGTCGTGCTGATTCAGCTAGGGGACGCGTCCAACATACGAAATAGCGAGTAGCACCGAGTTCACCCGGTACTCCGACTCGGTTTCAAGCACGACCGCCGACCGCCACGGAGTCGGTGGTGAGCACGTCAATGCCGCAGGCGTATACACAACTCTTCAGCCCCACACATCGTCCCGACGTGTCGCAGTCTGCAAACAGGGACTTAACTCGGTGTTCCCGAGTCGGATGACCGGTGGCTCTATCAGTGTTCCGATAAAATCGGCTTCCGTTGAAATATTGAAGAGCCGGTTGTATGAACAAGCAGGACCCCTGATAATCCCCTCAGAGCTCCGATCCCGGGAAGACTACTAAGTCACTGTTCCAAAGCTCTACGTAGGCAGAAAAGTAACTGAGATCACATTTTCTGTCTCGTTCTCAATCACTCAAATTAACAACATCCTTGCCGCTTTTATCAAGCTCTGCAAGAGCCCATATGCGTCTCGCAGTGGCCCGCTTCGCCAGTCTGACAACAAGATCCTTTTCTGGGGAACAACATTGCTGATAGCGCTGCAGAAGCACGTCGCTCGGCATGAACAACTCGAGTCGGAGGATCATACCTCGCTCCAGGGGAATTGTCAGGGGTCCTAGTCTGCCCGGTTTCAGTTTGAGTGAGGGACCCCGACGACCTGTCGTGGATCTCCCGATACATCGTAGGTCATGTTGTTGGTCCATAAGACTCGGAGCGATACAGGGAACAACCACTTCATGGTATTTATTTCCTGTTCTTCCAGCTTCAGCGACTGGCTGATGGCTGATTTCTTATGCCTGTAGCGGCTGTGTCGTTTTGAGGCCAGAGTGTCTTTGTAGTCTTGAAGGCAGAGAATCAAGGGGCGGGATGCCACTGGCACTTCCAAGGGTCGAGAGACCCGGAGCCCGGATTTTGAGTGGCCCGCCGCGCTTTCACATCCGATCAATGGATTATCCAAAAGACATCTCTACGTTTATCATTTGTAAGCACAGTTTTCATTGCTTGAAACTTGTAATTTATAATGCAGGTTACCATATGATATATCAGACATGAAACTTATTCATATAGTGCCATGCGAGTGGGACTCGGCAGGGCGTTCGACCATAAATACCGGCTGGAAACTGCCCGGGGATACTTGGATCACCTCCAAGAGAATGATATCCTGCAGCTCAATGTTTCCATTCCCGAGCTGCCACTCAGGCGTGCTACATGGTAAGAGTGACATGAACTAATCTCTCGCCGGATGAGAGGTCAATATACTGAACATGTGCGCAGAGAGCGTACCTGAATAACGCGACACATTTCGCGAGCAATCATGACGGCAGATTTGGCAATGGTCATGGGCCTGGGGACTCTACTTGCACTCGTTATACCGACCTGGCGTGTGTACTGCATGTCGTAGCCAGGCCACTGACCCATTTCTTATCAGCATCATCCGACGCAGAGTCGATAGTGGCAGCCGATGACATACCCCCAGTCTGAACGATGCCTTTGTGCCAGGAAAGTCATTGAATGTGGTTGATTGGGCATCAACGAGATTACATGCTATGTCTGTCTCCAGTAGCATGTGAAGCCTTATCCCAGGCTGCTGGCTCTCCTGGAGGTGATATTGGACAAGGACCTGAGGTATGAAACCCGTCTGGTTCGAGGTGTTGGTGTAAGGCGTCTGAGGAACATGTAAAAGCACCATTGTGAAGATTTCAGACAAGGACCTCCGCTGCGGCTGTGGAGAATGGGGACGCCGCCACTTATATCTTTCTGGGGTGGGCTGTGTCCTAGTATATCGTATTTTCTCTCGAAGCAGGTGTAACGAAACGCGAGTGTGCATCGCAGGCCCTAGCACTGCGGCCAAGCTACCAGTATCTGTATCCTTGGGCGGTTCTTGAGGAGATTGATGCTAGCTATGTCACCCAGGCGCCTCTGAGCGAGGAAAGAGGAAGGAAGGAAAGTATATACTGGTATGGGTCCCAATCAGGAGCGCCGGAGTTCCGTACCCACATATATGTGTGGTTACACTGGTCACTGCCTTACCGGAGCACCGCCAATCCTGCTACTGATAACTACCGAGCACGTCCGTGCCGTCGCCCGGCAACCCCACAAGGCTCCCGGCCCCAGGGCAGACCGATGGTTGAAACCTGTGCAGGAAAGCCCAGTGGAAACAAACCTGCCACAGGAGGCAGGCCGCCCCCCTGCAACCGACGGAACTCCCCACCGACCAGGGTCTACCAGATTCACAGGCCGCGCCAGTCACCTTACGCACTCGGCGCGCGGGCGTCATGGCCCAGCGTCGAAAGAATCATACCCTCTGATAACACAGCTGGTGATGATGGCACCTGCATTGAACGGGCATCAACACAGGCTACAGCACGGCCAACTGCAGGCACCTCTCAACGAAGCAACTGCGGGCATATTCATTCCACCTTCTGAACCACAGCCCATACGGTGCGATAATTGTCACACTCACAATGCCAGGTGTACTGGAATAGGAATTCAAGCGGACACACAGGCTTGGAATGGGGCGCCCGAGCACTGATGAAAATCCAGGTATGTACCCGCTGCCTGCGCATGCGGTAGCAAATGTGACGCCTATCGTTGTGGGTTCCGCCACCGGCAGCCCCGTCAGTTGGCTCCTCCAGGGGCTGTCCTGATTCCACCTCGATATCGCCGGTATCATTAGGAGTAGAGGGTGATGTGGCGTTTGACTTGATGCCGAGTCTGCTCAAGGTATCTTCCGACGGGCGCACTCTACAGTCATCTTGGTCCGTCTTGAGCCATGAATCCACGCTCCGCTACCGTAGAGTGCCCCAAGGCAGCAGTGACACTGATCATGATTACAAGATCATGATTACAAGAAAGGAACACTTTCCATTTCACCAGTAGCAAGGAAATCCTCGTCAAATGCCTGTTCCGCAGCCGCTTCTTCCTTTGCTCCATCGTACTCATAGCCTCCTTCTCCCACGTTGTCATCCACTCCGAACTCGGGATCGTCATCAGAGGCAGAGCCATCGGACCCGGGAAGCGAGCCGGGCATGCTCTCACGCCGTCTTCGCCTCCAGCGTTTCTGCTTCTCGAGGTCTCCGTCGTCATCTTCGTCCTCCGACCCCGAGTCGATGAACGTCGGCGTGCTCGAGCGCGGACTGCTGATGGGCGACGTGGACTGAGCGAATCCTGCAAGCGTGCTGCTGAGCCTCTCGAAGGACGACATCTGCCGTAAATGCGACTCGTTCTGGCGCTCCTGATTCCGGCTATCCTTGTTGCCGCCTTCCGTCGCGGGAGGTGGCAATGCGAACTGCTTCATATTGTTCGCTTGTCTGCTCCCACCTAGACTGAAGTGCCTCAGACGCGCTAACGCGCTCTGAGTGGATGTGTCGGATCGAGCACTCAGAGCCGGCGACGGTGGTGACAGATCTGGGAGAGGGAACTCCTGCATTGGAGGTTTCCAGTAGTTGAAATCTGTGTACTCGGGCGCCCATTTCCGATTAATGGGAGGGAACATTTGATCCACAAGATCCGTCATGTGAATGTACCTAGCCATGCTGGGTCACGACCATGATATAACCAAATATTGGACTACGCACGAAGATTTGTACCCAGCCAGCTCCAACAACTCCATCTTGACTTCTCCAGACGAGTCAATAGTAAATATCCGCGAGCTGGGGACATTGACGCTGCGATAGGACAGAGCATCCGTGATGCGATTTCCAAAGCCCGCATAGAACGGATTCTTCGCGGTATGACCGAATAGTTTCTGGATGTCTCTCAGTGCAGCCATCTTGAAGACCTCAGGTTTTCGCATGATGACTTCGCTACCAGATGATGAACGGGTCATGTTCCATTGCTTCAAGGAAGTATTTTCAACTTACCGGTGTAGCGATGCCATCAAACGATCAGGGCTCATGATGACAGGACCCTCTGGTAACTGGTAGTCATTTTGCTTGACACCCTTTAGATAGTCGCGCGTGATGTCAGCTTGTCCAATGGCCCGTGATGTGAGGTACAGCATTTTGTAGCCGTTGCGACATATGTCCGTATACAGTTTTGCCACACCAAGATGTGTCCAGTCACGTCCGATCATGGTGAAGACGTGTCCTAATGCATCCGACCTTTGGTCGACGTGTCAGTGTGACAGGAATGATGTGTATCGAACTCTCGCTCACTTGGTAATTGTGCCGTCTATATCAGAGATCACAATCTGGTCAGTGTGATCCCATACAAAGAGCCTCGCTGTGCAGGCCACGACACCAGTTGCTGATAGCGAGAAAGTGATGCTGTTCGCGCCTGGCTTCAGGTTGAGCGATTTCTGGGAAGAAGACGTCAACAAATGCCAATGATGAATTGGGTTCAACGCATACCAATTGGTCTGATGTCAGACGCAGTGTCTTTGCAAATCTCTTCCTGCTTGGCTTCCCGCCCACTGTCATCTTCTCTTCCTGAGGGGGCGTACCTATTGGCGGGAATGCGGGCTGTACAGGCGCAGAAGCGACTGACGCTGACCGCTTCGCGAGCTTCAACCCTGGCTCTACAGCCGTCGCGCTCCGTTGCTACAGCGCATTCGTTACAACGAGGATCTTTCTATAGACCACGTAGCAAACAGAACGCACCACAGTAGACGGTGCCGTATTCATGGGCCTCAAATCTGGCCGCTGCGCTGTTTCTGCTCGCCGACTGCGACCCCACCACCTAACCCATGATGATGAATACGGCGAAGCCGTACTCCGTGTATCAGAATCGCGGCCTACGACCGTGCTCCCTGACATATCAGACGACGGGCGGGGCGAATGCCTGCGATCGCCTTCTGTGGACGGCAATTCCTCTTCTATGTCCTTGAGCCGCGACCGTCGATCGCCGAGGTACCCTGGTGATGGCGAGCGTGAGGGTGTGGGTGAGCTAGCGAGCTTGCCTCGAAGAGCTGCATCACGCCAGAGTAACAGGGCGTCCATAAGCGGCGAGCCATCCTTGCGCGTAATATACCTGCCGTGGAAACCGTGAAATGGGCTCGAACGGTCTCGGCAGGATGCAACTCACATTCCTCCGGACCATCGCAGCACCAAGTCCTCGTCGTTCACTATCCGCTCGTCCTCCAAGAACTGGTCGAACTCAACCTTGCCGTGTTCGAACCGCTGAGCGTCGACGACCTCGTCTTCTCCGCCTAATGGCCCCTCCCCACCATAGCTTCCCTCCGCGCGGCCGGCACCGGGAACTACGCTCAACTGGAAACCCACCACGCGCCGCTCAATCGATACCTTGAAGCGCGTAGGGTCCCTACGGTCGAAGCCCAGCCGCCCACCCGCGCCGAATCTCGCATCCTCACCCTCATCGCCCTCGTACGACACGGGCGACTCCATCATGCCAGCATCGCTCTCCACGTTCGTATCGATATCCAACTCCCGCATCCGCTCTTTGCCCTTCCGCCCGGCACCGAAGCCCGTCTCGAACATCGTCCGTACCGGAGTGCGCTGCGGAAAGCTACCCCACTCCCACATGTATTCGTCACCTTCTGGCATACGCAGCGCGGGCGGCCCAACCTGCGCCTTGACCGCCTGCATGCGTGACGTCGACGGTGAACGCGAAGGCGGCGTCGTTGGTGGTGTATAGGTGGGCAATGTTGGTGTCATGCCTGTCGTCCACTCGGGTGGAGGCTCGGAGGTCGCGCGCATGGTAGGGAAGGGAACGGGGGACGAAGATATCGATGGTGAAGGGCTTCCTGGTTCGAGCTTCAGTGGGAATTTAGTGAGCATCAAGGTACAGACTCACGAGATGGGCCGGGCGTGCTGGGTGGGCTAGGAAATTGGGAGCTCGAAGAGAGCCCTGGGTCTTTGTGAGTGATTGTTTCACCTGAGCGGCTGCGTCGATGCGAGTGGTATCCTTCCATGTCAAATACCATGTCATCGCTGTAGACAACTTCCGGCCCTTGCACGTCTCCCGTCTCCGGCAACACCTCGTCGCCTTTCTCAGACGACCGCAGGCCCGATTGCTGTGCGGCGTTGCGCGCAGATACGGCCTTATCCCTCAAGAAGCGCTCTTCATCCTTCTCGACTTCTAAAATCGCTTCCTTGGCCGACTTATCCTTCAGCTTGTCCTTTTCTGCCTTGCCAGTCTCGGTAGCGGCGCCCAAGACAGCCTTTCCAAGTTCTGCTGTGCGTGACAGTAACGAAGGCTGTGGGCTACCGTCATCTTGCAATGCACCCTGCGGTGGCTTAAGGCTGGGCTGCTCAGGTCCGGGCGAGGCAGACGCATTCAGGTCGAGGAACTCCGGTTCTTGAGACGTGGCTGTTTCGCCCTCACCTTCCTGCCTGTCTGCTGAATCCTCCTTTGCCCCAAACCTGCCCGCACGCTGCATATCGGCATTGCTCTGTCCGGGCTGCGTTGCAGCAAGAAGTGGGCTAGTAACAAGGTCGTCGGGGATGTCGTCGTCCGTCTCAAAGACGAAGAAGGCTTCGCCCGCCTCTCCTATCTTCATGGGGAATGGGACGGGGATTCCGTTGACGAAGACATTGACCTGATCGCGCCTCCATTGAGTGGTCGCCAGAGCAGTAGTCGAGTGCATACCTTCTTATCCCCCGGCCTGAGCACTTGCCATTTACCAAACCTAACGTGAAATGGCGAGCATACAAGCTCCGTCTCGCCGTCTTGCTGTACATCGCTTGTGGTATCTGAGTTTGAGTCCTGCTGCTTGGGCCGATTGACTACAATGACGTCTATAGCGCCTGTTAGAGTAGATGGGTTCAGGTCCTTGTAGTACTGATATGGGGCACTGATTGCGCTGACTGCTCCGCGCAGATAGTTCATGGATCGTGGTCAACGTAGCCGATGTTCGCGAGCGCCGTGAGTGTGGGCGCAGTTGAAGAGGTGCAGCACCCCAGTCCGCGCACGCAGCTCATTTCGAGGCTCTGGGGAACCGCGCACGTGGCTCGCGTTTGCACATGATTCTCCACCCAGCCGCGCCATGACATACAGCATGACATGCCCGGCCCACAATAGCTCAATTACTCGGACGATATTCACGGTCAACCAACTCGAGGGAATGCGAAGTGACATCGAGCAGTTGTTTGGAGTAGAATGATCATACAAACGAACAAATTGAAAGCCGTATGGGCGGGATCGCACCAGTGAACACCGCAAACCTTGGGTTTGGTCGACTCCAGCCGTCAAAACACAGCAACTCACAGGAAGAAGTAAATGCGCAAACCGTATCATCAAATGGCATCGGATGCTGCAAGATGACCATGGCCTTACACCCACAGCACTCATCACTCCTCCTTGAAAGGTTGGGAGCGGGACAGACACAACGCATCGCTACGCTGAGTAGAGTGCAATAGGAGGCATCCGATTAAACAGTACACAAACACAGAGTCTATCAATGATGGCCTTTCGCATGGTCGTAGTTGAATTTCTCGTGCTCGAAAATGGGACCCAATGGAGGCTAGAGAGCATCCAATGTCAGAACTTAACAGTATCCCGACATTAAGAAATACGAAACACACCGGCACATTGCGTTCCCTGATCGCGGAGGAGGCGCGACGTTAGCATTAGCGATGTTATAACGATCCAGACGCACCATTTTGTCCCGTCGACGGCCTCGGCAGCTGGAGAAGCCATCATACGTCAATTTCGTTTGGGCACGCCCGAACAAATACTCACGCCGGTAAGGGTCTGGGTGCTGCCTCTCCGCAAGATCAGCCTCCGCCTTCTCGAGGATAATGGCAAGTTCTCTTGGATCGTGCACATTCCTGTAACAGGCAGTGACATTAAGGCGGCATTACATTCTCATTAGCACCTTCCGCCATCCACAGGAGCACCAAAGTAGCACGCACCGGTTCCTCTCGAACTCAGCCCGTATAGCAATGGCCCTGCCCCTCCAGATGTCCCGCCTGGCAACCCAGTTCAGCTCATTGTTTAAGTATCTCCGGTAAAGCGACTGCACATAGCGCCGATGCGCTACAGTGAATGGTGAGGGTGCGGACATCGCTGGCGTTGCGGTCGACGTCGCGGGCAACGAGCGCGCATAGCGCGCCGAGCCCTGCATTCTCAGCACGTGATCGAAACGCGTCGGGTCAGGTCGCGTCGGGTTCGAATCCCTGAAGCCGTGCTACATCTCCCAAATATGAATGTTATTTATGATCAAAATGTCACATTCAATGAATGCTATTCAAAATGCCCATATTCCTTCGTCCTCAAGCACAATCAGCACATCAGACATTCTAATAATATGTAACTCAACTCCGTATGTAACGACGCTCCAAACGCAAAGCAAGTTGCAGTGTCGGGAACCAGAAGGATATGTCATACTTGTTGCATGAGTACGGCTGCTCTTTCTATTTTACATTCTCGACCGCCACATATAAGGTCTCTTAGGGAGTGATGTGTCAGCCGACGACTGGCCTGTCATTTTGGTTGTCCAGCCGCGGTCGCAACGATTGTAAATAACGGCGTCTGTTTTATCTGGCCCAGCTCTTGCGTGCGACGTGTAAAGACGTGGGCGACTTGTGATGGTAAATAGCAGTCTCTGACTAGTCGGCCAAGTTGTCTAAGTGATTGAGATGACTGGTCGACAATGACACATTAACGGGTCTCTAGCAAGAAGTTGAAATCATTTGCAAGTTGGCTCCAAGCCCGAATTGTGAGCGCAGAGATACCGACATGTGATAATACGAGTAGACGCGAGAAGGCGATTACGTCACCTGTCTTGAAGCTGACAAAGGAACTCGACGTATTGCCACGCAGGGGCCATTTCGTCGTGATATTTTGGCTCTGGACATGATGGTGGCTCTCTGGTCTGGTGAGAACGGTTATACATCAAAAACCAGATCTTTGATCGATCAGTCGATCGCCACCAGAGGAAAGAACGGTAACATCCTCCCCACGTACGTTCATGTGTATAGGCCATGCGTTAAATCTAGACGAGTAAAGTCTCAACTCCTCTCTCGGCCCTCACATTCTCTGCCTTCTGGCCATTCGACATCAAGCTATCGTCTCATTCGAAGAACGATATAACTTGAATTGTGATGCGAAGTGATTAGGGGCTGCCGTGATTGACAGGAGCATACGCGTATGGCAGCCGAAGCATATTCGTAAGCACTTGAGAGATACAGATTGCGACATTATCGGAGCTCACGAACACTACCCAGATGTAACTGTGCTCTGCATTCTCATTTGATAATGAAGATGAACTTGGCTGCATTGTGAGGACAGTGCTATCCATGCGGTCCTCTTTCGCTCGTCCACCCAGAGGGGATTACCCGTGTTCACGAAGGGCATCTCGCAGGATGCCGGACGCGCAGGCGGGGTTGAACGTTGACGGAGGAACACGTGGGGCTAACGAAGGCCTGCGGGGCATACTGCGCGATCTGCCGGCCGGACGTGCGGGGGCCAGACAGCTGATTTGTAATCCTCATTTATCTCTCGCAGCAGATATTCGCTTTATAAAGCACGAGTTACCTTGCCTGCACATCCACTCCTGTCTCTCCCTCTAGCTCAGACCTTACCTGCAAACTTGCCTCAAATCCGAAATGGCACCTGTGAAGAATGGACGTGTTCTATTCAATGAGGTCCCCACAGGTCACCCCGTTCCCGGACGGACGACGGTGTACGATGACTCGCAGACGATCGACCCAGACACTGTCCCGTTGAACGGCGGTTTCCTTGTCAAGACGCTCGTCATTTCCATTGATCCTTACATTCGCGGAAAGATGAGCTGGTTGGTACGTTTTACAAATATCAATTTAATTTATTGGCCTAAGCCGCAACCTCCTAGTACGTCATAGGACAGCCGTGAGTATCATTCTGTACAACTTGCCCCGACGACGACCCTGTAGACCATTGTTTAGTCTACGGATAGAGTAAACCTTTGGCATGCATTCGGCTCAAGTGATGCCTGTAGCTCCTGCCCTTATTCCACAGCTCTTTGTCGAGACATCGACTGTTCTATTGGTTCAAAGCGTCGTCATGACATCATAGGCAATGTGGCCGTGTTTCACGGGCGGGAGAGCTAACCCCGGACTGATCGTCGATCAAAAAAGGGTTCGATGCTCCAAACGCGTCACGATCTACACAGCGCTGCATCCAATGGAGTTCAAACTGCAGGCTCACATCCAAGCGTAGCCGTTCCGCAGTCTGCCATTTTATAGATCGTCTCGCACGATGTCTCCAGCGTGCATACCACTGAGTTGCTGACGCACATCCTCACAGCATCTCGAACTATGGCGTCGGTGTCGTCCTGCGTTCCGAAGACCCTGCCTTTAAGCCCGGCGATCACGTCTACTCGGGCGACTTCCGTGCGCTTCTAATCCCCGTGCATACAGTTAATCGTGTTAACATGTGGGAATCGTGTAGTCTGCCAGGAATATATCGTTGTCAATAGCGCCAGCAAATTCCGAGTCCTGGAGAATAAGGAGAAGCTGCCGTGGTCCGTCTACGTCGGCGTATGTGGTATGCCTGGTATGTAGTCGCCAGAGCACTGGATCGATGTTATGGGCTAATTCTCACATACAAAAACAGGCCAGACGGCGCACCACGCGTGGAGGGAATTTGCACACGCACCAAAGGGCAAGGTCGCCTTCGTTAGTTCCGGCGCGGGTTCGTGATCCCCTCCTGTCCAATGTTTCGAATGGCCTATCAGTGTGCATGTCCAGGTCCAGTAGGAGCGACGGTCATCCAGCTCGCTAAGCAGGACGGCCTCAAGGTGATCGCCTCCGCCGGTTCTGATGAAAAGGTCGAATTTATGAAGTCAATTGGCGCGGATGTAGCATTCAACTACAAGAAGGAAAAGACGGTCGACGTGCTCCAGCGCGAGGGTCCAATTAACATGTGCGTCCTTGGCGTTTGTTATGATCCACACCGAGAGGTTGACGTTGGCGCCTATAGCTACTGGGACAACGTCGGCGGGGAGACCTTTGAAGCGGCGCTAAACGCGGCCGCAACGGGCGCGCGCTTCATCGAATGCGGCATGATATCTGGCTACAACGGGGAGGCGCCGTACCTCGTGAAGAACCTCATGCTCATCGTGGTCAAGGAGCTCCAGGTCTCGGGCTTCGTCATAACGTCACTGCATGCGAAGCACCTTGAGGATTTCTACCGCGATATCCCGCCGGCGGTTGCGCGCGGGGAGATTAAATATCTTGAGGAACGCCGGTTCGGGCTAGAGCACATTGGCGAGGCGCTCTTGGATACTCTGACAGGCCGCATCAAAGGGAAGGGTGTGATTGTGGTTGCACAGGAGTGAATAGGGTTTTGCCACACGATCACGTGCTGTACTTTTACTTCGATGCAGGAAGGACCTGAAGAGGATTTGTATTGATGCTCTTGTGTACAACATCCCATACGGATGCATTGCTTTCAGTCTTGTAATTCTTGATTATTGAGACTTTGACATTAGTCTCGGAACATGGGTAGCGCTAGTCTCGCCTCCCGGCTGAGAGAATATCTGAGACCCACAACATACTATATAAAGAGTCGAACCGCTCGTTAGTATATGCATGCCAACAACTTAAAGTAATGCGTAATGAAAACATTCGAGATGTGACTTGCGGAACTCATCGCTGCTCATGGACTCGCCTGGTCGACAACGGGCGTGTGACTGGCGAGGCGAGTCTTATCGTTTTCATACTACGAGCGTGCGGAGACACAGAGATGAAGGGTGTAGAAGCATGCACGAGCGAAGATAAGAAGGAAAATAAGCAAGTTGTCTGGCAGATCTCGTTGTCTCTGCCATGTGATCGAGTGATCGATCAGAGATCTCGCTCTCAATGATGCACTGTCCCTTTTCGGATGCCGACCATTCTTGCAGCCACCACCATGTCCAACGGTAAAGACGACGACGAAATACCTACTCCACAACGCCCTCCATCCCCACCGCTACACACCACATTCACTGTTCGCGGCATTCATGTACGAACCATACGCTCGGTCTAGACGAGTAATATCTCAACTCCTTTCCAGGCCCCCACATTCTCGGCCTTCCGGCCACGCGACATCAAGATATCGTCGCCACATTCCATGACCCATGTGGCCTGGAGCTGTGATGGAAAGCGGCTAGGAGCTACCGGGATTGACAAGTCCATACGCGTGTGGCAGCCCGAGCACAGCGTGAGCATCTGAAGGATCCAGAGCGCGGCATGGTCGGAGCTGACGGCAGTCTTCCAGTTGGAATTGCGTTCCGCCACCTCATACAATACCCACACAGATGACTTGGACTATTTTGCCTGGAACCCCACTCATGCGGACCTCTTTTGCTCATCCAGCCAGAGGGATAGAAGGATCGTCTTCTGGGATGCACGACGTGCGTTTGAGAGTCCACGATCGAGCCGCAAGCTTCTTAACTCCCCACGGACCACTGCACAGAGAGCAAACCTACCCATACAATAAACCTCAAGTACACCCCGGTACAGCTCGTCTACTCGCCAGACGCTAGCACGATCCTCTCAGTCTCCTCGCTCTACAAGTTGTTTATCCTTACATACGGCAAAGATGGCGAAGATTCTCCAGAGCAGTGGCGCGTACGCCCATCACCCGAACCTTTAGTAAGTGTCATCGTGTAGGCGCTCATTCCGTGCTCACATCAAGGTTTGACATGCCACAGCTACCCATCACCACTGTGCTATTCAATCATACTGGCGACGCCTTCATTACCGCACACACTGCTGATGCGAACCTCCGTGCTATCAGATATCCATCCATAACGTCCGCTACATCTTTTGCTGCGCATGTTGGCGGCTGTATCGCCACCGCGTTCGACCCACGTGGCCAGTAAGCGTTAATGTGCCGTTTCTGCAATGTCAGGTCGATTTAATCATCTGCCTTGCAGATACCTTGCGTCAGGTGGGCATGACTCGATTGTCAACCTGTTCGATACCTCGGATTGGATTTGCACGCGCACGATCACTGCCTGCGAGTACGTAGAACTGCACTCTTGCCTCCAATATGGGTATAATCAATCAAATGTATGCTGACGTCTCACGCCCTACTCCCCTGCAGCAACTCGATTCATGCGCTGAGCTTCTCGCACGACGGCGAATTCATCGCTATCGCTAACTCGGGGGCATATATCGATATAGTGCGTGTCACTGTTCTTGTTTGCCCTTTCACCTCGCCTCATCCACTCATCGCTGTAACTCGCTGTACAATAGTGTGCCACAGAAACTGGCATGCCAATGCATCGCATTCCCGCACCTGGTCCTGCGCAGGCCGTATCATGGCACCCCTCGCAACCCTTGGTTGCTTACTGCGGGCAGACGAAGTCTAAGGAAGGTGGCCCCGCGCCTCTTGCGTATGTCAGTGTATTTGGCCCGGGAATATAGTCTCGCATGCTGTATGATCGGAACCAGCCTCCTCAAAAATAACGCCGCTGCACAGTAAACCTGACTACCAGGTCGGGGAGCATTTTGTGTATTCATTATATACCACACCGCGCCCACCGAGGTGCTGCCTCAAACGCCGCAATGTATATCGCGATTACTGGCCCTGAGTATTGTGCACGGAGCTTTACACAGCTAGCGGCGTATACATTTATGTGCAGGGAATGGTATTATCAATGGACTAGGGCTCGACGTTGTACTATCTACGCGGTTTACATTTATAGTGAGTGCGTAGATCGAACAGGTTGAGATCCATCGTAGCCCGCCTTGATGAACGGCGTCATCGGTCTGTACAGTCATTGGTCTCGGTATTATCAGGCGATCCCGAAGTTGACACACTAGTCAGCCGCAACACTTAATAGTGACTGCGGCGAGTAGGCATCTGGGTGAAGTCTCCAAGAGAAATAACATGGCGAGGCGATTAATCTAAAAGTTTTAGGCGACGGCGGTACACACCACGTTGATCAGCACAGGTGATACAAAACCTCAAGCAGTCTTTCAAGTTCTCGGCTAAATGACTGTACAATTTTAGATTCCAACCACCCGTGTATCTGTCCGACATCATAAGTAAATAAGACGACAACTATGCAAGGAGAGCACGTAGATAAAAATAGCAAAAATGTAACAAGTACGAATGCGTAATAGTGCCATCACAGCAAAATCAGAGTCGACTAATGTCCGGTTGCTACAGCCACATATCATTGCACATCCTATCAGTAGCAATGAATAGTCTGCAGGAATAACGCGTCGTCTCCGGTGAAGTACGAGGTGTAACCTGCCAAATAAAAATGCCACTCCGTCAGCTTCTGAGAACATCGCATGGGAGTCTATACTCACGGTTAGCCGTCTCGTACTCTTTTACATTGGCGACCAGCCACTCGTGCAGCTCGTGCAAATGGCCCATGGGCACGCGAGGGAGCAAGTGATGCAAAAGATGGTAGTTGTCGTCGTGTGGCTGCAGGAACTTCTGCAGCAACCTGCAGCACGGGCTCGTCCGCGTGAACTCGAGGATCGTGGTGGACGGCAGCCCAGAGTGGTCGATGATCTCGCGGAGAACGTAGATCGCGTAGGTGATGGTGCAGCGCGCGCCGTGCCAGAGAGCCAGGAAGCGCCATCCGAAGGGGACGGGCGAGAACGACAGCTGCGGTTCGAAGAACCCGGCGAGCAGGGCGACAGCAGTCCACCATCCGATGAGCAAGCCGGGAGCCTCGAAGAACGAGCCGACTGCATTATAGTAAAATAGGACAGGGTCGAGCAAATCATATAAGAACAGAGATGGGATGGTCTTGTGGTCGAAGCGACCGTTCTAGAACGAAGGGAAAATCAGAGACCGAGACAGCGTCGAGGGACATGACACATACCCTATAGTGCTTGAGGCTTGTCTCGTTGTGAAGGCCGTGATCGGGGTCGTCCTTTGTGCCCAGGTAATGGTGGTGAGCCGTGTGTGCCTTGCGTTGCAAACGCACGGTGCTCATGTGGGCAGGTGCTAAAAATAAGTCGCCGACAACGTCGTTGAGGATCTGTTTGGAGTATTGTCAGCTTCGGGGTAATCCCCGGCCAGTCGGGATGACGTACCCGTCGCTTGAACAAATTGTAGTGATTACAGTCGTGCGCTAAGTTCGAGATACCGCGTTGAGACCAGGCCATGAGGAGGAGGGCGAACGTAAAGGTCCAGGCATTAGGACGCCAAACATATGCCTGCCAGCCAATGATCGCTGCCAACCAATCCCCAAAGATCTGACTGCAAATGGGGTGCGTTAGTGGACGTGGTATGCAAATGCAGACATGAACGTACCTGACAGCGAGAGTAGTCGTCGGTCGTTCGTACTTCGCGAGAAGCTCACGTGGGATCTTTTGTCTAAAATCCCGAAGCTGCTCGAGCACAGAGACATGTTCCGGGGGAACGATGGACTCCGAGACGGAATCATTTTCAGTGGAGGTGATAGTGACGGTGGTGGACATAGAGAAAATACAGACGAGATGAAGAGGCGATAGTAGTGAGCTGAAGTACAGAAGGGGCAAGCAGAGAAGTGAGGATACGCAAAACACTTGGGAGCTTTTATATGCCTGGACGCACATTCGTGAGTCTTGTTACGCCGTGACCACTGCTGCCTTTTTTCGCAACTTCCGAGCGGAGGGACGTCAGGCGGCGCCGAGCTGCGCCCCGACCTCTCGTCGTCGCGAACGCACGTTCTAGTTACGCGTAAGCAAACTCATCAAATAGAGTGATTGAAACAAATGCGGGACGCGGCTCACCTAAGCCGTGCCGGCAAGACGGATGCATTCTGCAAGCATTCTGTTTCTGCTATGCATCATCATCATAATTTTGAATTTCGCAGCATGGAAAAATGCACAGGAATTTGATCTAGCGATCATATTTAGGTACATCCCACCTCACCATTTGTAGATCGCAAGCTATGGGTATCTTGCGGTACTTGTCGAGAAGCCGTTCAAGCGAAGATGCATCCGCAACTGAGCATCACGCCCAAGGTACCGGAAGCTTCCAAGAGCGCATCCGCGTTTGACAGCCTCTCAGATTGAAGCTGTGCACCCCACCGGTAAACCTCCTCCTTCACAGGGTCTTCGACGTTAATCTCGTCCGCCCAGGGTGTAAACGCGTATGAGCTTCTCCAAATCACACGCTTGGCATAGGTACTTCACCACTGCCTCTGATCAGTTGCGGCACGTCGCGACACAACACGCGAGCATGATGTGAGATGAGCCGGGCCGGGACCTACCAGCTTTTGAGTAGGTCAGACGGCATGCTCGAATCCTTGCAAATCCGGCTATGCGACATTGGGCGCTCGCTTATGTCCGCCTGCAATGCATTAATAACCGCGACATTTCAAATTATAGGGTCACCTTCGTCGGAACCGCAATATACGCTCTCGGCTGCGCTGCGTGGGAGATTCCTCTGCAATGCAGCGAATCGCCAACCTAGCCATGGTGGGATGCCCCTACATCAAGTTGCGACTTGCCCAACGGCACAATGTTGTTCATCGCCACATCTGGAGTGGCCTATGTTGGACGACCACCGGGCATCATCTGAATCAGCCCGCGACCCCAGAATGGTGGTTACACATGCGGCTGCAGGGGTGCGACACGCGGGGATTCATGCCGCTAAAGTATGTTGTGAGTACGCGTGTGAATCGGTGTAGCAACCAGGAACTTCATCACGCACGAAGAGACTCGGCAGGGTTGTGTAAGGTCCCCCAAAAGCTTGCAGGCCAAGCATTGCTGATCAACGCCATTCGTTCACACACTGGATTCGCGTTCGCTAGAGGGGGTACCTGTGCGAGCTGGCTATGCCGATCTCGTGACTGAACACTACTTGAGTAAGCATCTCGTGAATTGGGAGCAGCCGTCGACGCCGAGGATGAGTGTTACATGGCTACTTCGAACGATGTACGACGAAATGCAAGAAGAGGCTCGGATCTTCTCAAGGATGGATGATTGGTCCTGTCACGGAATCTAACCGCGAATCCAGATAATGTGCAGTGCCCGGATCAATGGAGTTTCCATATTAAGGACAACGCACCGCCCATTTCGCATAAGTAACATTCCATCAAAGCATCAAATGGGTGATGGCCGGCACAGGAGCATTCCAGGCGCCCTGCGTAGTCTTCCCCCTTCATCGGCCGCACCCAACCCTTCGTCTGCAATGGCCACAGCGGACCTTTGGAAGACGCGCACGCGCCGCGCGTTGAGCGCAGCACCGTCAAGACTATACCGCGCTGCTCCAGCTGTTTTACTCGGCATACTGTTGAACACACTCGATGCTGGTGAGCTGTTACGCGCACCAGCTAGGCCTTCAAGCTCTCATCGCCGCTCTCCATAGTCTCTACAGGACTTCTGGTATTCCCCACTGCCGAACAGGGGTCCGCATTCTCCGGTTTGCAAGTTCAAGGGATGTCTTTGTACTTGACAAGGTTTGTCTTACTTTATCCTATACATTGTACTATTGGGAGCACCAGATAAGTAGCATCGCACAACTTCGCTGATGTTTACTGTTCTTGCCATTGTGCGGCAATCCAGTAATCATCGGAGGAGAATATACTATATTATTTGCCATCTTGCAGGGTCTGTCCTCTTTGCATGGCTCAAATCGCGCAATGAGTCATCCGCTCATCCTGGCAGTCACTTCGGTTTGCATTAGAGACATTGCGTTGCGCTTGGTACCTAGCGACTTCCTTTCGTTTATATTCAGAGAACGAGGCTCTAGGTCTTTCACAAGCGTGCACGGTGTTCCAGCCAAGCGAATGGACAAGCGCGCTATATGCGGGCTTCTTTGCCTGCTTCCTTTTGCGCCTCCGTCGATCAACTTCACAGTTTGATGGATTCCAGCGCTGCGAAATGGCAGCAATGTGATCTGGATCACTTTCCTAGTCTGATAGGATTGTGGGTCCATCAGGCGCACATAGAGCAAGTATGCTTCAGGACCGTTTCCGACACAAATGTACTTCATGCTAATTGGAGTGCCTCAAATGCTACGGCTGCGCTGTGATTATGGAATTGTATTCACTGACTATTCCCGCCGCTATCATCGCGATGCTCCTTTATGTATCTTTACTAACTACTTGGACGGTAGTACCATCACTTCACAGCTTGCCATGACTCTCGGCGGGTCGCTGTTCCCGGGGGCGCTTGGCTCGATGCTTATCGAGATCCTCCCGTTCCTGCGCGGCATCGCCAGCTCCATTCAGCAGAAGCTTGGGGACGATAGTCCTTCCCTCATCCCCACTGTCATGGCTGCATACGCAATGACCAGCTTTCTCACCGGCTTTGTATTCATTGCATTGGGTGCACTTGGCTGCGGTAGACTGGTAAGTCGCTTATATCTATAAAATCGAGATCTTGATCTTGATCATTTGCGTTGATGTAGGTCGAGTACTTCCCGAGGACTGTTTTAACGGGAACAATTGGTGAACTCGACATATCCACATTTCTGCAGCGACCGAGCTAATGCCATCTCCACGCACAGGCGCCATCGGACTATCGCTTTTTCTGCTTGGATTAGAGCTCACTTTGCCACCTACTTCCCCCACGCTTAGCCTTTCGTCTGCGGGGACCGTTCTCTTTGGCATCCACCATCTTCCGCTTCTCTTCGCCTCGGTCCTCCCGGCATTCTTTCTTTCCCTGTCCATCCGCTCCTCTGGCCTCGAGAAGCTCACTCGTGGATTCACGCAACATGCTCTGTACGTCCCGGTCTATGTCCTCGTCATCGCCGGCACCTTCTGGGTCATCGTTGCCGCAACCGGCAATGCAGGAACCGCGGGGATGGCGAAGCTTGCCGCGCAGGGGTGGTTCTTCACCGTGGAGGAGTCTGTGCGGAAGCAACACGGCATCGGCACGTCGTGGAACTACTGGAAGTTATATGATTTCCACAAGGTCGAGTGGTCCGCTATGCAGAGTGCCACGAAGGACATTGTGTTGCTGGTCGTAATCGGCGTGCTTAACCTGCCTATATATATCCCTGCGCTCGCACTGGCTTTGGACATGCCGTCGTATGGGATGAATCACGAACTGCTGGGACATGGCGCGTCGAACATCTTCGCAGGTGTAGTAGGAAGCATCCCAAACCTAGTAGTACGTCACCTTTGGGTTCTACGTAAGGTTTAGGTGACCCCTCTGATGCTTGCGCCATAGGTGTTTTCCAACTCGCTCTTTTTTACACGTGCGGGAGGAGGCCGCTTCGAGGGCATCCTCGTCATCCTGCTGACCATCGTCCTCTTCCTCGTCTCCTCCTTAATCCTTCCATACATCCCGACGCTCCTCGCGTCTGCCCTTGTCCTGTTCCTTGGTATCGAGTTGATGACAGAGGCAGTCTGGGAGTCCACGAAGGCGCTGCTTTGGTGCGAGTGGAGCATTGTCATAGGTACATTGCTCGCGTGCACTTTCCTGGGGTTTGCTCCGGGCTTTGGCGTTGGAATAGCTCTTGCAATGGTCGTTCATCTTGGGTGGGGCGTCTTCGACTCGGTAAGATGTCAAAGGATCATGTGAAATGTGTGGCGCACTGTACTAAAACCGTGCTTGACTGTAGCGTGCCCGCGCATTTGACCTCGCCGAGATGCAGCAACAATACCAGCTCCAGCCACACCATCGCAACCCATACTCTCGCGGCACCCATATCACAGCGGGCTCCAGCACGGCACATCCATACAATTCGCTCGGCTTTTCCGGCAATGACGTCGAGACTATCGCGGGTACGTCTACTATGACCAAGAAGGGAATGGAAGACAACAGCAGTGTGTCGAGCTCCGTCGACGTCACCCAAGATATTACGGTGGTTCGCTTGTCTGGTTACGCTTGTAGGTGGTGTCACCTTTCCCCTCATGTGTTAGCGCTGAGATGGGCATATGCTCTCGATGTGCTAGTCTTTGCAACCATACCCTCTCTGGAAACGAACTTGAAGCCGAAGAAAAAGCTCTTGAAGGAATCTTTCATCCTTGTCGACCTCAGCATGGTACACCGCCTCGAGACGTCTGTTGCCGAATTCCTCGAACGGAAAGCACGGGAGCTCTCGTTGAAGGAGCCCAAAACAACCATCGTTCTCTGTGGTATCTCTGACCGATCAGGCATTGCGCATGACCTGCGAAGAGGCGGTGCCAACCTCCTGTGGATCGATAGGCCTGCCGCAGAAGGCGCCAAGGGTGTGCCCGCGTGCAAGGACATCAAGGAGGCAATCCATTGGTGTGCATCACAAGCGCAGCGGACTGCAGACTCGCGTGAGACCCGCGTCACGATTATCTCGGATGCAGGTACGTCTGCCCAATGAATTCTAGCCTTGTTTCTGAACTGATAGATTGAACCTGCAGATAATGAGAACTCAGAGGGCGTCGTCAATACCTTGAGCACGCCCGATGTTCTTAATGAGTTCTCGTCTCAGTTCCTGGAAGAGCATTTGGAGCACGTCTATGACAACTTGCCGTTGTCTGAATCGAATCTTGCAGACCGCGCACAGGCTGCGGGCATACGCGTGCGGCAATGTGCCCCTGGAGACGTCATCCTCCGCAAAGGTCCGCCTATCATAAATTCATTTTACTATCCGTGTTCACTTGCTCCTAACTGCAGGCGAGGAGGTGACATCCATTTCGTTCATTGTTCGTGGATGCGTGTTGTACGAGAACGACGCACCATCATCGGATCCGCCTATTCTGCGAGTGTCAATCAAGGACACTATTCTCACGAGCGTATCACGAGCACAAGAGTCCACCAAAGCAGTCGTCCGCCGAATACTGCGTCGTACGTCCGATACCACAGGCGATGATGCGACTGCCTGTCCCTCGGTAGGCAAAATCGACGAGTCCCTGCTCCCAGGAGACACCTTCGGCTTCGCGGAAGTCACGGCTGGAACACGGGTTTCCTGGTCTGTCTCAGACCGTGTAGTGGCTGCGCGCTCTACTTCCTGCGTGCTGCTAGAGGTGGATTCCGCGAATGCCGATGGACTCGCGTGGGCCACTCGGGCGATTGCCTTGCTCCGGGAGAAGAAGATTCGTGAAGAAAAAATGCTCAAGGCACATTGATTGCATACTGTGCGGTCCGGCCCACCATCATATCACTTTTTATGTGTACTTAGTTTCTATTGTATTTGGAACCTGGCGAGGCATGGCAACGATTGTCGGCCTGGTCAGGTTCATGGAAAAATAGCGTCTATATATTACTCTGTCTTCCCGGGTTTTTGATGTAGATTGTACACCATATTTAGAACGATATTCTGCGCTATCAGAGAATGAAGTACGTGCTTGGTGATTTAATTTCGAGCTTGAGATACTTTTGTTTCTTTGGGCGTACTGGTGTATGCCCTACGGCGTGAAGATGGCATAGGCCATGACAATGCGTGATGCATTACTCAACGTTCTCCGTTCAACACATAAAGCAATTCATAGACAAGTGCATTTTTCGGGCGACCTGGCGCTCGATCGAAGATACTACGTAGTACCGCAAATCGTCTATTTACATAGCAGTTTGCGAACGCGATTGGGCGAAAGCAAAGTTATATGCATCGTCAAGAGCCAATGCGCCACAGGCGCGTGGAAAACAAAACATATACGCGAAAACCTAGAGAGCAAAGCAGAAACTAAGAGCTATGGCGAGAAAACATCAGATATCACGAGAGCGAGAGGATGGGCATAGCATAGGGAAGACGTTTCAGAGCACATCACAGCGAGCAAGATAGCGAGATGGAACGATACAGCGTGGGGAGAGAGCATATTTCAAACGAAAAAGTGTTTTTGTCTGACATGAATAAAAAGTCAAGCGTGCGTCGAGTTCATCATTGGAATGTATAGCCAAACTCATTGTACTGGGAGGGTGGACGGACTACGACGTCCGGGAGGACCTCGGTCTCCCGTAGTGCAGCTCGCTCCTTCGTCGTGTCCTTGCGGATGAGGCGGAGCGGCTTCAAGCCCTTGGCTCGTGCACCTGCACCCGTACCCGGGGCCGCATTCTCATCGGCTGCAACCTGCTTCTGCTTCTGTTTCTTGGAAAACGAAAGCCCGCGCGTCTCAGTAGCTGGCGAGCCAACATTCGTGTTCCTATCCTGCAGGAGCGACAGCGAGCGCAAACCGATCTTTCCCTTAGGCTTGTCGGCCTTCGCACGCGCCTTGGGAATGAGCGGGCGCACGACGGGGGATACGCGGCCTGTGGGTGCAGCGTTCTCGTCAGACCGGATGTAGACTATGCTCGAGCGGCGGCTACTCTTGGCGACGCTGGATTGTGGGAGCGGCGGGACCTGCGTGGACGATGAGCGTGCCTTCGGCGCGTCATGTGGGGTGCTGGCGGCGAGCGGTCCCGATGTGTCGAAGTCGAAGAGTGTGACTTCGGAGGCAGAAGAGCTTGGCAGCGGGAGGCGGAGTTCCTGGTCGAGGGCGGTGATCAGCGTCGCCAGTGAGTTGCGCGCGGTGTTCACGTTTGTGGGGACGTCCTCAGGCGAAGGCGGCGCCTCTCCAAAGGTGTGTGTTGAGGCAGGGCGTTCCTTAGCAGTGGCGGGGGGAGACTGGGGACGTGCACTCTCCTCTTCCTCCTTGACGGCATTGAGCAAGGTAACTGTGCTGGTTATGATCTCGCCACCATAAACCGTGTTCCTCCGAGTGGTTTCGGAGGTTGCAACTGTGAGGTGCTGTCCAGCCGCGTTGTCCAACACACGGTTCAGATCGTTACGCCAAGTCGAGAACGAATGGATGCCATCTTTTCCGAGACTCAGACTACGAGGAACAGACAGTGAGCACGAAAGCGCTTGATAAGGTAAAGACAAAACGAACCTGGGAAGACTGAAGTGGTTCCTCTTGTGGGCCGAAGTCTTCCTCTGACGGGTAGTGACAGCCTTTCGTACTGGCGGGGTAGAGTGCATTTCCGGCGACGAGAACTCGGAGGAAATACCTCCAAGCTCCTGCGGCACATTCTTCGAGAGCCGAGAAAACCTGAATCCTCTGCTGCTCTTGCTCGAGACCGAAGCAGGCGTGTCCCACATGAACTCATGCACCTTCATATCCGAGCCAACCGTCAAGCCAGGCACAAGCAATGGAAGGACACCCGCGGACAGCGAGTCGATGGCACCGACGTCATCACCCTCCACTGGACGGAAGGAGTAGTTGAGCAGAGACGACGACTGGGACTGGGACTTGCTGTGGCTGATCATGCGCGCCTGGCGCTCACGCAGCTCTCTGATCGACGGCGGAGTGGGAGGGAGCGGCGACGCAGGCGGTGGGCTCATTGGGAAGCGCGGTGAGCCTGGAGTGCTACCACCAGTGATCGAGGACACTGAGCGCGTGCGCAGATGCTGCGAGTGACGGGGCGTATCTGCCTGGGACGGCTCCACACCCGTAGCAGCCGCCGCGACGGCGCCTTCATCAAGCGACACACGGCGATCTGGAGAGGGCGGGAGCATGAGTGTCATCGCGAGTGAGGAATAATGCTTCTGTGCGGTCATGATCTGCGTCGCAAGTGCCTCGCTCCCTCCCGAGTAGTACGATGATGCCTTGGACTCTTTACGCGTGCGATGGTGGCCAAGCTCCTCACTCTTCTCCGACTGCGGCGTCGCTGGGACGGGCAATGGGCTCTTGGGCACGTCCTGGATGGGCAGCGGCGGCGTGCGCTGGGCCTCCTGGATATTCTCGACGGGCAAGACAGCAAGTCGCGGGACGGGCTGTAGCAGACTGAGCGCGCGGCCGACTTTGGTCTTGCCGCCAATGGCGTCGCCGTTGGACACCCAGACGTCACCACTACGGCGGCCTTCTACGACGGTGACACTGCCACTGCGCTTGTAGTCGTGCGAGAACGTGAGAGATGGGATGCTCTGAGGAGAGGGTGCGCGCATGACAGCAGAGGGCGGGTCGTTGTAGGTGTCAAATAGACCAGACGGGATGGGGAGGGGAGAGCGGAGCAGGAGGTGCAAGGCGAGCAGAGGAGAAGACAGTGTCACCGACAGGATCAAAAGGATCGCTGCAGGAGAAGACGCAATGGGGGCTTGCTGAGTAACAGTGAAGAAATACGGGAGAGCCATCGCCTGAAATAGTAGCCTTGATAAGAAAATGGACAATAACCATAACATCGCAGCATACCTGAGGGATCCAGATGGTGATAAGCCAACCAATAGTGCGCTTCACCGAAACGTCGATATCAGCAGCAGGTGCTAGGGCCAACCCGTTCGTGTGCTTCTCCGTGTCATATCCATAACCACCCAAAACCTGAGCATTAGCCATGATAGGCGTGGAGCGTGCAGCCGTAGTCGACGGAAGCAGCTCTGTTTGAGGGCCAGGGGTGGTTGCGCTGGGCGGAGGTGAGCTTGGGCGACTCGTGGGGAACGACCACGCCGTCAATGTAGGCTGGTACGAAGAGTTCTCTGTAAGCCATGATGCCTGCGAACCAAGAGGGCGGTCGCGAGGCTCGCTCCTGAACGGGTCCGGGTCGTCATGGAACTGCGCGGACGTCGGCGACGACCCAGTGCGGTACGGTGACGGGAGCGGCGGCACAGGGGGCACGGGAGACTCGCGGCCGAGACCCGAGTAGGGTGTCGCAGGGTTGAACCAGAACGACGACTTGGGCGCAACTGAGGGCTGCGACGCCATGGCGGGGTTCGTCGCTGCGATGCGCACGCTCCCGGTTGACGGCTTGGCGGAGTGGCGGGTCGAGAAGGAGAACGCGGAGATTGATTCACGGCGTGAGCTGGCGCGCGAGGTAATCCATGAGCTGCCGTCCTTGAGCGCATCGATATCCTCAGTGGCAAACGACGGGCGAGGAAGCTCCTCCATTTGTGCGCGAGGCCAAGGGTCCCTGATCTCGTTGAGAGTGGCAAGGTTGCGGCGGATCATAATGAAAGTGGCCATGAGACATACGAACGCGACACTACTGGAGATGGCAAGGGTAGTGGAGTACGCAAACAAGCCCATGAAGAAGCTGGGCACAGCCGTCGCTGACAGCACGGCGGCGAGAGCCGTCGAGGTCGCAACGAGCAGAAATGTAGGTGCCCAGAGCATCCAATGTCTCTTTCCCAGCGCCACGGAGCGACCCATGCGGACGTGCACGAGAGTCAGGACGGCGATGACAAGAAGACACGTCTGCCGCAGCGTAAGTACGAGCCAGAGTCGGACAGCAGTGGCAGGGTCATGGGCCGCAGAGTAGTCTGGGGAGGAACCCAAAGACTCCGATATCACTTGCCAGGCGAACAGTATGAGGGCCACGACATCGAAAGAAGCAAGCCAGACATGGCTCTTGTCTGCGGAGGAAAGAGAGCGGAAGTTAGGAAGGCCAAACTCAGACTGAAGGTTATGAAGTCAGTTTACAACGACTCGGTGAAGAACGGAAAGCTCACCGGACGGACTCGACGGCTAAGGGGATGCGGTGGCAAAATTGGAACTATGATACGGAGAATGACGAAAGCCGAAGATAGGAAAGACACGAAAGCAAGGGCGAGAGCGGGGATGAGAGGAAGCATATTGTTCGTGATTACCTAGGCGTGGTCTTGAGGGAGCGTCGGTGGCGTTGAGCGTGATTGGCGTAAGGCCTTCGTGAACCGTCGAGCAGAGCACAAGTCGAGGTCGAGGAAAACGAGAAGGACGAAGATCCCAATCCAGCCTCGCGACCAACTTGAACTCGAACCGTGGAAAACTGACGACGCGCTGGACCCACACGCACATCGCCCGCCCAAATAACGCGTAGTACCGCGTCTTTCCCACGTGCTGCAATATCCAAGTCACATGGGTCGCATTTACAGACGCGCCCTGCGCGCAGGGTGTTAGTAACACCGCCGTCTTGTGTTTCCGGCATCTTGAATGGCAGTATCTAGAACAGCCACCGCATGGAATCGAGTCCGATACGAGCATAGAGGGAAGGGACGGTGATCTGCATCAATGACGAAGACGTGCTGTGCAGCTTTATCGAAAGCCCCAGGTACTTAGGCACTCGCTGTTCAAACCATCAAGTTTACAAGGCGCTTTTTCAGGAACCCTGACAATCTCCCTAGAGCTCCGATTCCGAAATCCCCGAAAAAGGGGCCTCTGGGCGAAAATGTTACATCTCAAACCCCCGAAATGGGGCTCGAACGGCGGTCAGGTTATGTGCCAAACACCCCCCAATGCAGGGCTTCCGGGCCGAGGTATGATCCTCCGACCCTCGAAACCACTATCCAAGGCCGTCCAGTCAGGTCCAACCGGCCTTGGTACAAGTGAAACATTAATGTGCAAAAGAGGCGTGATGGTAGGTGATGGTGCCTGCGACGTCACGTCGCGTCACTTGAATGCTCACTCTTTGCCCGAACGCTATAGCCTCTGCTGATACAACGCAGATCCGTCTTGGCCTCGAGTTGTTCATGCCGAGCGCCGTGTTTCTGTAGCGCTATCAGCAATTTTATTCCCCAGAAAAGGATCTTGTTGTCAGACTGGCGACGGTCATTCAACTCGGGAACACCGAGTTAAGTCCCAGTTTGCAGACTGCGACACTTTGGGACGATGTGTGGTGCTGAAGACTTGTGTATACGCCTGCGACATAGACGTTCCCAATACCGACGTGGGCGGTCGGCGGTCGTGCTTGAAACTGAGTCGGAGTACCGGGTGAACTTGGTGCTACTCGCTATTTCGTATGTTGGACGCGTCTCGTCTCCCCCTATCAGCACGATGCACGTTGTCAACTTCAACTTTAGATCATAGCGGACGAGATGCCTTCTTGCAAGGCTCAGATGACCCCCCGAAACAGAGACCCTACGTTTCTATTTGCCGCGGCGAGACTCAAGGCATTGGCTAGGCACAGGACCCCTGGATATAGGGGAGGAACCATGATCCCAATCCGGACAAATCTGGGCGATTTTGGACCCTGATCCCTGTTTTTTTCCCGACAAAATCGGTCTGTCGTAACCCTCATCCCTGGTACGATTTCCAGACATATCCTGATCGGACAAGCCTGCCCCGCGCTTAAGTATGCTCGGTTTGAACATCCTCCATCACGTGACATGCATACGGACGATCCCACGACGTCGCGTCGCGTCGTGCTCAAGACAACTTAAGTGCCTCTCGTTTGCCCACTTCTCGTCAGATTGTTTTCTTTGCTGTCGAGTACCTGTTTCAGTGGCACCCAACTGCCTATCTCGTATCAGTCGAAATACTTGGTACTGCGCGCATGAAGGCAAAGGAGCAACCACCTCTAAAGCAAAGGCGCGCAATGGTGATCACTCAGATTCAGAAGGCAAAGATGCTTGAAAAGACTTCATGTTTTGATGCTACATGGTACAAGTGTCCAGTCCTCATTACGACGTCAGAATCAAACTCGGGGGGCGAAAGTGTATTTTTGGGAACCCTGATCCATTTTCGACAGCCTGGTACGAAAAGATACAAATTCCAGACATTTTGACCGGAATCAGGCGGCAGCTAGATTTTTCCGGACATATCAGGCCAAAACGCTAATTTTCCGCCGTACAAATCGACCCAAATTTGAGAAATTGGGATCAGGGCTCCCCCCTATATTCAGGGGTCCTCTAGGCACCCGCGGAGTTCGCATCGGACCACGATCGAGACAGTGATCTGAGGCTATGAAAGCGCCATGATTCAGCGATCGGCCAACACGTTTGGTCATACTGCACATCGCGATTTTGCAAGCAAGTTTCTCGCTGCTGGAACCGAAGTCAAGGGTGCAGATTGCCAGCTGTTGGTGGGTTCAATGGGCACTATATAAACGAATGTCCGTTGACACCGTTTTCCCCCCACCTTTTTGGACATCATCAAACTACACAATGGTCAATGTACACTTCCCCCTCGCCCTCTGCTTGCCCTCCAGGCTCGCGCTTCTCTACAAGGAAGTCTTTCCTCCAAAGCCTACGGTAAGTTTTCATGTCCTGGGAGATGATTGTCCTAACGTACCTGGCAGTGGTCGGCCGAGGAAATCCCCGACCTCACTGGGAAAGTTGCAATAGTAACCGGTGCGTACCATCAATAATGTAGTACTTCACTGTAACGCTCAGTACGTGTACAGGTGCCAACACAGGTTTGGGCTTTGAGTCTGCGCGCATTCTTGCTTCCCATGGAGCAAAGGTCTATGCGACCGCCCGCTCGCAGGAGAAAGGCACTGCAGCCGTACAGAAAATCAACGACGAATTGGCAAAGTTGCAGAATTCTAGCGGCGAGGCCGTGCTGCTGGTATTGAGCCTGGACGACTTGCAAAGCGTGAAGCGCGCCGTGGATGAATTTACCAGGTACACATCACGTTCCTTAGGAACAGCTTGGCCTAAACTGAACGCGTCTGTAGCAAGGAAACCAGACTTGACATTCTACTGAATAATGCCGGCATTATGATGCCTCCAGAAGGCCTGAAGGGCCCCATGGGCATTGACCTCCAATTCGCTACAAACGGTAAGCTTCAATTCTTCAAACTTCAGCTGCATTCTGACCAGTTTAATAGTACTGGGGCCCTTCGTACTAACGCGTTTACTATTGCCAACGCTGCTTAAGACCACAAAAGAGACTCCAGACGGCACAGTTCGTGTAGTCAATGTGTCCTCCATGGCGCATGGATGGTGTCCATTAGTATGTCCTGCCATTGTGTGAGAATAATCGCTCACACCCTGACCACGCTTGTGACAGGGCGGCATCAGATTTGACGACCTGTCCAAAGGATCTAGGTACCTGCGCTACGCGCAGTCAAAGCTTGGCGATCTCGTCTACGCGCGAGAGCTCGCGCGTCGATACACTGACCAGGGTAGGTGGAAACGCGCGCGCTCACGGCAGACGCGTACTGATCGTTCATTTGCACACAGGCATCATCTCTGCGGCTGTCAGCCCGGGAAACATTGACACCGGCTTGTGGACGCACCAAAAAGGTTCTCTAATCACACCGAACGTAAGTGGTGCCCGAATTTCGCGGACTTGCAAGCAGTAACGCTGAGAGTACAACAGACCCTCATGGCGAAGCTGAAGTATCCCGTCTCGTACGGCGCCCTAACCCAGCTGTACGCGTGCACGTCGCCGGAGGTCACCAAGGAGGACTCGGGTCGGTACTTCTTCCCTTGGGCAAGGAGGGGCCATGTCCTCCGCAGCGAGGTATGTGGTCTATTTGTGTTGTCCGCCTCCGTTAACCAGGCACTGTTTCCACCTCAGGCCGATGATCCTGCGCTGCGCGCGAAACTGTGGGACTGGTGTGAGGAGCAGATGAAGAAGGCAGGGATCACGGCGTAAATCATCTGTCGTCGGATGGGATCAGATCTTTCTAGCCCCCATTGCTAGCGCAGCACTAACGTATAGTCCCTGACTAATGGTCCCGTTTGTCACTCGTTTGGCCAATCAATTTTTTCTTTGCAATTCTAGTATTCATGATTCAAGGGAGTGAGGCCTGAAGGCGACCATAGCGTTCGAGTAAACCTTGATCCAAAGGAATGCCCTGAATTGCTGTCAGATACTCACTGATGGATCATCTAGTAGCGGGAAACGTGGTCGACATCGCTGAGAGGTGAGAAACCTTGAAGCTTGAACATGACATTCACTGGCATTCACTTTATCTGTGTTATCCCGATGGTGCTTGGTGGAACGCAGTCATCCAAGCATTCATACTGTCAGTGATCTAGGGAGGGCAGACCTGCGTGAGCTATGTAAGTTGGCGACCATCTTTCGGAGGAGAAAAGCAATCGCACCCTTGACGCAATGAAAGGAGCACTGAGAATCAGCAATTTTGACTCAAACGCCCCTTAGTACTTACGATTTCTCGGGGCGTCGGCAACATTCGGGACCATAGTCAATCATAAATGGGAGGTACGTCATGTTGTGTGTTCAAAGGGGCTGCAGAATGAACGCATGGCACACATGGGATAAAGCATATTCCTCTCGCAGCGTTTCACATATGCCACCGTAGAAACACCATATTTATGTCGCAAAGGAACTTTCCAGAAGACGGATAAAGTGATGTTGCATTGCACATCAAAAGTACTTGATCCCTTAGCCGAGAATCCAGCAAGTGATTCTATGCCGTTGTCTGTTTAAGATGTTCGAGACGAGCGGACAAGCTCAGGAGGCGCTGAGACAATTCAAAGAGTATGCATTTTCGATTGTGTAGGATTGCTCACCACCAGATCGAGCATACAACGGTGAACGGTCCTATCCGAGAGGTGAACTAAGCAGCGTGGCTCAGTATCGCACATTCTCAATACCCTCGGACCTTCGATAGAGTGATGTAGCCTGCGCCGCGAAAGCCCTCCAAGAAATTCGCCACAACTGAACACGTCAAGTCGACTTTTGCTCAGAAAACATAGCAACCGTACAAAGGCTGACGGATATCTGACCGTCGTACTTACTGCAGGGACTGCAAAGCCGAGCGGTGTGGAGGCGCGCCAAAGGGACTGCGGGAGCGGGAACAAGAGAAGGTGACTCGTGCTGACAAATCGGGCGGCGCACTGGCCTGACGCCGCGCTCCTCGCTGCCCCGAGGCATCTTCCTCATCGCCACTCACGACGCCCTCGCTTTCCACGCCGGCTCGCTCTTTCATCACACATAGCAACCTCTTTTCATTTCTAAGTAGGTCTGCCTTGCCGAATTGTGCTGCGTGTTAGCCTCACTTCTGGTCTCGCTTCCCAGATCATGCCTGCCGCTTTATCATCAACTAAATCTGCTGTCGACGCTTCTTCTCACCGGAGAAAGACTAGGATCGTGAAACGGCGCGGGAGAGCAGTCAATGGAGCCGAGAGCGATGATGAAATCGTGCGGGAGATCACATCGGACGACGACACAGACGACTCTTCTGTCGACTCGGAGTCGGAGACAGAGTCCCTGTCGGACGATCATCACCTGAACGGACGGTCGGAAGTCGTCACCCCAAGCACGACACAAAGTCCTCCGCCTCCCGAGCTTGATGGTCGTGTCTCTCTTGCAAACGGCATCACGCCGAAGCAGGTTGAATCCGGCCCGTTTGTCGCCACAACGGACTGGGCGGACATGGTCGCGTCCGAACATGCGAATGGCACGGAGGATCTCCCTGTCATCGATTTTGCTGACCTCGGGCGCAGTCCGCTCGACCAACACCTTGTCTCTGCCCCTCGCTCGCGCAAGGTGCACAAACAAGGAAAACGGTCTGATGCGCAGAGGTCGACGTCTGCTCCTCCTGCGCCGCCCTTAGCATCACCGCCTCCTCACCACGCCGAGGAGCCTGATGATGATGATGCGCATGAGCAGTTGGAGGAGGCGACTTCTTTCGAGCGCTCAGACGAGCATCGCCAGAATCGCTCGCGTGGCCAGACAGCCAGACAGGCATACCAGCAGCGGCTGGAGACAGACCCTTCATTCGTGCCGAAGGTGGGTGAGTTCTGGGGACATGATGACCGCCTGCTGGACAAGGATCTTCGTAGTCTCAGCGGATGGTGGCGTGGTCGATGGCAGTCTCGTGGGCGTGGTCGGAGCGCTTTCACGATGCGCGGCCGTGGTGGTCGGGGAGGATTCGCTGGTGGACGTCCTCCCAATGACACAGACGAGTTCGGAGAAGAGCAGGTTGATGGAGCTGAGGTTGTGGATGAGGTGCCACCGGTCGAAAAGACATGGACACACGATGGATTCGAGGAGATGAAGCGGCGGGACGAGCAGCGGCGGCAGCGCGTACAGGACCAGCAGCAACCAGCTCGTTTCGGGCCCCAGCGTGGTTTTGCCTTCCGTGGGAGAGGCGGCTTCTTCGGTGGTCGAGGGCGCGGCGGGTGGAATCCTGGTTTCCTTGGTCGCGGGACAGCCGACCGGCCTTGGTTCGCTATGAAGCCCGAGCGCGAGTGGACGAAGCATCACGAGGCGTTCCTCTACTTTGATCCCGCCCTCAAACCCCGTCCTGGGCAAGGGCCCGGCTACCGTGTGAAGCTCCCCGGTGGTCCTGAGCATATCATCAGAGGACCTCCTCGTTCGTATCCTATGTCCCAGGTTGGCTTTGAGGATCCTTCCGAATTCTTGCAAGATGAAACGGAGAAGATCTTCACGGTTCGCATTCCCCCGCGAGCGGGCAAGGAGAAAGCTAAGGAGGAGACGCAAGAGGTACCCGCCGAGGCTGTCAATGTCGAGGAGTCTGCAACCACAATGGCAGAGCTCTCCATTGAGGAGGTGTTCACGGTCCGCCCGAACATTGTTCCGAACAGGCGGATCGAGATTCCCATACCACAGAAACAAGATGCTTCGCCACCCAGCGAACCGTCCGCACCTCCGTCGCTGCCCCCTCCGTCTGTACATCCCATGTCGCATGCATCGCACTCGACGCCATCTTCGCAGCAGCTGGACACCAGAGGTCAACAGCAACACATAAGCCCTTTGTCGTTGGACCCGCTTGTTCTCCGTCCCACAGCTTCGTCGCCTAGTCCCATAATAAAGGAGACGGTTCTCCGGCGCCCATCGCTTTCGACACAGGCACCTCCCACTGCATCGCCGTCGACAGAGGCACCGCGCCCCGCCCCGCCAGCTCTTCACCCACTGCAAACCTCTTTCTCTCCTGTCCCCCAGACCCCGCCCTCGTACAATCCGTCGTACGGATACGGCGTTCCATTGCCTCCAGGTGTTGCTTTCAATCACCATGGCATGCCCTATGAGCTCGCTACCGGTCGTCCCGTGATCCTTCAATCGACTCCCCCACCCATGTTTACGCCACGACCGATGATGCACGGCCACGTCCCTCATCCCTCCCACTCATATGTCCCTGCCCACATGCACCATCACTCCACGGTGTCGCCCGACTTCCTTGCACATCCTCATACACCGCCTGTTGGTCAGTTCGTAGATCCGGCGACGGGCGTGCCCTTCTTCACGCCCGCACGCCAAAGTAGCCGTATCGAGATTCGTGCGCCGGATGGGACGGACGGCAAGAAAGCTACGCGACCCTCCGGCTTGAGGACGTCGATGTCCAGTTCCGAGGCGTACCCCGATGCCCAGCTGTATCAGCCCACAGACATGGGCACTCCCCAAGCGCTGGATGAAGAGAGCATCGCTGCGCCGAATGGACTACAGCATATTGAGCAACCGCAGCCACTCGTCGCTGAACAGCCAATGGCTTATCCGGCGTACCAGCCCTACTATTATCCTGATGCTTATGCCTATCCAACGTACATGGACATGTCGCCCCAGGTCATGCATTACGAGATGTACCCTCCCGCGGACCATCGTACCCCCCAGCCCCCTATGATCTACTACTAGTCGCTTTATAACACGTCTCGCCGTTCTGCATTTGCTCTATCATGTTGTGCACCCTCATCATTATTAGCTGCCAAACGTCTTGTCAGAGATACGATACATCGTCAGGTCATTCAGAGTACTCGCTGTCATACCCCTCATGTTCTCCCTGCTCAACGTCTCTTCTGTCGCACGTTGCCCCAAGTTACGCGTCTTTACTGGGCTGTCGGTTACGAGTTCCTTTTCATTTTTAAAACTTGGTTACTTAGTCTTTCTTGCAATTGTGATCTACGAATATCACAGGCACTCTGTAGCACTCGCTGCCTCCCTTCATGTATGCCTCGATGTTTCTGCTCTGTAATGCGATTATATCGCTTTGAGATGAACGTGTTGCATCTGGGTAAGTACAACACCTCGTATCAATATTCCACCGAAGTCGTCTCTATGTTGGGGGGGCTACCAGCGATAGCAGGCGTCTATTATTCAACTCTTCTGCCTACTTTCGGGACCAACGCCCAGCAGATGCCCTGAGCACCCAGCAGCGCAACGACGGTGGGCTCGACCACCCAAATCCCGCTCTTAGTGCTCATGATGCCGACGATCAGAGGCCAGAACGCGCTCCCACTTTGCCCAATAGAGCTGATCAAGGCGAACGCATCTGCATGCATGCTCCGCGGGATGAGCTTTCCGCCCATGGTAATAGCTGCGGTATAGAATGTGGAGATGGCGAGGCCGACGAAAGCTGTGCAGACGGCAGTGGATGCGAGGAAGGGCAGGAACCATGCAAGGAGCTCCAGCGCGATGGCACACAGCAGGTAGACGAAGACGGCGAGGCGCTCGCCCATGAGCATGTTAAGCGTAGGCAGGGCTATCCGGCCAATAGCGATACCTGTTGGAAGGATATTGACAGCCCGACAAGAGTAGATGTTGCGCAGACCGCTTACCCAGGTAGAACGAAGAAGCCACCCAAGACGCGCCTTCAGGGCTGCCTTGCCGGACTTCTAGGATGTATGAAACGATCCATCCACCACTTTGGAGAATTAGGTCAGCTATTGTTTCACAGGACTATAGAATGTAAGCGTACATGGATTCTTCAGCCCTGCCAGAAACATCATCAGAACTGAAGGGCGCATAATCCCATGCTCGACTTACCCCACATAGAAAACCAGGAACATGGAGAGCGTCCACACTGCACGACTCTTTAGAGTGTCCCGGAGGGCGGTTGATGCAGATTCTTCCCTTGCCGAGGCGTCCGGGGCTTGAGGCAGAGCGAACAGATTGCGAAACGCAAGCCAGACCAACACGAAGACAGGAACATTCATGCCGACATTGGTAAGATAGAAGAAGTGGTACTGTGAAAATACTGAGCTAGATGGCATCCGAGAGAGGGGGCTCGACTCACCGGTATGCCACGGCTCGCTATTGCTGTAGCCACCAAGGGGCTCGCGAATGCACCCAGGCCGTAAATACCATGCAGAATGCCCGTCCAATGTAGCGGTTTAGGCAAAATAGCGAAGTAGGCGTTACAGAGTCCCAGCTGGAATACGACAATCCAGCATCCGCATAGTAACTCTAAGTATGACAGAGACCTACCTGAGTGGCAAAAGCGGAACCTACAACAAAAAAGCCAAAACACATGAGCGGGAAACTCTTTTGCTGAGAGCTATTGATAATATTCTGGAAACCGAGAAGAACATGTCAGCTGCAGTTTCGTTCACGGAAGTTGAGCGGGCATACCCCCGCTAGTTCTACAATAACGGCAATACATAATGCGTGTCCGAATCCAACCTTTCTCGCCAGAGTACCGGCACCAGCAGCTGCTACGATATACCCAATGAAGGTGGTCACAAAAAGGATGGCAACGTGAGCATAAGTAATCCCATAGGTCTTCTCAATGTAAGGGATCAAGGCTCCAGTTGCACCACCACTGGAACACAATGAACGTGAGAGCGCAATGAATTGAGAGAACAGATCGCTCACTTCCAGCCGGCTAAGAAGAGAGTGCAGAAGGATGCGAACATGCGCAGACGGCGCAAGCCCTGACTTTCAGGCAGACCTATGACAGCGGGAGTAATGGTCACTTGTGGGGGGTATGAGTGCTCTACTGGGATAATCGCTATTGCGGTAGAGTCTGGGACTTCAGCGACTTGCGGCAAGGAAGGTACGCGAGATAAATCGAGCTCGGAAACAGTTGCAGACTTGTCATGCACACTGGAGACAGCGAGAGTGTGGTCAGAAGGGCCTCTCATGAACGAGGGCCGTCTGGCTGTGACTATGCTCCCTAGATCTTCAATACCAGTGGCACGTCTGGATCTCTGCCTATCCGGCCATTCCGTGGGCTCTAGCTCTTCGTCTGAGACGACTTCATCTTGTGTGTATCCCGGCCCTGGAATCCGAAGACTGTTTAACTGATGTAACGACTCAGTAGGTGCAAGTCGCTCGGATGTTTCAAGGGCCATATCAGCGGAAAAAGACGAGGGGGGCAAGCGAGGCAGTCTGACTAGCTTCCCGCCGCTAAATATCTCGGAAGCCTGCGTGCGGCTGTTAAAATGTCGTGTCGTGTCGGGATATAGCTGTTAGCGCGTGGTCTAGGCCCTGCAATCGCAGTCATGGGTTGTTGTCGTATGGCACCGTTTATCACGAACGACATTTGTGATGAGATGGGCAGTCCTTGAGATCAGTCTTGGCTCGCATGAGCGGCCCACGCCCCGGTGGCTGAAAGGTGTGACGCCCAAACAGGCAGGTGTTGTATTCACTCTTTTGACTAATCCATCTTCATGTTCCTAGTCAATTGAATGATCGGCAATTGACTGGTATGGAAGAAGCGGCTTATTGCTTTGAAGAATACACGAAAGGTCCGGAACACACCTAGGGGGAACTCTTACTGCTAGGAGAAAGTACACCGTCTAATTCAAACATCGCAATGCAAGTGGCAAGTTCCGTAGAGAATTACACTGACGTGACGACGAAAGGCTGCCAATAAAGTACAAGGAATGGGCACAAGAGAAAGCGAGACATGGCATGATGTTCATAATTGAGCAGCGCTACCGCGGCTTAGCCTCATACACAAACACATATCTAGCAAGGATTCAACGTTTCATGCGTGTCTACTCGAAGCTGCCAAAGTAGTCAGTGAGCGAGGCAAGTCTAGAGTGTGATACTGGAGAAACACATACGATGTGCGAAAGGATGAAAGTATTCCGCCAGGTTTTGACGAACAATAGTCATGGTCGGACGATCACCTCGCCTGTAGCTCCAGCACATCTCCATGAGGGCCCAAATGTTGTCAGTGAGTCCTAAGTTCTCTGTACCGTCCGGACGTTTGGGTTTGTCTTGATTGATCACTCTAGCAATGACAGCACCGTCGGTGCGGCATTCTGAGTATGGCACTCGTCCTGTGTAGAGCTGTTATATATGTCAGAAACTGAGCAGGCTCACAAAAGCAAATCAACCGTGTTACCTCTAGCATGACCATGGCAAAGGCGTACACGTCGCTAGCTGCAGTCAACAAGGCGTCATCCTCTCCAATACCTGCGTCTTCAGGGTCATGTAACTCGGGAGCCATCCAACGCAAAGTGCCTTGTGGGGTAGCCGTCAGACTGAATTTCTGGTAGCTGCCAGCTTCATAAATAATGGAAGAGAGCCCGAAATCAGCGAGTTTAGCGCGACCCTTCTCGTCCACAAGAACATTTGCCTGATGGGATCTGGTGAGAAGTAAGCTTCCCCGAAGGAATTGCGGACATACGCATTTGAGATCACCGTGAACTAGACGAAAGTCGTGTAGATAATGCAAGCCATCAGCTATATCCATGATCTAACAGAGCACTTCTCAGAGAGAGCCTTTCTCATGTAATCAGCCACGAACGCACAATCATACGCCGGTCAACCGGCGGGTTCTGCTTGTGTATATATGTGCTGACATCTTGGTGGATCATCCACTCGCTAATCAAACACAGGGGAAAGACGTCCATATTGACACCAAGAAAACGGACGATATTAGGATGGTTGAGGTGCTTCCACACAACTGCTTCTCGACAGAAGTTCTATCATGGGAGGCTGGTCAGTATGATAGAGAGACGGATCATCATGCGAGGCAATGGGTAAACCTTTATGGTCTTCTGTCGGTTGCTTTCATTCGTGAACCGGAGAACCTTGAAGGCCACACTTTGATCACCGTCGTATGTGCCTAGCCAAACATCCGAAAACCCCCCATATGCGATGTATTTCGTTTTTGAGAGTTTGGGCGTCGCCAGTAAAAACGTTGCGGGCAGGTGTCCAGTACGTGCGGAAACGCTTCGCAAGTGACGAAAACACCTTCTGTAAAGTGGCTGACTGAGGGTGCACTTCGACAGGACCTGTCCGTCTAATGAGTAATTGTACTATTAGCCCTTGATGAATGCACAAACATAATCCAGAGTGGTTACGAAATATTGAGATATATTTTCTGCCTCTGGCAAGGGTGGCAAAAGCACGCCGGCATCTTTCAGAGAGAGGATGGTATCGATGTTCTTAACCTTCTCGTCGGCGTCGAAATCGGAAGACCGAACGAAAGCATTAATCAATGCAAGCACAGTGATATAGCCGGCAGTGTGTTCCGGTGCATGATTTTGATCACAAGACTCTCGACTTTGAGTATGAGTATAATTGGAACTGTTCGATGAGTGTGATTCGAGATCAGTCATGACCTGCGATATCATCTCCACCTTCTTCGTGCTATCCACTGTGGCTGAATGAATGTAATGGGCAACAAGCGCGAATCCATCGGGGTCGATGTCTTCTTTTGCATCTTCCTGGTTGGAATAACTTCGACGTAGTGTATTACCAGCATTGAAATGCTCCTGTATAGCTTGACCAGGTATGTCAATCTGCACAACCTAGGTCAAGGAGATTTCACAGTTACCACCAGCACACAGATCAACATATTGATTTTCAACGTGACAAAATGACAAAGGGAAATCACCTGCCATATATTCTCAGGATTCGGCGTGAATTCCTGCAGGCAAAGCTTGGCGTATCTGATTAAAAACGAAAGCAATGGCAATATTTCATGCAGACATACTGGTGTCTCATCCTCCCCGCTTATCAGACTCCAGCAAAGATTTGGTTGTGAGGAAGGCCTTATGCTAATGAAATGCGTGAGATTAGAGGGGAGCAAATACGAGTTGATAAAACCACTATACACATAGGCGTCGGGACCGTGGCTCGACAGGTTCTCCACAAACCACCAGATTGAATCTATAGCACCAGATACCCGCCCTACAACCTCTCCATCTTCCTCGAGAGGGATCCTACTAGTGATGTAGGTAGAGAATTTCGCATTCAAAAACTGATATTGGCCGCCTGGACCGGATATTGCTTTCCACTAAGTCATTTGATTCAATAAGCAACGTACACCGAATATTGAAGTTCACCGAACCTTTTCGCTGTCGATGGCAGGATGGTCCTTAGGTGAACTCATACTGATGAGTGGCTGTTCGTAATTATCATTTGGGAGCCGTAGACGGGTTTTGAGGGCGTAATTGACAAAGACATATGTACTGTTGTGACGAAGCCCAAAGCTCATCTCGAGAGGAGTAACTATGGGTTGGCCCTTTCGCTGCAAAGGCTCGGCTTTTATCGGTTTGTATGATAACGAAGCTGGGAAGTCCACGGGTAGGCGTAAGTCCACCTGCGCACGTGCCTTCCCTGCGACGCATGGGTCCAACGGGGCAAAGGAACTTTCCGTGAACCGTGAATGTCACGATCTGTAAGTAGACGTCATTAATGAGAGTGGAATGTAGATGTCTGTTAATGGGCTATCTCAAAGCGCTGTTCATGAACGTTGAACCTCGGAGACCCTGTCATATGCTCACCTTATTATGGGCTTGGGCAACGATTGGGTGACAGGGCATGAGCTTCACGTGTATAAAAGCAGGGAACAAGGCTCGGCCAGCTGTCGAGCGCGGTACTACAGTGGTCAGCAGACTCCATATTTCGACAAGAGCGCAGTCGCAACGTGCCCTTGAATCTTAACCTTACACCACATTCTTGATATTGCGAACCGCTTTAGTTTCCGATTGGAGTATCGGCCAGCAACACTATTCCAATTCCTGCTATAAGTTACGTCTCATATGTCAGGAGGCAGCGCAGGACCCCAGCTAGAAGTTTCTCACGCATATACGTCTGGGTCACTGTGACAAACGCGTGATCAATAGAACGTTTTGTATCATGTTACTTACAGTATATGGCTCGAAAGAAGCGACCGATAGCTCCGCATAAACAACATTAAAGGTCCAGCATACATGTAGGGTATCTCTTCCTAGGTCCCTTCGTCCGCCCCGTTCGTATTTCCGTTCGCCTTTGGCGACGTCGTCCTCGTCGCAGAGGCACTCGTGGTCGTAGCAGACCTCTCCTTGTTCGAGCTCAGCAAGCTTTGGAAGAAATTCTGCAGCACCTCGTGCTGCGTTGGCCCTCCCGGCGTACTTGGGGACGCAGTCAGAGTGGGTGACGGTGCTGGCGACCGCGATGTTGATTGTGCCATTGGCACAGCCAGCGTCGATGTCTGCATACGAGCCGCAGGACGTGTTGTGAGTTTCCGTGCAGCAGCGTCCCCGCCTCCGTTCGTGCCCAACGTGCTCCCACCCCCTCCTGCGACGCCCTCCATCTCCGTGAGCGCCCGCTCCACATTTGGAAGAGCGAAACTGATGCTGCCCATGGGGCCGACAATACCCGTCGCAACCGTCTCATTGGGGTTTCGGAACGCACCACGTGGATCTCGGTCTGGTTTCTTCGAGTTCTCGTCGTAGTTCTTCGCGAGGAAGGCTTGTTCTGGGGTAGGGTTGTTGACCGGCGGCAATGGTGGCGGCTACGAGGAGCAATCAGCCATCTACACGGTGCCGACAACGAAGACAGACACCAACCTTGGCACCCTGATCAGGTACGAGCGAGCTGTACAACCTCTTGGCCCCAGGCTCTGTCTCACCCTCCATTGGCTCAAGATCGCGTTCCCATGCTTCGCCCCACAGCTTGGCGTCGAACCCGTCCCGGAGAACACCTATCTTACCCCAGCTGTCCCACCCTGCTGGCACAACAATCCTGTCTCGGTCTAATGTGTTTGGTTTTTGCTGGAAGGGAAAGGGATTCCGCACGGGTGCTGGAGCTTCTGTTCCTGACGAGAAGCCAGGTGACGACGCTGGAGGCATGAAAAGGAGGTGGAGGGCGTATTGCCGCAACACTTGTAGCGTATCAGGCAAAGGCGTTGTATAAAAGAGCCCGGCACCATCTGAGAGAGAGGTATATCAGCAAGAGCACAAAGGCTGAAGCAAAAAAATACATTTGAGGCACACCGTCCGCAGAACCTGCATGACGCCGTCTGTCCGCTCCTCCCATTCGCCTCCCTTCCCCTTGACCATACCCCCCATGCCAGAGGTTCCCGCACCGATGACGTCGTTGTTCTCGTCAATGAGGTCAGCCTTGGTGCATGCCACGATGATTGGCACGCCGGCTGCGTTATGCGTGAAAGTACCAGGCCCCAGAGGTAGATCTGTACCTGATAGATTGGACGTGGCGGGTAGCGGGTCAGCAGTAGGCTCTGCATAATGTTGTAGGTGCATCTGTACTGCAACATGTATGGTCAGAAGGCGCGGGCGGTACAACGCGACAGGAGCTCACGTCGTTCGCGATTCTCTTCTCGCGTAATCTCGAGTTCTCTTGCGCCATCTCCCTTTGTCCAGTTTTCCACCCATTGAAGCCATGTTTCTAGCTCCTCGACGAACGTCCAAGGTTTTGTCCAGTCTAGGATGATCAGAACGACTGTATGTGGCAGACACGTCCGTGGCGGTACGAAGTGTGGCAACAGAGATGTGTATGAGGGTGCGGAGGAGGGTATTGTGTATACAGAAAGTCGCGCAAGGGTATCTAGGCTCATGGGCGCGTCGTAAATCGTACTGTTACAACACCATCCCCACGCGAGTGCTCACCTTCATCTGCATCGTCTCGCACATCCGCCCAGTCATAGCCCAACGCAAAGTCTGAGCGTTCTTCCTCCTTGTCTGCATCTGCTGGAGGTTTCTGCAACAATGCAGACACTAATGCCGACTTCCCTGAAGACGGTTCGCCCAGGACGAGGACCTGCTTAGTAGGAATGGAGCGGGTGCTCGACACTGAGTCGAGAATGGACGACCAGAGGTCCTGCGGGAGCGCATCTGGTGACGATGGTCGCGAGTTGTCCATGATGGCACGGTGTAGAGGCAGTGACGGCCAAGCAGAGGTCAGGCTTCAAGCTCGCTCTGGAGCGGTTCGTGCAGCTGTAGCCGCGTCGAGCAAGTCTCACATTTGGCAACTTTCCCCATTCAAACTCCGGCGACGCGTCTCTTTCGCGTTCCTCATCGTCCGTGACGGCGTATACGACTCAGTCCGCGGCCTCAGCCTCACACTGTGTGCACGCTCCATTGTACCGCGACGTGCTCATGTCTGCGGCAATATCTGTGCCGCATCACACGCTCAAGGAGTCGCCCAACTCGCGCGCCATCGAGATCGGGGACTGGGTGATCACCGCACGTACGAACCCGATCTCAAATGCGGGCGAGCTCGACTCGCTGCAGGCGAACGTAGGCGGGATCCCGTTGCCCGAGATGACTTTCGGGAACAACTCGTTGGAGTTGAAGCATAACGCGAGTGGCTGGCAATGTTTGTTCGACACAGAGGAGGCCTTGAAGGGTGTAAAGAATGGCGAGCTCGCGGAGGGAGATGGCGGGGTAAAAGTCGGCTATGCGGATGCATGGCTGAAGAGCCGGTGCGGTGGCTAGCCGCTATACTAGGAAGCTCATTCACCTTCCACAATGTCAGCACAGGACCATCGTCTGAGTTGCCGATGCCCAAGACCGTAGCCACAAAACCGTACGACTGGACGTATACCACCGTATATGCGGGCCACCAAATGTCGTCAAACCCTATCCTATGGCAGCTTGCTGATCTAGACAACCCTTCCCATACCATCCCCCTTGCTGAGCTAACGCGGCAAGATCCCATTCTGTTCTATGCGGAGATACCCCTCTACGAGGACGAGCTCCATGACAATGGCTCATCGCACATCCTCGTCAGGATTGTGAGTTTATCGTGCGCATTTTGCTTTCATGCCCGCTCACCTCGCGTCGTCTTAGCGCGTCATGCCGACGTGCTTCTTCATTCTCTCACGTTTTACGCTCAGAGTCGATAATGTTCTTTTCCGGACATACGACACGAGAATATACCACTCCTTCACCTCATCGCTTCCACTGGTAGTTCGCGAGACAAGTGGATGGGAGGCCCCGTACGATTGGGTGAAGCGTGTATGTGCATGATCCTCGAATGCTGACCCTGTCTCACTCCGCTTATCGCATCTTCAGAGGCTGCCTAAGCGGGAAGATTTGACTCCTCTAACAGATGCGACCTGGGTCGCCAAGGTGTTAACTGAGATGCCCTCAGAGGTATCTCAGCAGGCGGGAGCGGGCACGAAATGGAGGGGGCTAGGCACAAGAATGGAGGTCGCTGTATTGAAGAGACCTGAAGGTGTAAGTACCAGTTTCTTGAGCTCGGCGTAGTCGTGCTGATTGGGTGACCAAGGACGCATAATATAGCAATATTGAAATGTATAACTACGGTATCCTGTGAATCCCAATCAATGCTGTAATTCTATGTGTACTCTCGGTCTGTATGTCCAGACAGAAAATCGAACACACTCCATAGCCCCGTAAATTCGACGCCAAGTTGTGTCATCATAGCATGCCCAAAACGCATTATGTATGGTCTTATAGAGAAACATAGATATTGAATATTGCAATCGCCGTAACATGGACGCAGTATTGAGCCATCAGAAACGATCGACGATCGGGCGGTAGCGCCCGATCATCTGCATTTTCGCTGTTCCGGTCTCACCAAGCATCTCGTTAACCTCACCCTTGCCATATACACGGTGCACGATCACCAAGTGCCACTGCCATGGACGTCTCCGATATTTTGGCTGCACATGCAGAAAAACAGTGAGCGGTCTGTTCATAACACTGTCTACTCATCCAAACACGCCGCAGAAAAGCCGTCGCCGTCGAGAAAGACATCCCTCTCGAGGTCGATGCCGGTTTTCTGGCAGTCACAGATCTCAATCCTGTTGATACTGAGAGCTACGGGTAAGACATATTCACCTTCAATATGTGCCTACGATATTCATTCTACGTGCAGCGAGGACCTAGAAGAGTACCTGCAATCGACTGCACGCGACGGCGTTCAGGCACTCATTAATGCCCTATTCGCACTCCCTACGACACCATCCGCTGACGGTCCCCTCGCACAACTCCCACCGCCCACCACCCAGCTGCCCCGCGCAAAACATCTGCCCAAGCCCAAGCCGCCCACCAAGTGGGAGCAGTTTGCCAGGGCGAAGGGCATCCAGAAGAAGCGGAAGGACAAGAAGGTGTGGGATGAGGAGAAACAAGATTGGGTAGACCGCTGGGGTTGGAAGGGCGCGAACAAGAAGGAGGAGACACAGTGGCTCTCAGAAGTGCGCGCCAACGCAGGTGCGTACTCAACTTTCCGTCTGTTCTCACACAAGTGACCTGACACACATCACGGAAGATGTGGATCATGACCCTGCAAAAGCTGCACGCGATGCACGTAAGGAGAAGATGGCGAAGAATGAGCGACAGCACCAGCAAAATCTCGCTCGCGCGCAGGGCGCCAGCGCCAGTGCGACCGCGCCAGCCCCCCCGCAGGAGCGGAAAAAACAGATCGACAGGACACTGGCGACGACGCGGTCGAGCACGGCAAGCATGGGCAAGTTTGACCGCAAACTGGAAGGGGAGAAGAAGCTCAAGGGTGTCAAGCGGAAGGTGCGCCGCTGCGTCTCTGCCATGTCCAGAGCATCTGAACTGATTTTCTGTTCGCAGTTTGACCCCACGGAGGTATCCGCTTCCAACGAAAAGTCACATAACCTTGCCATCCTCCAGGGGCTCGATCGAGGACCGACAGCGAAGAAGTCCAGGTCCTCAGGAGACGATGTGCTCAACGTCAGGAAAGCGATCAGGGTGGCGAGCAAGGGGAAGGGCAGCGCAGCGCTGTCTCGAGAAGGCGGAGGCGCAAAATCGAGGTCGAATAAGGGCAGGAGATGATTGTTTCATCGTCCCCCAGATTTCATCGATCGCTTCGCAGTCATGGCGGACATGCGAGACTGAGCACTCGGTATGCTTCTTGTGTAGCCTTTTATCCGCTATCTTTGTCCTCGTTCATTACGTTGCATATTTTCAAGAACCTTCTGGTTGCCTTCTCTGTCAACACAGAGACGATTTGTGGCATTTAGCAAATATGGCTGGTCAGCAATCTGCAGTTAGGAAGTGGACGTGGAAATTTCATTGTGGGCCTTGACTTCTGAAATTATAAACCTTGAACGAAGCTATGACACCTAAAGTCGGGCGCAGTGGTGCATTTGCGACTAACATGACCATTGACCAATAACGTATGTCAATTTGGGATCCTGCCGCGAAGTCATTTCATAGGTTCGCTGACACGACAACCGAAAGATTGTTAAATCTCACGGGTCGATTAGGACGTTCAATATCATCGCGGCATGCAATAAATTCATTCTACACTAATGGTATGACCCCAAATTCAGCAACATTTTTTGGTATCATGTAACCGCGACAATCCCACATAAGGCATACAAATACAGGGATGGAAGCACGAATTTATGTTCAGTATCCGGACTGGTCAAAACGGAGTCAGCGCCGGCAGTAGGCGAACATGCGCATTTGGATACACACCTTTTCCTCTTGACCACGCTGGACCATTCCTTGGTTGCCAGTCACCTTGCCAGCTATCTCCTGGAGATCGCCTGCATATAGAACACGATCAGTGTCTGACATTGGCGTTTGAAGCAAGAGAGTATAATTACCCTTGATGCGGTGGGTCATGGATGGCTTCCCACCGGGCCCAGCACCAGCTCCCTGGTTATTCTGGTCGTAGCCTCCTTGGCCCAAACCGCCCTGCTGGGCTCCGCCACCGAAGTTGTTACCGCCACCACCGCCACCACCGTAGTTGTCGTCACCACCCCCTCCACCCCCGGCCTGCTGGCCCTGTCCGTAACCGCCTTGTTGGTCCTGGCCGTAACCGCCCTGCTGGTCCTGACCGTAACCGCCCTGCTGGCCCTGGCCCTGGCCGTAGCCTCCCTGCTGGCCCTGGCCGTAGCCTCCCTGGTCCCCTTGGCCGTAACCGCCCCGATCTCCCTGGCCCTGGCCCCCCATGTCCTGGGTTCCCTGGCCCCCCATGTCCTGGGTTCCCTGACCTCCCTGGCCCTGGAAGCCTTGACCTCCCTGGCCTTGGAAGCCTTGACCGCCTTGGTTCTGCCCGCCAAAGCCGCCGCCGGCTACAGCGATCAGAATAGTCAGACAAAGATGTTTCTACTCGGTGCGAACGTAAGGAGCACTTACAGTTGTTGTAGCCCTCAGAGTTCATGTTTGTGTCGTGGATTACGAAAAGTGGTTATATAATGAGGTCGATGTGAGAGAAGATGAGTCGTGGTATATCTTAAGGGAACATGCAGCGGCGAGCATTGTCCTTTATACTTCTGGAGAAGGTTATGTCGAGGCGTTAGCGGTACCTGTAATCGCTCATGATGCAATTGCGGGGTCGGTGACGATGGTACGGGTCATGACTGTGCATGACGAGCTATGGAGACTCGGACGGTCTAGACATGAGATTCTGCACACGATGCACTGCTATCCGCAGTAGAAATAACACATAGAGCCACATCGATGCACCTGGCCATGCAGGGAGCCACATCGTCTTGGCCACTCCACGCTCGCGACAAGTTGAGAGCGCTTGTAAGATTCAGATCTACTAGACCTTCCCTTTATGGATAGTGATCGGATGCGAACGATTTCAGACTCAGCGAGCGTCCGACTCGAGCGCTTCCGCCAGACTTCATGTTCGCTTATGGTTCATCCTAACAAGTTCAATATAGTATCCACATGTGCCGCTCATAACAATGCGGTCTAAACCTCACTTTCCTTTGAAGGATCATAATCATGAAAGCAGTTCATCACGTCCCATCGAACACCTACCCTCAGCGACTCAGTCCAGGCTGCGCTCCACACAGATCCTTACTTCACTTCCACAAATCATCTCGGAGCTCATACAGAACTCGCTTGATGCCGATGCACGGCATATTGACATCGGAGTAGACTGCGAGGACTGGTCATTCTGGGTGCGCGATGACGGAGTCGGCATAGACAGAAAAGGGTTTGACGTCCTCGCCGGTGGCGCAGAGGTCGGACGGTATGGTGAGTTTCCGCGGAGCCTACTGTAGCCCGCGTATGTACGCTCAAGCTATGAAGGTACGTCCAAGGCATACACCCCAGCATCCTTAGATCAAGTATCGACGTTTGGCTTCCGTGGTGAAGGTGCGTCGACCGATGTACTCTTACCTTGTGAACATTTCACATGTTCTCCACAGCGTTAGCTTCCGCTGCAGATCTTTCCTGCCTCGAAATATCTTCCAGGACAGCGCGCTCAAGAGAGAGCTGGTCGGTAATCCTCAAGGTGGATCTCCCTGCTCCCGCTCGTCTGATGTGGTAGCTCACGAGGGGATGGAACCAGGGTGGGGCGATCCTATATAATGGACCCTCGGTTCGTTGGCGCAGAGAATCTCCCGGAACTGTTGTCTCCGTTAGAGACGCCTTTTATAATGTCAGTAGCTATGTGGTAACGAAACTTTGCAACTGACCCGTATTACTGTTCTCAGCTTCCCATTCGCCGATTATCGCATCCATCTCCCTCAAGGGCAATAGAGCTGATCCGCCGTGATATAGAGACCTTTGCACTCGCCTTCCCACATATTTCTTTCTCGCTCGAGAACACTCGTAAGTCACGAGATATGGGCTCTGGTAAAGGGCGAATCATAACTGTACCAAAGGTGACACTACTCCCGGATGTCCCTCATCCTTACCAACCTGATATTACAGACGTCTTCCAGCCTTGCAGCATTCCGCCATCTGTACGGAAAGGCGCTGGCGGAGGTGCGGTCGTCCTTGATGTCATTTTTGAATGAGAATTCACCTTGCAATCAGCACATCGATGAGATCAACGAGGTACGAGATAGCATGAGGCTCGAAGGTTTCATAAGCTTGGATGGAGCGCATTCAAAGGTACGACGAATCCTTATGGACTCAAGGAAGTGACTAATCATGGAGCGCCCAGACATACCAATTCCTCTGTGAGTATTGCTCACCATAGTAAGCAGTCCCCAATACTAACTATACCAGACATCAATAATCATATAATTTCGCCGTGCGAGTTGCACCGTTTAATCGATTCGAAGTTTTCCTCGAGTTTATTTACGAAGCATGTGTGTCTACAAGAGATCTGGGGCAAGGGCGCTGCTGACGCACACATCCCCAGGCATTTGACGAGGAAGGCGAGACAAGCCTGCCACGGTCTAGTATGTGCGCGAAATATGTGTATACTCTCAGAAAGATTGACTGTCGCCAGACACCCGTCGATCACCACGGAAGACTGAGAAGAAACCGGCGTACGTATTGAAACTGAGCATTCCTCCGCAACATGTCGACAATTGCGTAGAGCCCGCCAAGACTGTCGTTCAGTTACAGGTGGGCTTCTCTCGGCTGAAACACACTATCATGCGTAGATACTTCGCTCACATTACACTGTTGGCAGAATACAGGGGCAGTGACCGCTTTCCTCGCCAGCGTGGTGGAATCCTTCCTCATTCGCCACGGATTTGTTGCCCAGCGCATCAGACAACGCAACGATAGCTCCTGCAGAACGTTACAGACCGATATGCATCCGCCGCGGAAGAGAAGGCGGGTCACGCTGAGCACAAAACGTTCTCATGAGCAGGACACAGTACGACCAGGGTCACCTTCCTTTCGCGGAGCCATCGAAGGCCTCCGTGTTGCTACGACAGCCTTACCCCTCACCGCGAATCCTGTACGTCTTCTATATCATATTCGGAAAAGAACAGGCCTGAAGCTGTACGTAACTACACAGACAGAGGATGATGACGCACCCGCGCAGACAACATGGACAAACCCAGATACCGGAGAAATATTCGTCGTAGATACCCGCACAGGAAACTCATACCCAGCACATAACCAGCAACAAGGAAGGCTGCCGCTACATAGACGGAGAACGATCGCAATCAAACCAAGCACACGGATCAGCAGCAGCAAGGGCGGCGAAGACCTCGAAGGAATAGAAGATATGCCTGATTGGATTAGGACAGCGTTGCAGGTACGCCGGCGTGACAACGCTGAAGCTTGGAACCGAATCGGAATTTATCAACGTCGCTCTAGACAAACGAAGCTTATGCCATCCCCGAGCCACGAATACCAGCTCTCCCCCACTTGGCTGCCTTTTCAGCCAATGCGCACGGCTGTCATCACTCTCTAAACACAGGAGGTCCGTTCACCCAACGAGGGATGCAGCATGGCAACTGGCTAGACATAGGCTCGCAGCCGACGCGACCAGGGCGCTTCAGTAGAACAGCTCTCCGCTCAGCACGCGTAATGACGCAGGTCGATCGGAAATTCGTTGCCTGCGTTTTAGACACAGGCGAGGATGATAGCGATGTAGAGGTCGACACCCAAAGGCCGGGCCGGGCGCTGGTGCTGATTGACCAGCACGCCGCTGACGAACGTATACGGGTTGAACGTTTCTTGAAGGATCTCTGCCTAGGTTTCTTGCACGACAGGTACTCTCCGGGTGGATCAGAGGATTGCATTCGGGTGGATGTGCTGGAGACACCCGTCCCGATCCTTCTAACGTGCCATGAGGCGCGAATGCTCACAGTAGAGCATACCCGTATCGCATTCGAGCGATGGGGCGTGAACTTTGCTGGCCTGGAGCAGCTACAATTCGAACATCAGGACAGCGGCCAGGGTTTTCCCCTGGGCGAGACTAATATGGAGAGGGACTACATGCAGGTCATGGTCGCTGGTATCCCGCATATAGTGAGCGAAAAGGTGAGTATTGAGGCCTAGAAGATTGTCGGTTTCACAACCTCCATCTGTGACAGCTTCTAGCGGGAGACGAATTGAAGAACCTTGTCAAGGGCTACCTCGCCAAGTTGGAGGCGGAGGGCATCCCTGTACTGGCCCCAACGCCGTCGTCTACCCAAGGTGTATTACAAGGCGATTTACAGGATGATGATGAGTCATGGCAGAGGGCGATGCGATGGTGTCCTCGTGAGCTGCTAGAGTTGGTCAACTCCAAGGCATGCCGAGGTGAGGACACCTTAGTGAGAGACCTCGCGCGGAGCTCATTCTTTTTTGAGGTGCCATCATGTTCAATGATCCGCTCACGTTGGAGCAATGCTCGCGCCTGGTGCAAGATCTTGCAGGCACTGCGCTACCCTTTCAGTGCGCGCACGGAAGGTAAGCTGTGCATTCGGGTGGTTTGGCTATTGTTACGCTTTTCGCTGACTCTTACCTCGATGACATAGGCCCTCTCTCGTGCCACTCGCAGATCTTGGTGTCAGCGAAGGTACCGGGGGCGACACACATAACGAACAATGCTCGCATGCCCGCTCGAGACCCATTGACTGGTGCCGCTTGCGATAGACATAATTCAGGGCAGTAATACATAGCATTTTGGCTGAGAATGGAAGAGCACCCGTGAGACGTGCGAGAGAATTCCGCACTTCGTGGCAGCGACAAACCTAAACAAACCCGGTACCTGACCACTCATAATCCGTATTACTTCGAGTAGTTGACTGCATGACATCTACTCGACCACCACGCTTATTTCAGCAAGCGCAGCGATGTTGAGAATGTTGTTCCGAATCTAAAATAAATGGGCACTTCGCCCAGACATTCCATGGGTATCCCAATTCGATGATTGCAGTGGTGTCCTATTCAATTGTGCTCGGATTCTGGATGGAAATCTCAGGACCGTTACCCGTACACGCATGGAGATGGACAGGAACGTATGCTGTGTGTAGCTGCCGAATGCCAAATGAGATAGCCACACCAACACACGGAACACGCTAGTCGACGAGTAAACTTGAATATCTTCGAAGACATCTATCCACGAATATGACGCATCCGCCCACATCTCGTCACTCAGATGTCAAGGAGGCGATGGTCAACGAACATATAGATGATAACGGAAAATATACAGACCGCTATTCCCTGAACAACCCCAATCGAGAATTAATGAGTGTATCAAAGCTGAATAGACTACGACGACTTACGATGACAACGCTCAGGATTTTACCCCATCGGCGCACGACTCCCGGATCGACAACGCGCAGCTCTATGTCCCATCCTCGCATAAACTCCAGCTCGACAACATGTAAATCTCTGTCCCATCTTCGCACCTGATAGGTCGAGAGGGGATACAGGTTCTTCATTAACCGCGCGAATTTCTTCCTCTGACCTTTGTTGATCTTCACGAACCCACTCGCAAACTTGAAGAGGTTGCCAGCGACGCAAGCTTCGTGCAACTTGACTGGATCTACGCGTGCCTCCAAAAATAGCCGCTTGTATATGCCTTTAAGATCTTTTACAAGCGACGGGGATAGGCATTTGTTGAAGCCATAGTCCATAAAGACGGAAAACTGCGGGACAACTCTCTCTGTTTCATCGACAGCGAACTGCTTGAGGTACCACACCGAGTAAAAGACTAAAGGAGAGCCTTCCAGGACGATTTCGAGATTGGGGATGCAGAGACAATCTTCTTTCAAGCCGTGTCGGTCGAAAAGATCCATCAGGGAAGACTCGTCGTAGGCGTGCCAGAATTCGTCGAAGGTGCATCGCTGGAAAAGGGTTTTATACATGATCACGAGCTTTGACTCAACATACTCGTCGGGGCAGGCACAGAAGCCGAATGTTACCCAAATTTTCCCCACGGGTGAAGGACGCCAGTCTGATAGAATACTGATGCAAAGCGCGTAACAAGCAGACTTGGACTTGGGCCACGAAGACGCGATTTGTCGCATGCTTTCTACATCTGGGCTGGCGAGAACCCTAACATAGCGATTCGCGCGTGTGATCATGTCGTGAATAGGGTTTTCGGAGGGACCTGGCAACGAGGCGTCGAGGACCCATTGGTTCTTCAAGAACCACGGATAGTATTGTCCGCGGCTGTTTTCAGGCCAACTGTTGAAAGCGGCTTTTATTTCCTGGATCAGCGTTCCGGAAACACGCCACATATGGATCTGCTCTGCCGGTATCTGCATGACCTTCATGAGCCCGATATACAGGCCTAAGAGGTTGGAGCGATTCTCCACTGTAAATGCTCGCTCGAAGCCGAAGTCCCGGGTGGTTTGCATGTCCTCGGGGACGAGGTCGCGGATGACGGCACGGGCGAGGTGGTCAGCGGTTGTGATTTCGCTCGGATTGCAGTTGAATATATGTTCCACCCGATGGTCTTTCTGACATTGCGCACTGCAATACCAAGCAGTCGTGGATGAACAAGCACTGCATCGCCTAGTGGCAGCACTTGAGCACGGGACGCATGCGTGGGGCATTGTGAACGGTTTCTAGTGCGCGCAAAGAAGTCAATCTACTACGTCCAGGTTATCAGGGGCGCCATAAAGCTTACTAGGGAGGATCGTATCACAGTTTTTTTACGCAAGCCGCGGAGAAACGATCCCAGAGGACCCTTCTAAGACTGAGCTGGAGGAAGGGGAGCGTGTGACGGACTCAGAATGGTGGACCGGCTCCGTGGCAATAGAGTTCATGATGGCGGCAGATTCCTCGCGTCCCGTCGCCTGCCCCCTTGTGGTGAGGCGAGCAAATGTCCTTAAATGACATGCAAGATTATTAGTATGAGCCCTCTCTAAGGAGACCACGAAGCCTCGACGGGTCTGTATTGGTGCACATACGACGGGAGTCTCGTGCGTGGCAAATAGAGTATTATCGAACACCAGCCGTGTATGACCTTCAGCAATCTCGTCCCGCAGCATGATTGTGTTGAAGCACAGAAGATGAGTTGTAGTAAATAGTATCCGAGTTGGCATCTTAATCTCGGAGGCATTTAAGGTCGACCAGTCATCTAAACGCGACGCGTCATGCACGTGACGCTAATGAATGGCATGCGGCAACGCCGGGTCTTGCCTGCGCGCCATTTCAGCCCCATACACCCTGCGAACATCACTGACCTCGTCTATTATAACTAGCTTGACTGTGTCATCAACATCTGTAACTTTCTTCCATTGTCAAGCTATATACCCAGTACTCTACAGCTAGCTCTACTCGGATCGCAGACATGTCCACAGAAGTCATCTCAAACTCGCCATCTCCTTCGCCCCACCAGCCTCCCATGTCCCGTTCCAATTCCAAGCCGAAGGGCATCCTGAAGAATGCTCCGCCAGTACACCCAACAAGCCAACAGTCAGTGCCTCACTCTCTGATCGCATTGCGGCTATGAAACCTTCATCCAAAGCAGTCTGCAATGGGATGAAGAGAACCTCGCCTTAACCGAGGCGCAGAAGGATAGCCAAATGAAGATCACAGAGCCCAAGACTCCTTATGTACGATACAATGCTGAGACTGACACCGTAGAGAGCGGTAAGCTCGCCATCCCGCTCATCGTCCCTCTGCGGCCGATACTGATCTATCCACGTGTTATGTGCGTGTAGATATCCCCTCGCTCGACCTGAACGGCACGGGCGTCGTTTCGCCCATCCGTGCACAATCGCCCTCCAGTAGCACAGGTGCGACTGGGGGTGGATCCACACCTTCATCCCGTCGCACATCATTCTCCAGTCGCACCGCAGGCAGCGGAAGTGGCCGGTCAAGCAGGAGCACGAGCTTCAACTTGCCGGATGATATGCGAGAGACAATCAGATTAGACGGTCGGCAGCCAGGGGACGAAGTAGAATTTGAGGAGATGGATGAGGAAGGTACGCGTACTACGTGCTCAAGCGCATTGGATGTGTTAATCAACGCTTGTATAGCCGCTGCTAAGCATGCAGCCTTCTTGCGAGCACGCGGACGCCACTATTCGAATGAAGCAGAAGCTATGAAGGTTGGCTGCTTCGCCTGTCTTCTTCAAACATTTCTCACAGCTACACTGCTCAGGTGGCAGCTAAGTTGATGGAAGACGAAGACGAAGAAGACGAGAGCGCTTCCATTGACCACAGTGTTGACGAGGACAGTGTGATGTCCGTTGACGAAGAAGCGCCAGCGAAAGTCAATGGCGCGTTTCACGGCAAGTGAAAGGAAGACATTTCAACAGCAGTAGATCTTGTAGCTTTGTGTGCTTGTCTCCTGGCTGTCAGTCGATCTGCTGGACGCTGTTCTCGTTGCGATCACCGACCGTGCGTTGTATAGTTACCCGAGTTCAGTGTTTCGTTAGGTCCTAAATCAATGTGTACTCGCAAGTCTAACTGTGTATGTTCCTGGAAGCAGTATGTAATTCTAATTTGTGGACACTGGATGGGCCTGGCTATGTACCGGCGAGAGACGCTGGGCGTCTGTTTGCGCCACCGCGGAGTGTAATGCTTGGAATATGTCCCGATCGTCTGCAAGTAACTACCATGATCAGGAAACGTACTCGTCCTCAGCCACATATCCGGCAAAAGTCTCTTGAGGTCGAGGAAGAACCTCAAGAAAAACAAGAGCAAGAAGATGACGTGAAACTAGAGTAGGTACTCTGGTCAGGTTCATGGTCTTGACGCTTTGGATATCTTCAACTGACCCTGACGGTATGTCTATAGGGTTTCTGATCTCATTGAGCTACGGAAGCTCAGACGCACGCGAGAGGGCATTGATGTCCAGAAGCTTGTCAAGGGGGATGTCAAGAAGAAGAAGAAGCGGCCTCGAGAGACTGAAGAGGAGCAGGGTGGGCTGAGGAAGGGAGCAACGAAGGATGATGATGAGTACGTGCTCATGACCCGCAGGCCGTGTGTTCGTAACCTCTGACGGTCAGCATGGTGTAGCGAGGAAGAAGATGCCGAGACAAAGGCAAGGAAGGTTGTCCGGACCAACAACTTCACGCAACAGACGAACGTGTTAGACGTGGACAAGCATATGTGCGTTCTTATGTCGGTATGAGGCTGTCTATGATATCGACATATAACACAGGATGGCGTACATTGAGGAGAACATGAAGTTGAGACGAGGAGCTCAAGACGAAGAGAAGGAAGACGATGGTCCGCCAGATCCCTATGCCGAGCTCTTCCGCATTCCAGATAAGTACAAGGTCAAGCAAGAGAAGAATGAACAGGATGAGGGCAGCGTCACCAATAGTCTTGCCATGCTGACTGCGATACCCGAGGTGGATCTCGGAATGGAGTGAGTTTTACCGAAGTCGCTATATTTGTATCCCCCCGGCTGACCACTACCCAGCACACGCCTCAAGAATATTGAGGATACGGAGAAAGCCAAGCGCTACCTCACGGAAGAGCGCAAGGAGCGCAAGAAGAACGCAAACGATGAAGAGCATTTGGCAGCTGCGCGCTGTGAGTATTGACCAACAACTTGTGGGGTTGAGACTGAATTCGGCGATCCGAAAGTCTACCGACCGAACTTGAAAATGAAATCCGACGCGGATATCATCCGGGATGCGAAGCTGGAAGCAATGGGGCTGTTGCCTGAAGATCACGAGGAGCGACACCCCCACCGGCAACGGGCTCAGATGGCCACGGACGAGATGGTGCGTTCATCCTCTCCGCTCGCGGGGTTCCCCAGTTGAGCTTGGCATCGACAGGTTATGGAGCGATTTAAGAAGCGGATGCGTAAATAGCACGCTGCACTTGAAATTCTACGCCGCTACTGTTTGCACTGCCACTCTGCCACGATACTCCTGCTTTATCGTTCTGGTCTTGATGGTTCTACACGTACTATACTGTACCAAGTAATCAATTGTATACGGGTTTTCTCGAAATCTCATCGGTTGTGTCATCGTGCGCTGCACAAAGTGGGCGCCAGTTTACCCTTTGTCCAGCAATTGAGCGCCGTAGTTGCATTGAAAATGACATACACGTGTGTCACATCTTTAATTCGTCCTCTTTCCCCTTCCCCTTCTCGAGCCATAGCGCTCGCTAGACAGCGCCCAGCTGGGAAGTATGGCACAAGAAAATGACCTTGCGAATGGAGAGAAGTCTGCAGGGCCTTCAACCTTCTCTCTTGACAATATCCTCGATGGAGACGATGAAAACGTAGACCTGCCACCTCTGAAAGACGCCCCAGAGGGTAGCGCAGACGAAGAGACGGCCGAGGGTGCAGCTGCACACGGCTTTTGTATAGAATGCGAAGGTATGTTAGATAGCTGCGAACCCGGTGCGTAAGCCATGAATGCATGACGACCTGTGACACTGCCTAGACCAACCGGCCCAAGTACTCTGTGAAACGTGCGGAGATGAGTACTGCGAAGTCTGCTTCACTGCGCAGCATCGAAAAGGCACGCGCAAGAGGCATGCTACGCGACCTTTGTCCGGGCGCAATAAACGGGCAAAGCTTCAGAATGGGACTGCTACTAGTGCACCTGCCACAAATGTCACGAAAAATGGCGGGGCAGAGTCTGTGAGTCTCGTTATCTCATGGCATGACAAGCACGAACAGCTCAAGCCGTGTTCGCCTCAGATGCAGGTCGACGAAGATTCCGACGAGGAGCTGGAGAATGCAGTGGGGAATACTCCGTCGGCCAAGGCATCCTCCGCCGAGAACGAGTCGACAGTGGGCGAGTGGTTCGTTGACCGCTCCAAATTCATCCCACTCCGCCTGTCGCTAAGAGAGCGCAAGTACCTGCGTTTACTCGAGGCCGCTCTGAACGTGTCAGAATATACGGACAAGATCGACACATTAGGCTTTGGGCTGAGCAAAACGAAACGGATCGTACATCAAATCCGCGAGCTCTGTGCCATCATGTCTGGCCTTGTCATGTCTGCGGACTACAAGCAGGGTCAGGAGCTGTTCGCTGACCGTGACTTTGCCGCGAACGAGGAGTTCTTCCAACAAATCTTCGAGCTCGGTCGGCGCCACAAGATCATGAGCCCCGACAAGATGCGGGCAACGTATGGCAAACTCATGTATTTGCTGCAGGTTGGTCCTGCTCTTATCATCCACCCAGACCCGGTGTGAATCTTGATATTCAGGACAGTCAAAGTCCTGAAGTCAAGGATATGCTCAACTTCACGTGCGTGAAGCCCATCGAGACCGTCTACTCGATATTGGAAGAGTGCGACGCACTCGATCTCCTGCGCGACGATCTTGTCTCTGTCGCCACGAAGGAGATTTATGCGGAAGGACGCTCGCGACGAGAAATACAAAAGGACATCAAGTCTAAGGAGCGCGCGATCGAAGAGCTCGCAGCGCGTCACGAGCGACGAAATCTGAGCCAAGAGCAGATCCGCCAATGCTTGTATAGCATTGGTGATAACCATGCATTCTTGCGCGTGAACCGCGATCCATGTGACAAGATGATCGCCAACCTCAAGAAGTACTTCCACCCAACGGATGCGAAGGATAGCAAAAGCAGCCTTGCGATCAAGAGTGGCAAGGGCGGCGCGCGTCTCACGCACGATCATTCGAAGCAGTACGCATACGTTATCCAGAGTTTGACCCTCTGGCGAGAGGTCTTGCATGGTACGCCTCGCGACGATATATTTCTACGGAAGCAATATACCTAAGCGCGTATGATGCAGATATGTTCCATCTGTGGTCCTTGGCCGAGCAGGACCTTCTATCGGAGAACGTCCCGTATCGTTTGCGAGACACTGGACAGGGCTTGAACCGCGTGCAAGCTGCTCCAAAGACAGCGCGCATGATGCAAGTCATCCTGAATCGCGCTCAGAGAAGCGTTGGTTCTTGGGTAGGCTCGTCTGTCATCCATATGGGCGATCACAATGTCCCGAATTCGCTCATGTTTATCGGTGCGTCTCCAGTGCCTTCAAACCGTCTGTTTGTCATTTTGATACAATGTCATCTTCCTAGACAAGTACTCGCAGATCTATCGTATCCTCCTGCCAATCTGCAACACGCTGTCGCAGATCCCAAAGCTCGCCGAGAATCCCGCGCTGCGCTCATATATTGAGGACGACTTCGGCAGCGTCGAATCATGTTGTCGCGAGATCCTGCAGGATTTCTTCCGCCATGGGTTCGATGGGTCTGGGGCAGGCAATTACTTTGATGCCGGCTCGTGCATCGACGGTCGATTGACAAGTGCATGGAATTGGTGCTCGTCGCTGGAGAAGAAGCGGTTCTTCCCGGTCTTTTTGTTGACAGGTGCGTTAATAGATTGCGTGCTGAATTCTATGGGTTGGCATGTATTGATGTGTGTGTAGGTTTCATCGGTTTTGATGGCGAATGGTAGTCATGCCTGCTTTCTAGACTTGCTGTGGCGTAGATCGTTTGTAGACATCCTGATACTAGCGGGTCCCCACGTAGGTTCCAAAGCACAGGCGGATCCACTTGATACATCGTGACCTGTATAATAACATCGATACATCTAGCAACAGCCTACATACAACATGCAGGGGTGCCGTACCCATTTTCTATACGCTGCATGACTGGTCTCACTCAAGCAGCAGCAGTCTGCGCGACTCCTGCAGGTGTGGGTGTCTCAGTGCTCACAGGCGGGACATTACTAGTGCTTGCACTCGTCACTGCCTCTACGCCACCTCGTTTCCGTGCTACAGCGACAACGTCGAGCACGCTCGCGATCCCTGACTTCCATGCGAGTAGTCGCTTCTCCAATAGCTCCCATTGCGGACGTTCAAAGGCCCTCGGAGTTGCGCGGACGACGTGTAGAGTCTGCGAGGTTTGGGAAAGGCGTCCTGAAATGAGGCCAACTCGAATGACTGGAGAATCGGTAAATGCGGGGCTCCAGACACGCATCAGGTAAAAATGGCAGCGTACCATCAATGACCCAACGTTCAACCTCAGAGGGATCGACCTGCAGGGCGGAAGCAATCGTCACGTAAGGCAATTCATGTCCGATGTTCTGGAAGCCGAGCGTTGCGAGTGTGACTAGTCTAATCTTGCGCTCAAGTTGTGCCTTGTCCAAATCTGGCATCGATGATCAGTACGAGGGTCAACTGTGCAAAGCAGGTCCACTTACTGTACTTCGTGAGCGCGTCCGGGTGACTCTCCTCCCAGGCCTTGTACTCGGGAAGGCCATCATTGAGGAATATGCGCAAGAGTGCGAACAGCTCGTGGTCTTTCGCCGCGACGACCGCGTCGAGGCGGAAGAGGGTGTCGAAGTCAAAAAGTAAGGGAAGGCGGAGTGCAGCAGCAATGGCATCGATGGCGGCTGCTTGTGCGGTTGGTGATGATGGAGAGAGGGAACGGACGTATGAGATAGTATATTCGTATGATGTTTCTCTGTACGGGATGGTTCGGCTCCTCTGCGCGAAGAAGTAACGGAAATGACATACGGCTGGCCGCACTTCGTGTATCCAGATGCGATGAGCTGAATGAAGTCGCTCTTGTCTTCCGGCGCAACATCCCACTCCGATAGCCATTTTTCTACCTCCTGCCGTGACAGGCTGAGGAGGGCAAGTTCATCGTGCTCGCTCGCGATTTCGAGGAGAGTCTTGTATACGTGCAGTCGAAGACTTGATCGGCGAGGAAGAGCATTGAACAGGTTGGTCAGTCTGATAGGAGAATGTCAATCTAAACCTGGAAAGTCCCTCGAAATGGATACACACATGCGGTACTTGATGGGAGTGTGGTTGGAGGAGGTAGAGATCGTCTCGAGAAGAGCAGCAAGATGAGCCTTCGTCTCAGGTTCACCGAGAGGCAGCAGTGTGATGAGATGCGAAAAGAGGAGATTGAAGAAGCCCTCAATTTCTGACGACGAAGGGACGTGAGATCTGTACACAAAGAGCAGGTGATTATAACGGACGCACCTTTCTCCGATCCGTCTCCCAGCCCCTTTACCTCACCAAGTACCATGGTGAGTACTTTTGTCCTCCGGGGCTCATCCTCCTCAATTGGTGGTTGTCCATCTGCGATTTCCAACACATCGGCAAACGGCTGGACGAAAGCTGGACGCTGATCCTCCGGCTGGCTCAGAGCAAGGTAGTCCACCAATTCGCGGATCTGAAGACTTGTGAGATCGGCCTTTCCATAGCGCAACGAAATTGGCACACCTGCTCTGAGAATGTACCCTCTGCGAAGACAGATACTGAGTCTGCTGCTGCCATTTTTGATAATACGAATGCGCTGCAAGTCGAGGGCAGTCGAGGAGGAGCGTGGGAGACTTGGATTTTGCACTTTCCACGTGCTACTTACGCAGTGCGAGATCGAGATCGCCGGATTGGATCACCGCGCCCATAAGCGCCCATTGAGACCGTCGCCAGACACGCCTCCCAAGCTGCGCACACGTTCTCCCTCTCCTCTAGCACGCCTCGGATTGCGCATCTATAGTATTACGACCTCCACGAGCCTCTTATACCTCTCGGGCTTGTCATGAGTTTCTTCCGATCCAACAATCAGACCCCACAGCCTTCTCAAGGGCCGTATTCTCGCGTACCGCCTGGTAGTGCTGCCAGTAACCGCGAATTCGATTCGGGCAGTCGTGGGCCACGCGTTCCAGCGCCGAGATATGATGACAGTGCGGCCTACGAGAAGCGGGCCCCTGAACATAGATCTCATGTCCACGCTGATCGAGGGGGAGCGTGCGTATTTAGTCTACATCAGAACGCAGCATTCAACTGACCTCCGATGCAGATTCGGAGTTGCAGGAGCCCCCAGCGACGCGCTGGCCCTTACAAACTGCTTGATAGTGCACCCGCAAGACTTCCCTGAAGGTCGACATGTCCTCGTGAAGCAGCAATTCCCTCTGACGACCAGGTAAGTGCGTACCGCCGCTAACTTCGCTTGGTCGAGTTCGTCGATACTAGCTATGTTTCTGCTCCATTGTTGACGTCATCGTGCAACGAACCTATGTCTCATTTGGTAACTTAACACTGCGTCGTATCCTCTAGACATGACAACACTGGCAAGCTCGCGCCAGGCACCATTGGTGCATCTGCTGTCCAACGACAATGGATTGGGCTCTCTCTGACAGGCGATGAGGTCACTGTCCAGACCATATCTCCGGCGCCCGCATACATCCAATCTGTTGACCTCGAGGTCGGCTTCATGCGCCGCGGGGCCGAGAACGCTCAGCCTTTCTCTGCGGACGAGATGACGAAGAATTTCCTGAAGGCTTTCAGCGGGATCGTGCTCGCTGTCGGAGAAATCCTCGTTTTCGAGTTTCATGGGCAGAATTTGAAGGCGACTGTAAAGGCGCTGAGCGTTGTCGAGCTGCCTGATAGGCACGGCGGCGGGGCGGCGTCCCACCATTACGGTGTGATCATGGAGAAGTCGGATATTGCGTTCATAAAGGCGAGTGATAGCGCGATCAAGCTCAAGTCCAGTGCAAAGAAGTGAGGTAGTTCCTGTCAGTAGTCTGTCTCCGATCTGAACTTGAGCATAGGGCTCCACCAAATGCCATTCTGGCGGCGAACTTCAAGTTCGAAGACATGGGTATCGGTGGTCTAGACGATGAGTTCAGCGCTATCTTCCGTCGTGCCTTCGCATCGCGTGTGTTCCCTCCTGGCCTCGTGGAGAGGCTTGGTATCCAGCACGTTAAAGGTAGCATTCGCGCTCGATAATCACTGGTGAGATCAACTTATTGTTGTACCAGGCATTCTTCTTCATGGACCACCTGGAACGGGAAAGACCCTCATGGCGCGGCAAATCGGAAAGATGCTCAATGCCCGAGAGCCCAAGATTGTCAATGGTCCTGAGATTCTGAACAAGTACGTCGGTGCATCCGAAGAAAATATCCGGAAATTGTTCGCCGATGCAGAGAAGGAGGTATGGTCCCAATCTGGCTCCAATTCATACGACTCACCACACTTCCTCTAGTACAAAGAGAAAGGCGATGAGAGTGGGCTACACATCATCATCTTTGATGAGTTGGACGCCATTTGCAAGCAGCGTGGGTCGACTGGCGGGGGAACTGGTGTCGGCGACAGCGTCGTCAACCAGCTGCTATCCAAAGTATGCTTCTTCTACCTACAGTTGAATACAGCAATCTCACACATGCATGAAGATGGATGGTGTCGACCAACTGAACAACATCCTCATTATCGGAATGACCAACCGGCTTGACATGATTGATGAGGCGCTGCTCCGTCCCGGCCGTCTTGAGGTGCACATGGAAGTGTCGCTGCCTGACGAGCACGGGCGGCTACAAATCCTGACAATCCACACTGCGAAGATGCGTACCAACGGCATCATGGCACCGGATGTGAGCCTTGCGGAGCTCGCTGCGCTCACGAAGAATTTCTCGGGTGCGGAGATCAATGGTCTCGTCAAGAGCGCGACGAGTTTTGCGTTCGCGCGGCACGTGAAGGTGCTGTTTGACTTGTGACTATGAATGCACAGGCGACGTATACTGAATGGAATGCTGCAGGTCGGGACGCTGGCGGGAATATCCGACGACGTCGAGAATCTGAGAGTGAACCGGGACGACTTCTTGAACGCGATGGAAGAAGTGCAGCCTGCGTTCGGTGCCGCCAAGGAGGAACTCGACCACGTTGTCGAGAATGGCATCATCCACTATTCAACCACGGTCGAGGTGAGTACCATTGTGCTCCTTCTCAATGCCTTGTTGATTGTGCGTGCAGCACATCCTCCGCTCGGGTAAACTATTTGTCGACCAAGTCCGCACTTCCACTCGCACCCCTCTCGTCAGCGTTCTGCTGCACGGCCCGCCAGGTTCAGGCAAGACGGCACTGGCGGCGACGATCGCGCAGGCGTCACAGTATCCGTTCATGAAGTTGATCTCACCAGACAGCATGGTCGGCTTCTCTGAGGCCCAGAAGGTCGCGTCCATCAACAAGGTCTTCTCGGACAGTAATAAGAGTCCACTCAGCGTGATCGTCGTGGACAACGTGGAGCGACTGCTCGGTGAGTGTTTCGGGCGGACGAATGGTCTCTGGAGATGCTGACATGGATTGCAGACTTCACGCCAATTGGTCCTCGATTCTCGAATGTTGTCCTTCAGACATTGATGGTGCTCCTTTCACGGCGCCCACCCAAGGTACGCGCTAATGGCCGCGATCTCTCGTGCCTCACTGATCTGCGTATATATAAAAGGGCCGACGCCTGCTGATTATCGCAACTTCGTCATTGCGTCCCGTGCTGACAGATCTTGGTCTCTCAGAGATCTTCGACTCGGAGCTGCGCGTGCCACCCGTATCGAGTCTACGTGCTGTGGACCAAGTCCTGGAGGAGCTCGAACTCTTCCCGAGCGGACAGGCGCGCCGCGAGGCGATTCGCATGCTCGAACAGGCCGGGTTTGGCAGCCTGGACGCGCCCGAGGACGACACGTCGTCGAGGCTCAACGTCGGCATCAAGAAGCTGCTCAGCATCGTCGAGATGGCGAGGCAGGAGCCGGATGCTGTGGCGGAACGGTTGACACAGGTGTTGCTGGGCCTGTGAATGTAGAGTGGCATAGACTGTATTGTACCTGACGTGTATTTGTTCCATCCAATGGACTGTTTTCAGGATTACTACAGCGCGAGTGCTTGGTGTGGAGGATGTGCAAGCAGAGGCACACGACCGAGACGGGTGAGAGCGGCACGTGGGCGTCTGGCCGAAAGGCGTCGACGTCGCGGCAGGACCGGAGAGGGACGCTAATTTCGGTCCCTCTTCGTCTTCCTCGCTCGCTATGTTTCTCCGCTGTTTCTCTCCATAACTTCACAGGTTTTCTGTTATCAGCATAGTCTCACCGGATGCCCTACACGCTTCGTCGTTCAACCCTTCGTCGCCGATGTCCTTCACCTTCAGTTGGCCGCGATTCTCAGACCAGTTCCATGCCGACGCTATACAGATGCTCACGGCGGCCCTCAACAAGGGCAACAAGCCTCCGGTCATAGCAGATAGGATCGAGGTGGTTGAGCTGGAGATGGGTACTCAAGTCGGTCTATTTTTGCACGCATGACCTCCGGGTGCTCACTTGAGGTATTCTGTTTCGTGGCATAGCCGCCTGAACTGGAGATCAGGGACATTGGAGAACTCACCGTGGATCAGTTCCGAGGAATCTTCCGACTGTCGTACTCTGGTGATGCCCATATTGTTCTGCGAACAAAGGTCCAGGTAAGTGGTAGTGAACTTGTCTATGCCAATCGCCAGAGAAGTCTGATCATCCGGCTGCAGGCTAATCCGCTGAACCACAAGCAGCCTGATATTCATCTGCTAGGAGGGTCAAGAGGTATGCTAGCTGCCAAGCAGCCACTTGTTGTCCCCATGAACCTTCGCCTTTCGCACTTCAAACTCAACTCATACGTCGTCCTGGTCGTTTCGCGACAAAAAGGTATTACATTGGTATTCAAGACGGACCCTCTGCAGAACGTAGATATAAACAGCACGTTTGACTCCATCGCCGTCATCCAGAAGTTCATCCAGCGGGAGATTGAGGGCCAGCTGCGTCAGATGTTTAGGGAGGATCTGCCAGGCATTATCCACCGGCTCAGTCAACAGTGGGTCAAGGCGAAGGTTGAGGCACCCTACTTATCGAAGCGGCCCACTGGCGGGGCGCGCCAGCGAGAGTTCGACACAATGTCGATGCCCGATACTCCGCTATATCGGATTCCCCACCTGCCCTCCATGAGTCTACAGCAGAGCATGCTCAGGCAGCCTCATGGCCTCCCTACCTTTGGCCGCGCTCGCACCGCATCCGTTATGTCCGGTACGTCAGTGTCTAGCGCAGGTCGCAGACCATCATCGTCCATAGCGTCCACCCCAACAACACCCGCTCCTACACCTGCTCCCGATAACGGGATGTCTTCGTTTCCCGAAATCGAGAATTATGACCCGACCTATGGTCTTCGGCCAGAAGGCCTTCCGGCCAAAAGCGTCTTCAATGGTTTCCGGAGTCTCTTCACGCAAAGCAAGGGTCTTGCAGATCTTGCCGAGGATGCTGACGAGGTCGACGATTCTGCCGATGACACGCGGTCGTTCGATACGGGGACGTGGGATGAATTTTTGTCGGACTACGATCCGCCGCCACCATCGGCGGCAGGGCCGGATGATGATGAGGTGGAATACGAGTCCGTACCCGCCGTAGGGGGCGGCACCATCACTCGGCCTCGGGTATACCACTCGCAGTCACAGATCCAACCGTCTATCAGCGGCCCGCCTACGCAAACGGCAAGTCCGAGACTCAGGCCCGCGCCTTCTATCAGGACAAGTGCATCCCGACGCTCAGCGCCCCGTCTGCCTCTCAGCGCCCTGCCGACGCCCTCAGGGTCCCATTATGGCTCCTCGTATAACCCGTACTTTGCGGTGGCGACCCCGTTGTATGGTGGACCACGCCCACTGTCCGCCTCAGTCCTAGAGCGCTCCTGGTCAGAAGAAACTCTAAACGAAAGCCCTCTGTCTGCCAGCATTCCTCCCGTCCCTTCACTTTATCGCTCCCCATCACAACGGCCTAGCAGCCCGTCTAGCATGCTTAGTCAACCTTCACGCTCTAGCGACATGACCCACCCCGTAGTCACGCCACCTGCTTTCGAAGAGGAGGCCGGTATTCACATAGACCGACCGCGCCGACTCTCCCTAACCTCGTCGAACCTCGATAGATTCCAGCCCGGTTCACCATCAGAACAGCAGTACATGCCCGATCATGACCCAAAAATTGTGCTACGGCCAACTGCTAACAACTCGATATCGAAGCTGTCCACTCTGAGTCATTCGAACCACACCCTCTCTCCCTACACACGCACCCTCGAGCACTACACCGTCCGCAGTGTTCCGCCCCGCGACGCCACCTCTTGTGGACCTGCTTCTAGCGTCGAGAAGCCGCCAGTGCGGGCCAAGCGGAAGCGCATCCACCACTTGGGCGGGAAGCCGGCGAAGCCTGACGCCCCGCAACGCGATCCATCAGCGTCGCCTAGACCACAGCTCTCCGAGTTTGATGCCTCCGAGATGGATCGTTACTTTCGCGCCAATGACGACCTCATCCCCTTCTACCCCGATCATCTTCCCTCGCCTAATGCTCGACGACATTTCCCCTATCAATCATAATCAGGACTGTATCTTACGCACCATGTTTGTCCATGTATGCTATTGTCATTGGTACCATAGTTCACTCAATTGTAGATCATTGTCCTTGTTTGTTTTCTTTCGTAACGGTTCGTTCATATCGGGTTAAACGGCGGCGCGAGCGGCTGGAAGCCTTCTGCTGCGAATGGCAAAGTCGCCGTCATTGGCATTGGAATTGTCACTATCGTAGGCGAAGCTGCGCTTTCGAACTCCTGTGCGCACGCAGCGCATCAGTGCGTAGTTAAAAGGTCAAGCGACCACCGCTACACCTACGTCTACATGCATACTTGGGAGCCGGCTTGTGTTTTGTCTGGCCGCTGGTATCTGGCGCAGCTGCCGGAAGTCATTGTTGTTGTACGTTTTAGTGAGACCGGTGGAGGCCGGCGAGCGGATGAGGGCGGGTGGTGATATAGTGACGAGCCCGAGGGCGTCCTGGTTGAGTGTCCGCCGAGGTGGCGTCGACGGCACGGGTATCGCTGGTTGGAGAAGTTCCTCGAGATCACGTATCGTGAGCTTGACGGAATCTGGGAGGGGTTTCGGAGGATTCACGCCGGGGGTTTCCTCTATCGAGATATTTATCTTGCTCTTAACAGCGTCAAGCCGACCCATCCAGTCTTCGGACAGGACGGAACGAAGTTGATCACAGAAATTCATGTACGAAGCTTCCGTGATACCGACCAAATTGACGGCTGCTCCAGCTGGAGCTGCTGTCCTGCAAAGCCATTCAAGGAGGGCAACACAACTCTCCGCAGTAGCGGCTTGTAGTGTTTGTGCTAGGTTATGAAGGTGATCGAACAAGCGACCAAGTTCTAGCCGAAACTTGTCTGTTGTCGCTTGTGTGAGTTCTGTTGCTGCGAGAAGGGACAAACACTGAGTGAGTATGTTTGACAGGACTGGGGTAGGGATATTGGGTTCTCGGCCGGAGCGCAGGAGGGTAAGGGCGATAGCGCAATGCAAGTCCAGTCCCATCTTGTCACTGTAGTGTGCTAGAAGCTGCGCCAACTCTGTAAGTACAGAAGACGTGAGGTGCTGGTCAAACATCAACATGAAACATGAGACAAAGGCTGCTGTGGCCTCTTCCAACCCGATCACACACTCCACGAAGACCGTTGATGCGCGCGACGAGCCGCTGGCCAGCTCGAGGAGAAAACGCAGGGACAGGAAGACTTGCGAATGCCGGATCGCGCGCTCTTGTATTCGTGTGCTAGGGTCTTCTATTTCTTGCAGCGCATGCTGGAGCTCCTTCAGTTCCCCGAGTAGGAGCCACTCGCCAATGCCCGCCACGCCTTGGTCGAGGTCGATCAACCGCTTCACGAAATGTGCCTTGTTCTCCGTGTCTAGTACTCTGCAGAACGCCCACAGCTCGCGGAGCAGCAGCGGCATCACCCGCTGCGTCCAGACCGAGTGTCGGCTGACATCCGTGCCTGGCATGGGCAGAAGGTAGTCGACGAGGCAGAAGACCTGCAGGAGATGGTGGACCGGGTCGCGGTCTTCACTGCGCAGGCCGTGTTCCAGGAGCTCTCGAAGGACTACTTCCGCGCCGGGCCTGCCGCCTTCTGCAGTAGGAAAGGGATTACCGATCGCGCGAATGACGTCTATGCAGGCCTGTCTTGTTTCCTGCGCCGCGACGCATGGCGGGCTTGACTGCGCAAACAACATGTCCGCCGCATCTGTGCACACGAAGAGGTCCGCAACACTGGCCGCTAAATCAGACACAGCGCGGCTAGCGAGGAGGTATGTGGGGTAGAGCCTGAGAAGCAGCTCGAGCAGCTCGTTCGCGGTACGAAAGAGCTCGGTCATCAGCTCCTGTGGCTTGCGCTCTGGGGGTTTCAGACTGAAATGGGTCTTGATCTCTTCGGATACCGGTATGAATAGATCGACGAGGCGAGCGATGAGCGAGATGGAGCCCTCTGTCCAGAAGTCCTGGAGCACGCGGTACTCCCCTTGCTCGTCCTGGTCGCCCAGCTCCTGGTCAATGACAGCGAGCGCAACGCGCAACGAACGCATATTTGTCAATGTCAGTGGTCGCTCGAGCGGCCGCAACAATTCTTCAACCGCTCCCGGCAAGCCGTCGTCGGCAACTATGGCTGCCTGCCGCATGGCAACGCGTTCGTCGGAAGTGATGAAAGAGTGAGGCGGCCTAAGAGACAGTATGCACTTGATTAAGTCCGGCTGCAGCATCGCGCGTGGGCTCTTTGCAAGGTTAACGAGGACATGCTCTGCATCAAGGCCTGCACGCCGAGGGGGGTCGTTATCCATCATGCAGTCGAGCCGGAAAATCATCTGTTTGAGGAGCAAGAAGTGGTTGACGATCTGGGGGACGCAACAATCAGTACCATCCAGGTGGCACGCTACCACCGACTGACCTCCCTGTAGCCGTCGACGCCTTGCCACAGCCGGATTATGCTCAAGGCGCGCTCCCGACACACCTTATGAGGATATGCATCCGCGAACGCATACACTGCGAGGACAGCAGCGACACCTATAACAGCTCTCAAGAACGCAATGAAGCCATCATGGATCACCGACTTCAGCGGCCCGAAGAGATAAGGAGGGTGCGGTAACGGAATCGGCATGTTAGGGTTCTCCGCAAGCGCGTTGACCACATCCTCATGGGTGACCATGGATTCTAGCCAGACGCCTAATGATTGCTCCTCTGTGCCTACCTCCCTGATGAAGGTGGCCGCGGCAGTGAGATCGCCCTGTGTATTTGAGAGAGCATCCTCGAAGACCGCCCAAGCTTCCACACGCAAAATGAGCTTGCTAGCAGCTAATTGTGTCTCCTTGCCAGTGTTCACGTCTTTGGAGATTGCGCTGACCAGGCCTAGAAACCACTCGTTGTTCAAATAGCGCGCGATATCTGGGTTAGTCGCAGCATCTCGCAACCTGATCAGAGTCATCTCGTCACGCAGGTTGCCCATGTCAAACACTCTCGTAAGGTCGAGGCTTTCCTATTAGTGTAATCAATACGGGATAAGCACAGCTTCTGCAGTTTTTTTTGGACGAACCAAGAGTAATCTTGCCATGTTCGGATGTTGAGACGCTGCATGAGCCAAGATACCTGCTACAAGGTATGGCTGGTTGCTGTTCTGCTATCGCGTTTCAATGAACGCATTAAGCGACTGCATACAGCCGTCACACACCTTGGATCTGACGGACCGGGTTACGTTCTCGGCGAAGCGAAGAAGGGTTGCGTCTGATACATCGTCGGGCACTGGTCTAGTCGTCAATCTGAATGCCTTCTCTAGATCGAAGTCCTCTGTCTCATTGTCAAGATCCGGATGTAGGTACGGGAAGTCAGGAAGGTCCCAGTCATCGCTGGGGGGCTTAAGACAAAAAACAAGACGAATAGCCAAAGGCAGGGGCGGCGCGTCAGGTATGAGACTAAGCAGCTGTCGTGCGAGGGCAGAGGGGTCAAGCGAGTTGGAAGGGTCGAGTGCCCGCGTTAGAGGGATCGGTTCAAGTGTGGGTAATGGCCGCGGTTCGTATGTCGTTGGAGGTGAAGGCAGTTCTGCCATAATTTCGCCGTAAATAGCCAAGGAAACATACTCGTAGTTCCCTCTCACAATCATTAGACGTGTTGCATACTATTACGCTGGTTAATGGATGAGCGCGTGGGCAGAACTGAAATGCATCGTACCTCGGCAGCCATTGGGACAGAAAAGTCCATTTGTCCTCCGGTGTACGCAAGCACGGTGGGCACGAGCACATTGGTAGGTTTTGGTTTCTCCTTGCTATTCGGTGTTGCAACGCGGTATGCGTTAAAGTAGAGCTCCAAGTAGAACGCTTCGGGTTCTGTGCGACTTGAAGCTCTGTGAATACGGTGAATGGGTAGTCTGGATGGCGAGACGAACCTGACAATATCTGGGTGCTGCACAAACGGCTGCGTGTCTGTGGGGAATATCCTGATGTTCTGGACGCGCACCGGCGAGGAGAAGCGTATGGCAGCCAAATTTGCCGTGCCCGAAGGCTCAAGGGTGCACCACTGCAACAGCATGCTAGCTGCTCATCTGACCGGTGGGGATGAGATAAGAGAGAAAGCGCAGGGGAGTAGAAGCAGGCCCAAGTTCGGCGCCACAGCGAACAATAGGCGCCCACATCTTATAATGGGCGTCTATGTAGCCGGCACCGCAGTTTCAGAACACGACGACCGTCTCTGCGACTCAGGCAATTACCAGCACACTCATTTCCGCTCTCGTCTGAAATAGACACGCATGGCCTCAGTTGTTTCCTCGCCTACTCTGCAAGTCCCAGATGCACTGCATGGGCTTACAATGCGCCAGGCAATGGGCCGCACGCGCAGCAGCAGCATCCTCAAGGTCGAGCAAGTCGGTGTCAATTCGCAAGAAGAGGATCTCGACTCGGCCATCTACGAAAACGTCAACGCGGAGTGGGTAAACCGCAAGGGTGCGTCTCTTTTCTATCCCTGACACGTACAGTACGTGCTCGTCGCTGCGGAAGACTGAAATACTGCGCAGGCGCCTGGCTCATTCACCCCGCCCTGATCTTTGCCGGCAAAATGGTCATTGACACCATACCTGGCATGAGGCAAGACATCAGCTGGTTCCTGGTCAATCTATTTTATCTCGGGGTGAGCTGTTTGACGCTGCCCGAGTTGCCACTGTCTAACTGCCGTGTCAGTTCTCGTATCTCATGTTCCACTGGGTCATGGGGATCCCATTCCAGTCGGATCAGCATGCTGGTGTCTATGACGAACTAACGCTATGGGAGCAAATTGACAGTGGGGCACAGTACACGCCAGCAAAAAAGTGGCTGCTAATGGTCCCCATATTGCTGTGCGTGTGCACGCATTCATTACTTGTGCTAGTCTCTTAATAACTGCATTCAAAGCTTCTTGGCGTCAACACATTATTCGGAGTATAACCCGTGGATGTTTGCCATCAATCTTACTGCACTAATTTTCGTGCTCATCCCTAAGCTGCCTCAGGTCGGATTATCTACTTGTGCTCCTCATTGCATGATGGTCAACTGAGATTGCGATCCCATAGCTTCACCGTCGTCGAGTTCGTTTCATGGTTGACGAAGACGAACCATCGAACACTGGCACTCCTGCTGCCGCAACGCCTCGCTCCGGCTCCTGCACGCCGACCAGTGCCGAGTTTCCCGAGCACAGGCCCTCCCTTGACGCTGTCACTGCGGCGCATTTCGAGAAATAGGCCTCTGCTTCACTTCGGGATTGATGTCGTCCCCGTTCATCTCCCGATTGGGTAATTGTTCTGCTTCTTGAGCAGGAGGACCAGCACGCAAGACCGAACACGAGGCAGTGCCGATTGTCCGCTACTTCTCATTGTATTCAATACAAGGATCTACAGGGTCTTCTCTCTCATAATCGATTTGCGTGACGGACGCTTCCATGCCTGCTTAGAGTTCTATACACACCATACGTACCATAGTATTTCACTGTCACCGCGCTCAGTTCACTCTCACTTATTACCTTCTACTTCCCGCCGTTAGGGTACCTGGATTATGCCGCTGCCTGCTTGAGAACCTCGCTGTACTGCTGCAGCCGCAGACTAGGCATGACGGCCGTGTCAATGTCAGTCAAATTGCCACACGAGTCGGGTCAGACGCACAGGTTTCGCAGCAGCATCATGATGGTGACCTTGCCGATTGTGGGCATATACAGCGACGCCTGTCGTGCCCTGCACGTCAGCTCAAGACTTCCATCCCGCAGTCCGGATCGGCGCACCTTCTCTCTTACATCGGCCTCGAAGTTCTTGTCGGCGGCGACATTTATGCATACGCATCCGTCCTTGAGCAACGCTGTCTTCACCTTGTACGATGCATTTGGCACCGCTGAGACGATGACGTCCGAGAACGCAAGGCACTCCTCCAGGGAGAGCGTGCTCGGGTGCACAACGTGTCGCGGATGATAACGCCGCGCGGCATCTGTGCTCTGCTGTGGCCGCTTATTGTACTCCTATATATGACCGTCAATGAGACCGCGCTGACAGACGAAATGATGGATACATGCCTGAATGGAGTCAATGTCGACCGAGAACACCCGCGCACCGTCATTTGCGAGGAGTGCGGCGAGTGGGCGTCCTACGACCTCTGACCTGCGACGCGTTTGCTCCATACACCTCTCCGCTATAAATAACGCGACTGCCTCACCGGTTGATGACCGTGACCGTCTTGCCATACGCGCGGTCTCCGTATGGCAAAAGCCTATTGTATATGCCGATGTGTTCGAGGCACTTTACGACCGCAAGGGGCGTGCAAGGTAGGATTGACTTGACCGTGCCCGCCGGTGGCTGGTCCTCGACCGCCGGGGCGGGCGGAGCTGTCGACGGGACGGAAGAGAGCAGAGACTTGGGCTCAAGATAGCGGATACTAGTCGAGGTCAGATCATTCCGGCCTGATAGACACTCATGCATCGCGATACGTACTTATGATACAAGTTGTAATGGAATTTGAAGTGCAGTCCCTCAACGTCCTTGAACGGCGAGACAATCTTTGACAATGTTTTCGGTAAAGGGAGTACCGAAGATACACATCTTAGTGACTCACCTGTTGCAAATAGTGGTCCTGCACAATCGGGATAGTTCAGTAATGCATACATTCTTGCATCTTCTGGCACAGACCTGCTGACCGCCGAAGATCGGATAATAGACCTGGCATTCGATGACAGCATACATAAACTGTTCTAGACAAGCTTTCATTTAAGACATTGCCTACCATAATTCCATGCACGTTCTCGTCCTCGTTCGCTTCGATGATAGCCTCCTCTACGCCGTCCCCCTCACTGAGCGTAGGGTCCGCGGCGGCACCAACCCGTCTTAGCACAAATTCTACCCCAAGCGCATCGCATTGCTTCTTGGTAAACTCTGCATAGAACTTGCTCGGTGCAGCAGATGTCGCGAGGATGCCGACAAGCCTTGGCGGCCGAGGGCGCGTAGCGAGTGATGCCTGGATCTCGTCGCGGAAAGCATTCGCGATCGGGTCGGCTTTGAGGAGAACCCCCTTTCCGCTGGCTTCTGTAGACATCGTTGAAGGCAAGTAATGCGGTGTGGAGACCGCCTGAGCTTCGGATACAAATGATGAAAATTGCAAGACGCGACTGACTCCAAGTCGGACGCGATGGATGAGACGCGAGTCACGTGGTACGCGTTAAGGCACAGGCACCCACAGCACCAACCAGCCGGTCTCGGAGATTATGAAACGGAGGTCCAAAATGGCCTATATTACAACCAGAGTAGTACAAGACACGCATCGAGTAGCGTATACAACCAAACACAATAAAAAGGGTGGCTCAATGTCCACTGAAGTCTATCTTTGCACAGCATAATCAGAAGTCATATACTTGCACCGCTCATGCATTGCCCACAGAGTCAGCAGCTGGCGTCACAGACCTAGTAGGCGTAGGCAGCTGTGTGGTATCTTCTCCAGTGTGCCTCCATCCTGCGGAGTCGGGCGAGTTCTCGTGCCGGAGGAGGTTGCGCAGAGCGGGAATACTCGGGACAAATACAGGGTCACTGTTTTCCCCTTGTTGTCCACCTGATTCTTCGATTGGGGCAGTCCCCTCGCGATTAGCGGCGGGATCACCATCCGTCGGAGATGCATAGCGAGAGAGTAATGACTCCGGAGCTCTGAGACCTCCGCGACGGAGGCGGGGCGCAATGACCTGCCTCCGAGCTTCATTAACGTCGGCAATAGACGCCCTGCGGTTAGTCGGATTCGCCGGTGGGGCTGGAGTCGGATAGGTGAGCGAGTACCAGAGCTGTGAAGAGCTCTGGCTGCCCGATGCGCTAGCTGCTTGTTCGTCCTGATCGCCGTTATCCAAGGACGGCGATTGTGAGGGTTCAGGGCTCCACGGGAAAGCACCTCCCACCTCATAGCGACGACGAGGACCAGAGCTTAATGAGACGCGCCTGGGGGGAGGCGGAAGCGGCATGTGATCGGTCACAGACGTCGATGATGATGGCTCATCAGTGGGGTAAGGAAAACTTGGTCTGAATCTCCACGTTCCATCTGCCGACTCTTCAGACCTGATGTAGTCACCATCATGCTGGTTTTGTCGGAGAGAAGAGCGACGGCGGTCGGTGAACTCGTTGAAATCGATGGTCCTAGACCGTGCTGGGCGTCGTACAGAATGCTGTCGCGTCAAAGATGACGCATGCGATGTGCCACCATGGACCCATGGACTTGTCCGGTATGTGATGGAAGGCAGTGCAGGGGACGCTGGGCGGGGGCTATTAACGGACAAGTCACCAGAGCGTCTGTGCTCTGTAACTTCTGGTGAAGCGGCAGCCAGAGTAGTGGGCTGGAACCCATGCAGGCTATCCAATATATCGTAGGCTGAGGTTGTAGAGGTATAGGAGGGGGGAGCATAGGCTTCATAGAGATCAGAGTTGATGCGGACACCTTCGTAGGGGAAGTCGCCCTCGGGTGGTAGACTGTGGCTATCGTTGGCCTCTTCCTCATCCGTAAGCTCCGCCACGAGGTCTGTGTAGACAACGTTGGAACTGCTCCTCGCGGCGAGGCGACTTGCCTGCCGGCGACCATGATAGATGTGGTGCGGCGAGATTTGAGAGCGAAGCATCTTCGCGGCTCGCTCAGACACAAATCGTCGATCGCGGATATTAGCGCGGGTACGACGGTCGGCCATTTCCTGCGGCAACAACTGAATATACTCTGCGTATTGAGAAACAATTGTCGCACCTTCACGAGCACTTCGATGAGTGTGGTAGTGAACGTTTCGCCAACGTCAAGTTCTTCCACAAATGCTTCGTAGGTAATCTTGGGTTCCCCCTCTTCCAACTTGATTCTTTGGATTGCCCCAGTTCTAATGTACAATGATCAGGTTCTCAACGCGCTAGCCTGAAGCGATGACCACACTCACACAAGGTTCTTGAATTTGCTTTGAAGGACTTCGTCATGGTGTCTCAACATCCTACACACATCATGAGTCGTTGGATTCCCGAGCGAGCCTCTGACGTACCATTTACCCATCTTGAGTTCTTCAGAGTGAAGGCGTTGCTAGCGAACACTTCACAGGCTGCAGGAGACAAGGTAGATCAGAGTCGGACAAAGGATTCCTGTGTTTGTCTGTGTTTGTCAGCGGCACTTCCTTGGGAACGGGAACCGAGTACTGGCGCGCCTGTTTGTCCCCGCTTCTCGTCCTCTTCCCTCATCATCTTGCAGGTCGAAGGGATAGTTGCGCACACTTTCTTCCTCATACAGCCTTGTCCTTAGTAAGTGCATTTCGCATAGACTGCCATGACATGCTACAATGCCAGATCACCTGTAGTTGCGGACTACAACTCTACGAGCTCTACATAACCTAACGCCACAGAGAATCACCTCACTTCACTCACTTATATTTCTTGAACCCAACCGCCCACATTTACGGACATACAATGGCCTACGCGCAGCCTTTCCCGCTTGCACAGCAAATCCAACAGATTTTGCCCCAAACCTTCGGGCCAGACCTCGCGGTCCGCCTCATTTGCCCCGAATGCCGAGATCCTCACCCGGATATTGAGGAAAACTTTAGCAGTGGCGACCTTGTATGTGGTAAGTGTGGGCTGGTGCTGGGGGATAGAATCGTCGACACTAGAAGTGAATGGCGGGTGAGTCTCTGCGCTAACGACTGTTTGGGCCTATTAGTCATCTCTGTTTTACAGACGTTCGCAAACGACGAAGGCGACGACCCATCTCGTGTCGGTGCTGCCTCTGACCCGCTGATGGAGGGCATGGAGCAGTTGGACACAACCATCTCGTTCCGTGATGGTGGTTCGGGCATCGCACGCGAGCTGCAGCGCGCAGCGTCCCGTTCGTCCGCGACGCGCGCAGAGCGTAATCTTCTGCAAGCGTTCCGAGACATATCCTCATGGTGCGACCAATTTTCACTCCCCAAAACTATCTCGGATATCGCAAAGCAACTTTACAAGCGCGCAGACGAGGAAAAACTGCTCCGTGGCAAACCCGGCGAGGCCGTCATCGCTGCTTGTATTTTCATTGCGTGTCGTCAGGCGCACGTACCGCGTACGTTCCGTGAAATCTGCAATCTGACACACGTAAGCAAGAAGACGCTGGGACAATGCTACAAGGCGTTGGAGCAGGCGTTCAACCTTACCCAGGGTGCTTCATCGTCGTCGACAGGTCGACATCTCACCACGCCAGCCGCGAGGGGCCCGGAGGACCTGCTCGTGCGCTACTGCAATCACCTGGACCTGCCGCCAAATGTCCAGCCAATCTGTGCAGATATCATTATCAAGGCGCGGGATCTGGGGATTGCGGACGGGAGGTCGCCCGTGTCCATCGCGGGCGGCGCCATATACTTCACTTGCCATTTACTTGGCAAATTGAAGAATGCGCGCGAGATCAGCAATGTTGCAGGCGTAAGCGAAGGCACTATCAAGTTGATCTACCGCCTTTATTATGCAGAGAAAGAGAAGTTGGTCAAGGAGGAATGGATTAAGGAGGGCAAGGCTGATCTGAGCCGGTTACCGGTGGACAACTCGACCAGGTGAAGGGGCATTGGGATGTTTCCTCCGGTAGTTTTGTCGTTGTACCCTAATATATGCGTTACAATATGATTATCATCATTGTTACGACTACGACAGAGGGCGGATGCAAGGGTACTTGGTGGTCCTGAGTTTTTTTTAATAATCTTGCGCTCAACCTATGCCCGTCCGAGGATGCAAAGGAAAAAAAGGTGTAAATGCTGATGAAACACTCAAGCTAGCCATCATAGATGAGGCCGGGGATGTTGGGCTGAAATGGCGCGCAGGCAAAACCCGGCGTCACGTGCGTGACGCGTCGCAATAAGTTGAACCCTAATAGGTGACTTCAAATGCCACCGAGATTAGGATGCCAACTCAGATACTATTATTAGAATACGTCTTCTGTGCTTCGACACAATCATCATGTGCGACAAGATTGCTGAGGATCATACACGTATGGTGCTCGACACCGTCTTGTGTGCAATGCCCAGTCAGAGACATTCTGCTCAGAGGTACCTATGATGTCGCCCCAGGGAGGACCCATACTAGGTTTGCATAGCAGTCAAGGACGCTCGCTCACCCGACTCACCTCACGCAATAGGCGATGGCATGTCAGGAATCTGCCGCCATCACAAACTCTATTGCAGCGGAGCCTGTCGACCGATTTGTATCCATCATGAGCTCTCCTCCCTCCAGCTCGCTCTGATAAGGGTCCTCTCCTCTAGGACCGATCCTCCCTGGCTTGCACGGCGAAGCTAGTAAGCCACAAGGTCACTCTGATATTTTAAAACATATTAGATTGACTCCTACGCGCGCATTACAAGTCATTCGCAATGCCCCACGCATGCGCCTTGTGCTCGGATCCTGCCACTAGGCGATGCAGCGGGTGCTCATTCACGACCGCCTGGTACTGCAGTACACAATGCCAGAAAGCCCACTGGGTGGAACATATATTCGATTGCAACCCAAAACGCGAAATCACAACCGCTGACTACCTCGCCCGTGCTGTCAACCGCAACCGCTTCCCCGAGGACTCGCAGACCTATGAGGACTACGGTTTCGTGCGAGCATTCACGGCCGACAATTGCTCCAAACTTTTAGGTCTTTATATCGGTCTCATGAAGGTCATGCAGATATCGGCAAAGAAGATCCATATGTGGCGTGTTTCCGGAACCCTAATTCAGGAAATAAAAGCCGCTTTCAACAGTTGGCCTGAAAACTGCCGCGGCCAATATTATCCGTGGTTCTTGAAGAACCAATGGGTCCTCGACGCCTCGTTGCCGGGTCCGTCCGAAAATCCTGCTCACGACATAATCGCACGCGTGAATCGCTATGCTGGGGTTCTCGCCAGCCCAGATGTAGAAAGCATGCGACAAATCGTGTCTTCGTGGCCCGAGAGCAAGTCTACCTGTCATGGCTTTTGCGGTATCACTCTATCGGACTGGCACCCTTCACCCACGGCCAAAACCTGGGTAACATTCGGCTTCTGCGTCTGCCCCAACGAGTATGCCGAGTCAAATCTCGCGATCATGTATAAAACTCTTTTCCAGCGATGCACCTTCGACGAATTCTGGCACGCCTACGACGAGTCTTCCCTGATAGCTCTCTTCGACCGACACGGCTTGAAAGAAGATCGTCTCCGCATTCCCAATCTCGAAATCGTCTTAAAGGGCTCTCCACGGGGCTTTTACTCGGTGTGGTACCTCAAACAGTTTGTGGTTGATGAGACAGAGAGCGTGTCCCCGCCATTGTCCGTCTGCGTGGATTACGGCTTCGACAAGTGCAATTCCTCATCGCTCCTCGAGGATCTCAAAGGCATATATAAGCTGCTGTTTCTGGAGGCGCACGTGGATCCGGTCAAGCTGCATGAAGTTTGCATCGCTGGAGACCTCTTCGGGTTCGCGAGTGGGTTCATAAAGTTCAAAAAGGCTGAGAAGAAGAAATTCGCGCGGCTGATGAAGAATCCGTATCCCCTCCCGATCTTAGAGTTATGAGTTGTGCGCCGATAGGACGAAGACTTGCGCGTTGTCATTGTAAGTTGTCGGAGTCTGCTCAGCCCTATATACCCATTGATTCGATTGGGGTGTTCAGGGAATAGCTGTCTATATGCTTCCCATTATTATCTATATGTTTCGTTAACCACCGCCTCCTTGACATCTGAGTGACGAGATGGGGGCGGATGTGTCATATTCATGCATAGTTGAACTGTGTTGTCTTCGAAGGGCATTCAAGTCGACTAGTGGACTAGCGTGTTCCGTGTGTTGGTGTGACTATCTCATTTGACATTCGGCAGCTACATACAGCACCTTCCCGTCCATCTCCATGCGTGTACGGTCCTGAGGCTGCCATCCAGAATTCAGACACGTTTGGATAAAATACCACTGCAATCATCGAATTCGGGTGTACATGGTATGTTTGAGCGAAGTGCCTGTTTATTTCGGATCCGGAACAACATCCTCATCATAGCTGAGCTGAAGCTAAGCTTGCTGGAATAACTATGGTCGAATAGACATCACGCAGTCAACTGCTCCAAAAAATACGGATCATGCATAGTTAGATACCGAGTTTGTTTGAGGTTTATCGCTGGAACACTCTCGCACGTCTCACAGGTGCTAGCCAACTTGAACTATGACTATCGCAAGCGGCCCCAGTCAATAGGTCTCGAGCGGGCATGCGAGGGTCCCTCATTATACGTGTCGCCTCCGGTACCTTCGGTCAAATGGGAAAGAACAGGTATTTGTGGCTCGGGGATGGCATAAGCTTCATTTTTCTAGAGCGACGTTGATAGTTTTCGAGTAGAGCTGACTATAAGGTAGTGGGTATATAGATTGGCATATTCCAGGTTATTTCATTCCAAAACTACGACATTATAATTCAATGCCCAGTAGTAATGTCGTCCGCCAAACTAGCTACTGTCGAACGGCAGTAAGCTGCCGCACGAGGTTGCAGGCCGCCTACCTTTCTGAACAACATCAGTCAGATGAACAGCCTCTTCCGTGAAGGATGTGACCGATTGACCCCTCAAATCAGCTAGCCAGTCCCTCCTCACGCCAGTCCGTTTCGAAATAGGCTCTTCTCCGGTCATGAGATCTTTCACACATGCATGAGACCGAAGGCTCTGCAGACAATTCCGACGAACGCGCACAGATGCAGGAGTCGGACTCGCAGCTCGGAAAGTTGTCTGCCCACACAGTACGGCAGGAAGGACCCAGCTCGAGCGGGCGAACCGCTCGTAATTACGCAAGGCGGGCGCTAGAGAGCGCTGTGGACGAGTCGGGATTATTCGCGTACCCGCGACGCTTACGTGAGACGGATTGCTGAGCCCCGAGTGACTCTCTTCCGGCCTGACGGTCATGAGTAAAAAGCGCTACAATTGTATAAGACGCCATGCCCAGCGATTTATAACCCGTTCTACCTGTTCTACCTACTCGTCATACCTTCCCTACCCCAGCGCAAACGGCGGCCAGACATAAGCTATCATGGACTTGCACAAGGGCATCGAGGAGGGCATCTCCGACCTCGCCCTTCTCGACATGCTTACTGCTCCAGATCTTCCTACTCCCAAACGAGCAATGAGAAGAAGGGACTCGGACCTAGACCCTCTGCTCCTTGCGGCAGCGGCCGCGTACGGACCGCACGTCACTCGCAACCATTACGCCCATGACTTCTTCCCTGCACTGAGCGACCCCCGTTCCGAGGGGGCGTACGACTGGACTCGATGGCGAGGGGAAACAAAGCAGGAGCGCAAACCCCGTCTCAAATATGTCAGTAGACAGGCCCCGCGAAGCCAGAAGCTGAAGGAGGAGAGGGAGAAGGAGAACGGGCAGACCAAGGACGCTGATGTTTTGCGCCGCTCAGACAACCTTCCTCCCAAAGTTCTAGTGGCCACACCATCCTCCTCTGCAGCTCCCTTACGGTCGAGTACCGATGCCGCCGCATCTCCGGTACCCGCTCCTCCGCAAGATCTCGAAGTCAAGTGCATGGCCCGTACCCGGGTCCCCACTCCCCACGGCCCCGTCTTCCTCCACATATACCACAATAACCGTGACAACAAGGAGCACCTTGCAATCGTCGTGGATCCGGCGCAATACCTAGACGATTCCCCCGGCGCCCCTGCTATTCGCAGCCACTCATTAGATGCCGTCTGGTCGGAAGCTGAGACGGAGATGGACCGCATCACGCGTGGTGCGTATGTCGGACGTCTGTCTCCCTCTTCGCAGATTCCCTCAACACCATCCGAATACCCCGACACCACCACGGACGCCATCCCGTCTCCGCTGGTTCGTATCCACTCCGAGTGCTTTACGGGCGAGACGATCGGCAGCATGCGGTGCGACTGCGGCGAGCAGCTCGATGAAGCCATCCGGCAGATCTCGCAGCCAATCATGCTGCCGTCCTCCGCCCCAAGCTCAGAGCCCGTATCCATCCCGGGGCGGGGCGCGGTCGTGTACCTCCGCCAGGAGGGCCGCGGGATCGGCCTGCTCTCGAAGATCCGTGCATATAACCTACAAGACCTCGGGCACGACACGGTGACGGCGAACCTGATGCTCGGACACAAGGCGGACGAACGGGGGTACGAGATCGCCGCGGCGATCTTGCGCGACCTGGGGCTCGGGACGGAGGCGGGCGAGGGCGTGCGGTTGCTGACGAACAACCCGGACAAGGTGCAGGCCCTGGAAGGCGAGGGCATGCGGATCGTCGAGCGGGTGCCGATGGTCCCTCGGTCGTGGCGGCGGAGGCAGCACGCGCATGCGCAGGGCAAGGAGGAAGCAGCGGGCTTGACGATGATTGGTGGCGGGGAGGTGTACGGGGAGGACCTGGACAAGTACCTGCGGACGAAAGTGCTCAAAATGGGGCATATGTTGCCCCTCGCTGAGGATTTGTAGTCGTGATCTATTGGCGTGGTCTTCGCCCTACTTATTTGATAAATATGCTGGACTTGGATTCGGCAGACATGTTGTTAGATACTAGAGAAGTGAAAGAAATGATACAGAATGCTGGAATATACAAGTCTGTTGCTCTACACTACAGTGGGATTATATATCACATCTTGGAAAGTCGAAGATCTGCGGAGTGAGGCGTCCACAGGCAAGCAGACAGCCACAGCGTGTTTCCGTCATGACCGTGAGCTCTAAATTTTGATGTCAGCGGCTCCGAGTTGCAGCCCTCAGGTCGCTCAAGGGTCTCAGTATTCGCTCTTTCAGTCATAGGACATCCTCAACATTATATTCCTGGGAAGATTATGCAACTTTCTGCTCAGACCTATAACACGACTAGATTCACGGTGTGCCTTGTATAAGCGGAGAACGTTTGCGCTAGAGTCCATGAGATGGGGTCGCTGTAGTTACTTCAATTATACACCGTTGATACTGCGTCCATGTCCATGAGCGAGTTCGGTTTGGAGAAAGACATGATCTGTGAGACCGTGCCTAGTCCGCAGCGCAGACAGCTTGAGGTCATCCCACTCGCGCTTGGATCACACCATTCTGCTCGGCGCCCCCCTCTCCTTACCCTCGACGCCTCGCACCAAGCGCGAAGATGAGCACGTTTGACCCACTGGGCTCAGTCTTCCCTACGGACGAGCCGCCATGGCCGACGACACCGCGCACGCCCAACACGCCGATCCCCAACTTGCCTCGTCCTTCCCCCTCGCACCACGACACGTTGCGGCCAAACTCGTCCACGGGCCTGTATGGCAGGGAGCCGCAGATATATGGGCAGCCTGAGCCGGGCCTTGTCTCGCCCAGCGTGACCACCGGCTCGAATGGCACAAAGTTTGAGAAGCCGGAGCCGTATCTCAGAGCGCGGATAACTGGGCTGGACAGGAACAGGCGGGACATCCTCATCAAGTTCGATGCGCAGGTGCGTGCACGTACTACTAGCTCACGCACAGGTCGCTCACGCATAGCACAGACAAACCTGGCGAACTTCACGGGCACGACGTATCGCAACGTGTCGCGGTCATACGTCGAGTTCCAGCAGTTCTACGACACCATCGTGCACACGACGCCGCAGACTATCGTACCCGCGCTGCCGCTCCCACGCACGTCGGCGCCGACGGACGAGGAGGACGACCGGCTGGTGAAGATCATGCTGCAGCGGTGGCTGACGCGGATATGCGAGGACCCGATCCTGCTGCACGAGGAGGAGGTGCGGTCGTTCGTCGAGAGCGACTTTGGGTACCAGCCGATGCCGAACGTGCGGCGCAAGGCATCGACGGGGTTCAGCTTGATGCGGGCGCGCGTACCGGACGAGGACGAGGAGCTGCAGCGTGCGCGGTTTGAGCTGACGAAGATGGAGGGTCAGCTCTTCGAGGCCGCGAGGGCAGTCGACAAGCTCTCGAAGGCGAGGAAAGGTGAGCATGGTAGCGGATGTCCTGCGGTTCGCCCCTCACACTTGCTCTGGCAGCGCTTGCGACCGTCCGTGCGGAGATGGGGAACAAGCTCGTGAACGTAGCCACTACCGAGGCGCACCCGCCGCTGGGAAACGCGCTACAGAAGCTTGGACGCGCATGGCACAGCTTGTCGGACTTGGACCAGGCACAGAGCATGAGCGAATGTCTTATTGTCGGCGATTCGCTGGGCTACCAGGGGTTGAATGCACGGTCAGCGAAGGAGACCCTACAGCAGCGAACAGCTGTTCTGGAGGACTACCAGGCGGCGGTCAAGACGACTATCTCAAAGCGGCGGAATCTAGAGCGGCTCAAGGCCAGCAGTAGCATAAGGCCCGAGAAGGTGGACGAGGCGTTGGAGGACATGGAGGAGGTATGTTCTTCTGCGCCATGCAAGGGTCGTTATGCTCATGATCTGATACCAGGCTAACAAATACGAGATGATTTTGGCCAAAAGGGCAGAAGGGATCTCACAGAACCTCCATCGTTCCCTCGACAGGCACAAACAGTTGGTCACTGAGGACATCACTGCCGCCCTGGTCGAGCACGTCCGCTCATCCATCATGTACGAGCGGCAATTGCTCCGTGAGTTGGAGGCACTTAGGCCCGATATCAGCAACGCTGCGAAGAAACATGTCCCGGTGAAGACGAACGGGGCACCACGGCCTTCCTATGTGCCACCACTGGAGGAATTTTCAAAGGCTCCGATAGCCCGCCCTGCATCAGCTGCCCCTCCTGTTACACCAAGGACTCCGGCCACTGCTGGAATCGCACCTGTGCGAACTGCGAACGGGTTTGGTCAGTCGAGTGTGTTACCGGTCTCCCCGGTGTCATCATCTACAATAAACTCGCTGCCTCCTCAATCTCCAGGCGCCGGGCCGTCCTCACCGGCTCCGCAACAGACTTCGTTCAACCCGCCACTTGTAGACGGCCCGCCTCTGGGCGGCCGTTTTGTGGACGGGACGAAATCGATGTTCGTCAACCCCCCGCCTTCTCCCCTCTTACCGTCGCCGTCTCTGTCCGGATCAAGTGCATCTCTGGCAGGGAGAGTGCCGGATTCTCCGCTGCACGCTCCTGCGCTCGCGAGCCCGCATCCTCTTGCAAACGGGGTGTCTTCTCCCCTCACGAGTGCCCCCATGACACGCTCTGCCACGGGGCCAATCTCCCCGTCCTCTTCGGAAGCACTGGATCCGCTAACAGGACGACCGGTCTCTATGACGCAGTCCGTGCGCGTGCAGCCGACGAGGCCGAGGCTCGACGCGAGGGAGGCGGCGAGCAAGCTCGCAAATATGTTTTGAACGCGATTGTGGTGTACCGTACACTGCTTGACTACGCTATGATATTACCGTATTCCTGTCTGCTCATTGGGTTGGAATGGATCTGTCTAATGAATTTGGGAGTGCAGTCTCCGGGACGATCACGTGAATGACATCTACGCCATTCGATGGCAGACGCGACATATATCATGCCGGCCCTGTCCTATGACTCGTGCGGCCTCCCGCAGAAGCAGTCTGTTTATCTTCGGACTACCACCTAGTCCTTGAAAAGAGTGGAGGGGATCTAAGGGATCTTCTCTATCGCTCACTTCAGACCCCCCAAACATCTATCATGGCCAAAAAATCGTGAGTCTTTCGTACGGGATCGGGAGGGTCATGGCTTATTTCGTATTCGACCAGCTTCCGAGTAGTTGTCTTGTCCGGAGACGGAATAGGTGCGCGTTATGAAACTCTATTAAGGAGAACTATATTAATGCACCATCCAGGCCCTGAGGTTGTATCCGAGGCCGTCCGAGTGCTTGAGGTGGTGTCTGCATCCTCACCGGATGTAGAACTCAAGCTCGAGCCACATCTCTTCGGTGGATGTGCGATCGATGCAACGGGTCAGCCTCTGCCGGAATCCACGCTTCAGGCGTGCAAGGAGGCGGATGCCATCCTTATGGGTGTGTACAAGCCGACGATCTCTGTGCGGGCTAATTTACTTCCCTTGGTCCAGGCTCTGTCGGAGGTCCCAAGTGGGATGTGAACAGCAAAGTCCGCCCGGAACAGGGCTTGCTTGGCCTGCGCAAGGCCCTTGGCCTCTACGCGAACATCCGTCCGGCGAACTTCGCGTCGGAGTCCCTTCTCGCGTACTCCCCGCTCAAGCCAAGTGTGGCACAGGGTGTGGACATCATCGTTATCCGTGAGCTCATCGGCGGTGCATACTTCGGCGAGCGCAAAGAGCTTGGACCCAACGACGATACGGCCTATGACACCATGATCTACAGCATCCCCGAGGTGCAGCGAATCACGCGTGTCGCGGCGCAGATTGCGCTCACCTCCAACCCACCTCTTCCGATTCACTCGATCGATAAGGCAAATGTGCTCGCAAGCTCTCGCTTGTGGAGGAAGGTGGTTGTGGAGACCCTCCAGAATGAGTATCCACAACTCAAGTTGGACCACACCCTCGTGGACTCCGCGTCCATGATCATAGTTGCGAACCCGAAGAAGCTGAACGGTGTGATTGTAACTGAGAATTTGTTCGGTGACATGTCAGTGTGCCGTCCCCCTTCATATTGAGCTTGCTCACACTACATTCCGTAGCCTATCGGATGAGGCGAGCGTTATCCCAGGTTCCCTCGGCTTGCTTCCGTCCGCATCTTTGGCCGGCGCACCCTCCGTCGCAGACGCGCTCTCGCCAGACTTCAAGCCGACGCCAGGATTGTATGAGCCCATTCATGGGTCAGCCCCCGATATCGCTGGCCAGGGGATCGCAAACCCTGTCGGCACTATTCTCAGCGCAGCAATGCTTTTGCGATACTCCCTAGGCCTCAATCGTTACGCACAGGCGATCGAAGATGCTGTGCGGAAAGTACTCGATGACAAGGAGAAGGGCGGGTTCGAGCTGCGAACAGCAGATCTCGGGGGTAGTGTGAAGACGAAAGAGATTGGCGACAAGATTGTCGAGGTCCTGAAGGGACTGCTGTGAACAGCTAGTCGTGCCCGACAACAGTCGTATCTAAACGAAATGTAGTAAGATACAGAATGTAGCATTATACAGTATCGCTAGGCATACGTGACTTCATACGCGTGATGAGTCTCAGTGAAGTTCCATGTTGTTGCCATTGGTGAAACTTCATGGGACCGGAGAAGTGTTGAATTTGACTGAAGTGTAATGAAAATCAATTTCACGCGCGCGATCATCAAGGAAATTTTGATCACTCGCGATCCTCTCTCATGGCGTCCTCTTCTGCAAACCCAGCTTGCAAGCACTTGGTCCTCGATGCAGGCCCCCTCCTCTCTCTATCACCGCTGCGTGGACTTGCAGAGACATACTACACCGTTCCACAGGTCCTTGATGAGCTAAAAGACAAACGCGCGCGGGAGCATTCAGTAGCCTGTCTCTGATCGGCCGCTCGTCATCGTCTCTGCACCACTGCCGACTCCTGCCGCGAGCTTCTGCCCCACTGTGCCGATGTGTACACTTTGCGAGGGAAGGTCTATCAATATTGGTTTTGCTGTAACCCTGAATGTTCCATGTGTCTCAAATCTTGCATTGCCCTAATGGCGAACTGTAAACTCATAGTGCGTTCATTTTCAGTTTCCTAGCGAGACCGTCCGAATCCCGCAGTACATACAACTGACTCGGAGTATGCTTGTATGGTAGAGCGCATCCTAGTTGAGGACTTGATGACGTTCCAGGCTCATATACTGTGTCATAGCCCTCGGCGGACGCAGATTTGTGACTGAGAGCTTCATCTTGACCGGAGTCGTGAGATACGCTCTAGTACATAAGTTAGTAGATAAATTTGCTCTCATGACTGTCAAAAACGGCACCGAACCAACATATGAAGTACACGCACGACTGTCTGCGAGGCTCCCGTTGGCCCTATTACATCTAACACACAAAGATCGTACGGCCGCTATCTGCACCTTGAACGCCGTGAGTGTAGACTGCATAGGGTGTTGGTTACCAACCATTGGGGCTCGAATGGCTTGCTATGTTGGGACAACCACCGACCCCGTGCCAACGTTTTGCACGTTCCAGCGAAGCCTAGCGAAGCGCTCTCTCTGTCGGCTCTCTCACACAGACTTTCCAGTGTGTCTGTCGTCGAGCTGACTGCTGGAACCAATGGACCCGCAAATGCTAAATACGATGATGGCGCAGCTGGGTATCTCTCCGGAGGATCTACAAGCGTATCAAGACACGATAGGAGCCGTCGGAATACCTGAAACGAGCACCAGCCCTCCTCAGTTCCATCCCGGGATGTCTGAAGCCGAATTGCGCGTAGCCATCCCTAGGTACAAGGCGTGGTTCGAGGAGGACCGCAAGATTCCACCCCAGCGTGCACGATATGTGTCGCGCCAGACATTGCTCTCATTTCACAATCGAGTTCGTCAGGCTCGATGGTCAGACGGACTCCCACAGGGTGAAGTGAGCACCAGAATGACAATATCGGGATTCCCCAGACATTCCAGTATAGTTCCCCTAGAACGACTGGAGCGCAGTACGTGGAATACAAGTTGATCTCACATACAATAGCTGATGTGTTGATGTGTAGTCTGCTTCTCTCAAATGCTTGTTCGCAAAGTACACCTAGTGAGTAAAAGGGAACCTATATTCTCTGATATATCCTTCAAGCGATAGGTACTGCTATAGGGATCATATCTTCTCTGTCGTTCGATCGCACCTTCCTGTCAGTGACTGTCCATTCTATTGTTGTCAGGTCTAACGACTATGATAGATCGCGTAGCATCAGTACAACTCCTCATCGAAGACCCAGAGGGGAACACGCATTACCTTACCATCTACAACTTCCCCACCACCTCTCATTGCTCTGTCAAATATCTCGATGACTTATTTCCGGTCGGAACAATCTTCGCAATCCGTGAGCCAACCTTCAAGGCTCCAACAATGGGAAATTATCCTATTGTCCGTGTCGATTCACCCAGTGATATCATCCTTGTGAGCCCGGGACACAGCGTCCTTAAGGGTGTTGTTTGGCGAACAGACAACCCCTCCTCGAAAATATTAGCGGTGTCCACGATAGATTCATGCAGAAACCGAGGGAACGCTTTATTTCAAGCGTCGCACTGGCTTCCTGCGGCTCTAGTGTATTCTCGCGGGCTCGTAGCAAACCCCAAGGCCACCGTCCTGCTATCAAACCGTGCGGAGGCTTACCTACGTCTTGGGTTCTGGTCTGGTACCATAGCCGATGCAAAACGCGTTCGAACAAGTCCCGATGCGCCCGAAGCTCTCCGTAACAAAGCGATGTTCCGTGAAGCGAAGGCAGAATACGCGAGAGGGAACTACGGGACAGCCGAGGACCTGTTCCTTCAACAGCAAAGCGTTCGTCCAGATGACGAGGTGGTGAAAGGCTGGATATCTCGAGCGCGTAAGCGACAGGCGGAACAAGAGACTGGTCAATACGACTGGGAGACGTTGTTCAACCAGTCGCAGTCAGATCATCATCTTGATGTTGCCGAATTCCGTGGCCCCATCGAGGTACAACAAGTGTCTCGACGCGGTGGTGGCCGTGGTATAGTGGCAGTTCAAGATATTGAGATAGGCCAACTCGTTGTGAGTATATGAGATACGGGTTTTCCCATATATGTTCTGACTATGTGGCACAGCTCGTAGCGAAGCCATTCCACAGCGTCTACGAGCGTGACCTTCATCCGAACGAGATCATGTTGAGCGTTGACCTGATCACTTCCAAGATGAATACACGTACACAGAGCGCTCTTTTGGCGGGCGTCATGCAGAAGCTCCTTGGCAATCCTGAATTACATGGGTTGGTTTTTGACCTCTACGCTGGACCCGACTCCTCTCCCCCATCGTCATATCCTCCTGTGATATCCCCCGACGTCACGCCCGTAGATCCCTCCCAGGCATCCATCGACATCGATGTGGCTCGTTTGGATGCTATCATCTCGTTCAACGGCTTTTCACCCTCGGTACTTGAACCCATTTCTTGTAGGTCCAAGACTAGGCCTGAAGAAGGGAAGCCAAGCGGGTTGTATCTGCTACCCGCGCTCTTCAATCACGCCTGCCAGAGCAATGCCGTCTGGACTTGCGTGGGCGATGTCATGGTCATCAGGGCGACGAAGCGCATCATACTTGGGGAGGAGATTACAATACCCTACACCTCTGCCCATAGCAATCCATACGAGGAGCGTCGAGCTATACTCCGACAGTTTTCCATCGACGAATGTGACTGTCATCTGTGCCAAGACGATCGCAAGGACGACGAATCGGCGCACAAGATGAGAGACGAACTTCTCGCCAAGAGGAAGTCGAGTCAACTAATCGACGCCTCAACTGCGCAGCTCCTATCGCTGGAACAGCAGTTTGCGGCGACCTACTCGCCATCACGGGGTCCTTGCAAGCCTAGGCTGGCCGATATACAACATGCTATAGCGGAGACGCTACGCAAGTCAGGTAGCAAAGCATCGATACCAGACGCGATTGAATATGAGAAGAAGGCTTTGCAAAGCCTAGGGTTCATTGTCTTGGGCAAGGACGCTATGCAGCAGTCCGAGCCATGGGAAGACACCAAATTGCCAATCGATACAGCACAAATACCCACGGCATCTCCTTTCGAAACCCCAGCTCTCTACATGCTGAGGCTTGCACACGACTATCTGCGACTTTCCGACACGTCAGGTGCCATCGGATGGTTAAAGACCGCACAGTGGCGTAAGTATTCCCATCATGCTGCGCCTACAAGCAAAGACTGATTGCTTGCAGTCGTTGCAACCTGGGTTGGTGGAGACAAGATGTTTTTCATGCGAATAATGGCTCCCGTGCTTGAAGAATGGAAATTGAAAAGGTTGGCAGCGTCAGTCGTGTGAGGTGTGAGAAAGATGCAGTGTTCAGGGATATAGCAGGCGCGGTTAGTAGATGGTCCGTAGATTGTCGATAAACAGCCAAGTGAATCCTGTAATTCACTTCGATGCACGCCGTGTCTCCTAGTGATTCGACTGCAAAATTACAGCAAGACCAATCTTAATAGACCTCCCCTCGCAAAGTATACACTTCGGCAAAGTGGGGCAGAAGCTCGCGGTAGGACTTGGCAGTGATGCAGACACGTCGACGAGCGGTCGATGGGCTACTGAGGATCGTGAGGTAGACGCTCGCTGTGATCCTCTTGTTCTCTCGCCGTCATTGTTAGTATGTAGCTGCCGAATGTCAAATGAGGTAGCCACACCAAGGCACGGAACACGCTAGTCGACTAGTCGACTTGAATGCCCTTCGAAGACAACACAGTTCAACTAAACACGAATATGACACGTCCGCCCCCATCTCGTCACTCAGATGTCAAGGAGGCGGTGGCCAACGAAACATATAGATAATAATGAAAAATATACAGACCGCTATTGCCTGAACACCCCGATCGAGGAATTAATGAGTATATAGAAGCTGATTGGACTCCGGCGACTTACGATGACAACGCGCAAATTTCCGTCCCATCCGCGCATAACTTCCGGCTCGAAGTTTGTGAGGGGATACGGATTCTTCATGAGCCGCGCGGATTTCTTCTTGAACTTCATGAACCCACTCGCGAACCTGAAGAGGTTTCCAGCGATACAAACTTCGTGCAACTTTACCGGATCCACGTGCGCCTCCAGGAGTAGTTGCTTGTATATGCCTTTAAGATCCTCGACGAGCGATGGGGAATTGCACTTGTCGAAGCCGTAATCCGCACAGACGGACAGTCGCGGGGCAACACACACTGTCTCATCGACAACGAACTGCTTAAGGTACCACACCGAGGCCCGTGGAGAGCCATTTAAGACGACTTCGAGATTGGGAATGCGGAGACGATCTTCTTTCAAGCCGTGTCGGTCGAAGAGAGCTATCAGGGAAGACTCGTCGTAGGCGTGCCAGAATTCGTTGAAGGTACATCGTTCGAGAAGTGTGCGATAGATGACACCGAGTTCTGATTCCGAGAACTCATCAGGGCAGGCGCAGAAGCCGAATGTTACCCAACCTTCCTCCATGGGTGCAGGGTGCCAGTCTGATAGAATGGTACCGCAAAAGCGGTGACAGGTAGACTTGCTCTCGGGCCACGAAGACAGGATTGGCCGCATGCTTTCTGCATCTGGGCTGGCGAGAACCCCAGCATAGCGATTCGCACGTGCGATAGTGTCGTGAATAGGATTTTCGGAGGGACCTGGCAACGAGGCGTCGAGGACCCATTGGTTCTTCAAGAACCACGGATAATATTGGCCACGGCTTCCTTCAGGCAAGCCTCCGAAAGCGGCCTTTATTTCATGAATTAGCGTTCCGGAAACACGCCATCTATGGATCTTCCTTGCCGGTATATGCATGACCTCGATGAGACCGATATACAGGCCTAAGAGGTTGGCACGATTGGCAACCGTGAATTCTCGCACAAACCCGTAGTCTTTAGAGGTCTGCAAGTCCTCAGGGAAGCGGTTGCGGTTGACAGCACGGGCGAGGTGGTCAGCGGTGGTGATTTCGCGTTTCGGGTTGCAATCGAATATGTGCTCCACCCAGTCGGCTTTCTGGCATCGTGTACTAGTAAGAAATGTAGCATTATACAGTATCGCTAGGCATACGTGAATTCATACGCGTGATGAGTCTCAGTGAAGTTCCATGTTGTTGCCATTGGTGAAACTTCATGGGACCGGAGAAGTGTTGAATTTGACTGAAGTGTAATGAAAATCAATTTCACGCGCGCGATCATCGAGGAAATTTTGATCACTCGCGATCCTCTCTCATGGCGTCCTCTTCTGCAAACCCAGCTTGCAAGCACTTGGTCCTCGATGCAGGCCCCCTCCTCTCTCTATCACCACTGCGTGGACTTGCAGAGACATACTACACCGTTCCACAGGTCCTTGATGAGCTAAAAGACAAACGCGCGCGGGAGCATTTCGAACGCCTTGGCCTGTCTGCAGGTGTTAGAATACAAATTCAGGGGCCTGATTCTGCCTCTCTAGCGCATGGTGAGTGCGCCATCCAATATTAATGTGCGTTGATCCTAAGAATATGAAGTCATACGATTTGCGAAGAAGACTGGCGATTATTCAGTGCTCTCGCATGCGGATTTGTGTATTTTGGCATTGACATATGCATTGGATGTACGGGAAAGGGAGGCGGACGAGGCGAAGAAGGGATCTGAGCAGGTGCGCCCCCTTGACCCCTGAACCCTTAGCGAACTAAGACTAAGAGGTAGCAGGACGCAACAGGGGACGCGCACCAGGATGCGACGGTGCCGTCCGACACCACTCCAGCTACACACTCCGAGTGCGATGAGGTGAAGAGCGAAGGTGGGATTGTAGAAAATGAACTCCATGCGGAGGAAGACCTAGCAGAACCGCCGGAGTCCGAGATCTCATCTTCCGAGGACGAAGGTGCTGAGGCAGACCAGAAAGTTCTTGAAGCCCCGCAGGGAGAACCTCTCGACGTCGAGCTTCACTCCATTGAAAACACAGATAATGACAAGGACCGCCCATTAGTTCATCCAGATCCGACGCCCTCAACGTCTGCGATCTCCCCACCTGCCGAGCAGTCGGAACCACAACCCCTCTACGACGATCCCTCCGAATCAGATGACGGTGAGGGCGAGTGGATTACCCCATCCAACGTTGCCCTGCACAAGTCGCGTGCACTCGAACTGCTGCCTTCGGCGGCGGACCCTGGGCGAGGGAAGGGCAAGGGAAGACAGGAGGTGATCCCTGTGGGATGCATGACAGCAGACTTTGCCATGCAAAATGTGCTGTTGCAGATGGGGCTGGGACTCGTGGGGGTCGAGGGAAAACGGATTGAGCGGGTGAAGAGCTGGGTGCTCAGATGCCACGCCTGTTTCAAGTACGTTGCGATCTTATACATGCCACTGTGCTAGCGACGCTACTAACGATACTGCTTTATCCTGCAGAGTCTGCAAGGACTCATCACGAAAGTTCTGCCCGTCGTGCGGGAACCCATCCCTCCTCCGCGCATCCGTGACGATCTCGTCGCCAAATGCAGGCCCTAATACACCCGCGATGCAAGTGCATCTCAAGAAAAACTTCCAGTACAAGACGCGAGGCACGATCTACTCAATTCCTGCCCCGAAGGCGGGATCTGCGAAGACCGGACCCGGTGACGGTCTCATACTTCGAGAAGACCAGCTGAGCTGGATGCGTGCCAAGAAGCATGCCGACGGAAAACGAGAGCGCGAGGAGCGCCGCTTGCTCAATGCTGCGAGCAGGGGCGCGGAGATGGGTGACGGCGGGGCTATCTTGGGAAGCTGGATGGATCCTGATTGGGTACCGGAGATCATCAGTGCGGGCGCTGGGGGCAAAGGACGAAGTGTGAGGAGCAGAGGCATGGATGGCGATATGCCCATCGTCGGATACGGCAAGAAGAATCCAAACGAGAGGAAGCGGAGAAAATGAGAGCGCAAGGCCGCGCGGTACGTCCGTCCACGGTTATTATTTCTGTGCAAATGTGAGGGAGGCGGGATACAAAATACACTTTCATGTGGGAGAAGTATAAATCACGTCCGATGCGTCTATGCGCCCAAGCTCCTGCTCATGAAGCGCCTTTTCTGGAACGACATCCACCATTTGCTCGGTTTGCCCGTGCCATCTGCGTACAGTCGCTCGATGAGGCGTGCTGCAAGTTCCTGCCGCACTTGCGTCAAGTATTGCCGTAGGTAATCTACGGCTAAGGCGTCAACTTCGGGCTACGTATAGTCAAACCACTACATACCTGCATCTGCTCGGCTTGCTGGAGATGCATAGTGCGCATTCAGCGAGAAGTTGGCGTCGCCGGGAACGGGGAAATTGTCCACAGCCAACGTGTTGAGCAACTTGGTTGCCTCGATCTGGCTGGGCACAGTACGTGCTGAGCCGATCTTTGCCAGACAGTCAGATACGAAGAGAATCAAGACGATGAGTAGACGGTCCGCAGGGCCTTTGATCTCGAAGTTGCGGAAGAGCGAGTTGGCACGGAAGAGGTCAAGGGTCTCATCGATGATATCGGCCTGTGAGGGGTCCGCTTTGGGGGTCCAATTAAGTGACAATTAGAGAGAATGCACATAAATATATGCAGTACATACCTGATGGCGCAGGGCCGCGAAACTTGGACTTGATTGAGAGGACCGCCATATTCCCGACCTGGCGGGCATCAGGGTCCTCGTTGAAAGTTGAATGATATGCCTGTCAGTCATGCCTGTCTCAATAAACACACGAATAGTTGATAAACGACGCATTGCTCACGGGCATGGTTGTGGCTGTATGTCCAGCAGCGCAGTTGCTGGATGCTAGTCGCGAAGCGCTCGCTGGATTGCGGCGCCAAGTGGACGATACGACCATGTGACCGATACGCGGTGCATGAGGCGCGAACGTCATCCTAGGCACAAGGTGGGGGGAATAGCGATGGATTGTTACTGCGTGCAGTTGCGGTCAACTCGACGCTGGTGCTTTGCATTTCCGACGGTGGCCGAAACACTCAATGTCTGCACAGGAAGCTGGACGTAACGGAGAGGAGCAGGCTAGCCTGCTCAGCTTTCGCGCATCCCCAGACACAGTCACGAGTACGCGACCAATGGTTCATGAGGGTCAGGTAGACTCACCCTGCTTCGCAGACCTGATCAAACGTATTCGCTCCCTAACGCTGAGATTACTGCCAGTGGAAGTTCCATTGGACACTATCGCGGATCCCACTAGCAGGGTGATCACTCCTCAAGTAATAGATGCCTACATTGCTGCCGCAGGCGACTTCCTTGAAGTGGTGAGTAGCTTAAACTGATTGCATTCCGAACCGGTACACTTATGTGTCATACTCGCAGTTACCGTATGCCTTATTGCGGGCGCGGAAAGAGTTCATGTGGGATGCCAACAATAACCCCGCAGACTTTGGCGAGAACTCGGGAAGAGGTATAAGTTCCATGATGATACCATGTCGCGCGTTTACACCTTGTCCGTACAGCTGTTGCATGTGAAGTACTCGCGCGTCGTGTGATACACCAAGCTCCGTCAGAGAAAGTAGTGCCTATGATGGCACGGCGGTTCCGGTACACAGAGGTTGATGGCGGAATGAGCGACAAGGCTAGCGCTCTTGAATTGGCTATTGACTCGCATTGGTATGTTTTCTCACTCCTGAGGCCGGAACATGATTATATGACCTGTCTTCCAAGTACTATCTTTCTCTCGTCGACTGAGGCCCAAGACGGTGAGTGCCGTGAATGATTGTGATGTTCACATTAAATGAACATTGTGAAGTGGTGAACTACCTGTGGCGTGGTCAACTCATTCAGAGACACCAGGCGGACCATGAGATCGACTGTGAGTTTCTGAGTCACCCACCAGCACTCTGCCGCTTAACTCCAATCAGTCGTACCGTTCAAAGAATGTGGCCATAGTAATTTCTGGGGTCATCTTGACCCAAGTCGGCTATCCGTTCCTCGGTGGGAATCGGTCTCATCGCGTCGGTGAATTCTAGCTAACGTGGCGTATAGATATCAGAACATTTTTCGCATATCCGTGTGGCTCTTATTCCTTTTCGCTTACTCACAAGCAGGCATGCCTAATCACTCGTGGTCTATGCCGCCCTTTGACTTTATCATAATTGTCAGTACGAGAGCCGCTTGACAAGCTGAACCCGGATCACGCGGGATTGGACGGTTGGGAAGTCTTGATGTACGTCCTAGCTCTGGCATTCTCTTTCGAAAGTGAGCAAATATGTCATGTAGGCAGCTAGTCCGCTTGCTGATAAACTGTCGCATCAGACATGCACAAAGTAAGGGCTGCATCTTTTCTCCATGGCAACTGGTACTGACTCCCCCTTCTAGCTCTACAAACTATTTCTATTCGTCTCTTGGCGTTCTCTTGGCTTTTGGGATGTGATCTCTTTCCTGACAGACTCGTTGCTCCTTGTCGCGTTCGTGCTTCGCGTTGTCGGCGTGTCTTCGCCTGAGCCAAGAAGCGTCACGATACGAATTCTGAGTTTTCAATGTCTGAGCTTCGTGGCGCCATTGATATGGTAAGTATGCTTATTTAAGACATATGGGACGACGTTGCTAACCACTGTGCGCGAGTTCAGGATGAGTGAGTTATTGCAGCCCGCGCCTGTCAGTGTTACGGAGCCCCCAATATAACACTCGTATACCAGAGATCATACCGATTTTCGACGGCTTCAAGTGCGTCATACCGTTTGTATTACTGATGTTGTCTCAGCCATTGCTTTTATCAGATATGTCGGCACAATGCAAATATGTGTCGCGCGTATGCTGAAAGAGTCTGGAATTTTCTTCGGTGTACGGTAACGATGCGATGACAATTGTCACAACATACTCACTTTTGCAATGCAGCTACTTGCCCTGCTTGGTATCGGCTTCATGCAAGGCCTATATGCGCTGGATGCGGCGGACGGACAGGCTGAGCACCTTCATGAAGTAAATCACACCACATGTCCTCTCAAGCGTCCCATTACTCATGATGCGCTTCAGGTGGTTCACGTGCTCATACAGGCACTACTGCAGTACGTCGCATAATACATACGACTACTAGCCTGCCGCTCACCACTAATGAAACAAGATCTCCAGATTACAACATGTTCGCTGCGAGGTATGCACAGAACACACCCTACAACAATCTACCCTGATGTATGATATTCTGCCAGCACCGCTGGCCAAGCTCTGTACTATCTGTGAGTTGCGCAAAGAGGTTCAAGGCTTGTGCTCACCGTATTTTAGCTGGAACGTTGCGACAGCTTTGATCCTCCTCAACGTGCTCATCTCGCTCTTCTCATCCGCCTATAACGACGTGAGTATAATTAATGTAATAGCGTTGATATACCCCGTTGACGGTACACACGACAGGTTGTAGAAGATGCTGCAGCTGAGTACCTTACGTACTTCGCCGGAAAAGTCGGCGGGATGATCAGGGCGCCCGATGAATACGTCTACCCGGCGCCCTTCAATATCGTGGAGATCCTGCTAGTTGCACCATTCGAGTCAGTGTGGAGTCCGTTCCGCTTCTAAGGAATACTTTGACTGACACGGTTGAACAGGTTCCTTGTGAGCGACGAGCTGTACGCGAAGGTGAACCCGGTGGCATCGCAGGCATTTCACATACTCATCTCTAGAACTCACAGATCAACCGCTACGTCATGCTCGTGACCTTCTTTGTCCCGCTCTCCATCATTGCATTGTACGAGGCTGACCTCGAGCCATCCAAGAACAAGTGGATCAAGGACTGGCTGAGTAATCCAGATGAAGGGGGCGAGGACGCACCAGAATTCGAGAACCCGGATGTGCATGAAGACGATGCTGCGCGAGGCCTCAAAATTAGCAAGGTCGCGTTCGAGGACCTTGTCAAGGCGTTCCCGGATACCACACATGTGAGCACGGCCACGGTCCTTGATCACAGTCTGTTCTAATAAAGGCTGGGGCGCTGATGACAATTGCCTTTCAGTCAAGCGAGGCTGTAGTGCTGCGAGAAGTCAGACAATTGAAGGAACAGATTGAGGAGCTGAAACAATTGCTCCGCAACGGCGCGAAAATTTGATTAAGCGATGACAGCGTTGTCCTTGATTACAGGCTACGATGGGGTATGTATTACGAGTGGACATGTTGTACTGTTGTACAGTAGAGTACAATATAGATGGCGAGCAAATCGGGAGAACCATTATGTCTGGTCCATTGGCTGCACCTCTGGCTCCCGTACAAGTTGCCCCAGGATGCCCATCGAGCGCACGAAGAACGGCCGGATTTCGTTGATCTCCATGGAGCACAGGTTGGGTAACTGGATAATTGCGGGAGTGATTTGAGTATGCTTTGTCAACGAGCGAGGCGTGTTTCGCAGGACGTACGCTGAGTTCGCTGTGATCGAGTTTGGACAGACCTTCCCGACTTTTTGCTTGGCGCGCTTCGCGTATGTCCTGCAGTAGCGAGCGTACTTTGTCAGGATTTATGATGTCATCAGAAGCACTTGAGATTGGTTGAATAAATGTCGAATCTAAGCAAAGCAGCGCAGGGACTCTTACACGTCCAATAGCGTCTTCGCGATCTCAGCGAAGCGAAAGGGCATCTCACTGAAGTCCGGCTCGGTGGTCTCTTGAGTTAGACGATCCTGTAGGAATTCTGTTGCGGTCAAACGTGGTCGGTAAGAGAAAACATATTGTTTTCAAAAAGATGGACCCACCAATACTGAGCCATTCAGGAGGTACGATGTGACACTTTTTCTTCATCTTCAAGTTTGTGGCCATCCAGAGGGGAACTTTGCACTTGGCAGGAGGCCTTAGAGGTCCATACGCACCCTGTTTAGACACGTCAGAGATACAATTCTTCGGAGCAAGGATAACGAATACAGCACTGAGATAAACGCGGTCCTTTCCATCGCCACCAGAGGTACGATCTCGACGAGCTGCTCGGACGCGATGAGCTCCAGCTCAGCGGGCGTGACTGATGTCCGCAATGATGGTGGAAGAGCCATGAAGTGTGTTTCGGTGAGATTACTTCGGGGCAATGCGAAGCCACTACCCAAGCTTTCAATATCAATCTCCAAGACGCGTCGGGTGTATGCGAACGCGTGGGCGCCGCCACACAAACTATGTACGACGCGATCGACCGATCGCGTTTTTCCGTCACGTGATGCGACGCGTCGCGCCACCTTGGACAAGTTCAATTACTCCTCCCCTCCGTCAATGGTTTGCAGTCCTGGGAAGACACTCCATACTTGTGCGCAGAACACCATACTACAGAAGCCATTCACATCATTGTAGCTGCACAATGCTGGGCACCAGAACAAAACAAGTTTTCGCGTACGGGAAACGGGGGCATCGTATCGTCAACGTGACAGAGGCCCGAAAATCAGCACAGGGATGTGAAGATGGCGATATCGCGGTGGCCAGTACGAGTACTCGAGGTCATGACTCTGACACCTCAGATGTCTCTATACGGTCAGACACCGACGACACAGACTTTATGCCTTCTCCTGTCAGGCCTGCTAAACCGAAGAAATTACACGATAATGTCTCCCGACAACCTGAGACGTCGGTACCCAAGCGACTTGCGTCTCGTGACGAGCGGTCTCGCATACAACGCACAGAACCTCCTCTGAAGCAGACGCAGAAAGTAGCTGCAACGAAGAAATCCAAGAAGTCTCCCCGAGCCGTAAAGCTTGGACGCGTAGATGTTTCTATGCCTGTGCGCCACCCTCTAAGCGTCGTCTCTATCAATACACCAGGATCCCCAGCTGCACCTCCACCAGCACAGAAGAAGCGGAAACCGGCCATAGGCAAGGGGACCCCGTTGAGGTCATCATCTCCTCTTGTTGATGTTGATATTGTCATCATGGACGCCCAGGGACGTCGTGTGAGCCAGGAGCGACGAGTGTCGAAGGCAGGTGTTCAGATGAATAAGGTGGTTGTGTCCCCAGGCAAGCCACATAAGGCCCTTGCAGGTTTGAAACCCTTGAAGCAGTCGCAGGGTGCCAGACTAAAACCTCGGAAGGAGTATTCGTCGAGGGGCAAGATGAAAGCAAGACCTATCGTCATCTCGTCCGACGAATCTGAGTCCGAGGACGAACCTGCAGACCTCCCCGTCAAGTTACCTAGCCTGAACCTGTGCCTATCTCCAGAAGCAGACGAACGCCCTATCCCTCCTCCACGATCCCGCATTGCTACTTCCCGACCACGAACAAATGTGATTATTTCTCCCGAGACTTCGCCATCGACTACTCAATCCACGCCTCCCCATCCCGCCCATTCGGGATCCAAAGCAGTCGCGCTCTCCCCTCTGCCACCAGCTGCGCCTGCATTTATGCAATGGACGCCACATGCGATTCCCGCGAAGGACCTAGCAGCCACGTTTTCCTCGCCCGTCGTTCAGCGCGGCAAAGCGCGGCAGCTCACACCAATGCGTATGCGCATCGGCCGCACTGCCATGTTCCCGCGGCCACCGTCGCCTCCTTCGCCTACAACACCCACAGATATCGACATCGATTTTTCCTTCGATTTCTCCAATCTCACAATTTCTCCGGGGGCTTTCGGGTCACTTGCTCCAGTACCTCCAGCATACCTCCAGCCCCTTCTCGAGGAATGTTCACAAACCACGCCGCACGAGTTTTCTGCCTTCATCGAGATGTTCCCGTACGATCCTATCGTGCGCGAAGGCGCATGGATAAAAGGCCCGGCGCAGTTCCAGAAGATCGGCGAGGCATCATATTCAGAGGTATTCGGCATCGGAGACGTGGTCCTAAAAGTGATACCTCTACGTGATGAGGAGAAGCCACGCACAGCGATTAACGGAGAGGAAGGATTGGACATGCCTGCTCCGAGCGACGCAAGGGATGTCTTGAGGGAGATCATTGTGACGCACGCAATGGGCGAGATGTGCTCAGGCTTTGTACAGCTCCTCCGAACGTACATTGTCCGCGGCAAATATCCCTCCTTGCTACTCGATCTATGGGACGAGTATAACGAGAAGAAGGGTAGTGAAAGTGCCAGACCAGGTATGTCCTTGCCACTTATATGCGTTGGTTACTCCTGATCTCGATCACTTTTCGTGCCAGACTCGTTCACCGTTTCGCAGGTCTATGCTATCATCGTGCTGCCAAACGGTGGCCCCGATCTGGAAGCGTATGCATTCGAAAGCGCGACAAAGACAGGCTGGAGACAAGCTTGCAGCTTATTCTGGCAGGTCACTCGTGCGCTGGCTGAGGCCGAGGATATCGTCTCGTTTGAGGTAAGGCCTTTCCGTCTGCGGTATGTTGCCGATCGTAACTGTTGATTGAGCAGCACCGCGACCTCCACTGGGGCCAGATTCTGGTGAAAAACCTGGCACCTCCACCTAAGCCGTCCCTCAAGGCGACGATGAAGACGTCCATGGACGACGTTGTGCACGGCGTGGAAGCGACCATCATCGATCTGGGCCTTGCCCGCATGGACACTACCGATACAGACCAGATCGAGACATATTGGACACAGTTTGACGAAGAAGTCTTCGAGGGTGAAGGTAAGAGTTTTTGTGCGCTTATATTATAACAGTTGTCCGACCAGAATACAGGGGACTACCAGTTTGATGTGTACAGGATGATGCGGACGCATAACAGAGACTCTTGGGAAGAGTATCGTCCACTCAGCAATGTCATGGTACGCGATACGGCCATGCCTGCCTGCTCCCGCAAGGCTGACCCTGATACACCACAGTGGCTGCACTACTTGACATTGAAGCTGCTCCAGGCCAAGAAGCTGAAGCCTCCAGCTGCACGCAAGACTGCAACCACGACCACCTCGTCGTTCAGCCAGAAGGAGTGCTATGACTGTCTCGTAGAGATGGAGGCGGTTCTCGGCCAATGTGTGGCTGTATGCAGAGCTCCCCAGGTCTCCCGCAACGGCAGGAGGAAGACCCAGGCACCTACGAAAACGTCAGTCATTACAGGTCCCAAGAGCGCTGCGGATGTCCTGCGTATCGCAATCCGCAGAGGCTGGGTTCAGTGATGCTGCGCGCACTCATGTTGATGACTTTGTTCTGTCCATCGAATCTCATGATACCCTTTACATATTGTATGTTTACAATGACCGTGTGTTCCTCATATTTACCAGCCCTTGGTCCCTATACCCCCTGTGAATCAATTCTATACAAAGCGTCCCGCCTGGTATCCTGAGTTGTCTAACCCGCTGTATAACGAACAATAACTCAATAGACGAAGATGACTAAAAGTTTGACCATGCGTTACAGACTTCTGTGCTAGCGATATTTTGGATGCCAAAATTCCCCTCACGTTTGAACATCTCAAGTTGCCGTCTGAAGAGCATTCTTCTTGAGCAACACATAACCTCGTTGGGTCAACGTTGGATAGCTACTTGTATCTGATAGAGCTACATCCACAAATTACTTCTACCGACTACATCATCTCGACACGTCCGGACCGCGCGTACCAATACAACAAATGGACTTGGTGTGTGAATAAGTAGTATGGATGCGATGGAACAAGACATGTGTGAGGAGGTCCAGGCGCTGCGGGATTAAATACATTTGTTAGAATGGGAGAAGGGAAAAAAACAGATGGCTGCTAGGCTGTCGCCGGAACCACAGCATGCGTCGCCGATATATCACACCGTGATTTGCCCAAAAACAGATGGACGGAGGGCAGACTTCATCAACTCGATCCCTGCTGCTCTCCGCGGCGACTCGACCGTGTATTCCTCTTCGGCTGTCGTCTGCTCGGCGACGTCCTTGTGCCACCAGCGTTCTTCGCTGGGGACACGCGTCCGGAACTCGCCGCGTGGCGGGACGAAGCTGTGCGAGAGGACGAGCGAGGCGGAGGGGGGAGGCGTGTAGGAGCCACAGCCCTCTCGCGCAGGAAGTATCGCGATGGAGGGGTGTCGCGCGCCGCTTCGGTGTTGTCTTTGCGGCGCCGCTTGCGCGGCGAGCCGGCTGGAGACTGTTCGCGGGGAGGTAAGGGTTGTGGCGGTGGCGGTAGGGCCTCAGGAGAAGCGCTGGTCGTCGACGCGTCAGCCGCCGCGAAGACTGGTGCGCGGATTGGGGAGCAGAGCACCGCACGGTCGTGCACGCGCCCTCGGTTGGGTGTGCGCTGTGGGGTGCGCTGGGAAGAAAATCCCAGCTGCGAGAAGGTGACGTCCTCTGGGACCGGCAATTGAGACGCCGAATCCAGTTGCGACGCCGGAACGTCACTACTATCGGCGACAGGCCACTGGAACGAGCCGTTTGGCGTCACCAGAGGAGTATCTATCCATTCAGACTCTTGTGATGTCCCTTGTACGCCAGGCTGTGAGGGTGAATGGGTGTTACGATTGCCTGGAGAGCTGATCGGAGTACTCGCCACAGGATGAAAGGGTTTGCGTGGCGTTGCCAATAATCGCGGTGCGAGGTCCGCTCCCCAGTGTCGCCGCTGCGACAGTCTCAAGGGGCCACCAGACAAAGGACATGGACCCTGGCTGGGTTCCTCGTCGACCGGTTCCGTAGGCGTTCGTTCAATAGGCCTCTTCCTCTTGCGTGGCCGTAAACCGACCGTAGTCCCTCCTGTCTCCGCATCACAGTAGAATGTCTGTGGTTCGTGATCATCCTCTTCGCCTGCGAACTCCCCTCCGCGCCTCAGCGCGCCTGGCTGTATCTGCTGCCGAACGTGGCGAACAGGCGCAATTGGCGGTAGCGTACTCTCGTATGCGAAGTCGCGCGCATGTATACCACTTTCAACGAGCAACCTGGCGATGCGTTCTTGTTTCTCTCCGACTGGAGGTCCATGCTGTGTATACGGCGCAAGCGCTTCTTCCAGCGGCATTGGAGACTTGTGGTCATTGAAAACGTGGCCTTGAGGACATTGTACATTCGACATCGAGCAGGGCTCTTCACTCACGTTCATAGCGATGTAGGGAGAATCTGGACTTTCCGACTTCTTGCTCAATGCCCTGATAGCTGATGTCGAAGTCGAAGCACGCTTTTCGTCGCTGCATTTACGGGCATTCATGACGCGTGAAGATCTTTGTTCAACTTGATCCCGTAAATAATGTGTTCTGGGGATGCTAGATGTTGTGTTCACACTGGCGTTGTTGTCCGAGTAGCTCTAGATCGTGGTTAAAGACAGACATTCGTGAGTGCGCTTTAAAGACGCCGCGCTTTGCCCGCCACGGGCGCCCGCCTTGTGGCCGGCCAGCGTGTTCATAAAGCATACCAAATATGGAAGGCCCGATTCCTTCTCAGATGAACCGAGCCAGATCGGCTTGATCCACCCAGGTCAAGCATGTCAATTACCATTATGTCCTCGAGGATGCATACCCAAGTGAATCCATATTGTCTTTCAGCTTTATGTTGCTGATTATGCCTGGATGTTCCATATGTCTCAAATATTGCATTGTCGGGTTGATACTCCATACAGCGTAGGTACATGTAGAGTGTAATCGAGCCTCCAGCTCCGCGCCCTCGGACGGAAACACTCAAACGTGAGCGCAGCGCAATACGTCGTTGCCCTACGCTTTTTAAGCGGACAAGGTGCGCACCACTATCAGCGTGGGGCGCGAGCCATTCTCGCAGACGGCGTGCCGCGTGCGGGACCCAAAGGCGAGAGAACAGAGAACAGAGAGGCGTACTGTGGACTCATGGTGCGTTCGTGTTCAGTTTCCTAACGAAACCGTCCGAATCCCGCAGTACATACAACTGACTCGGAGTATGCTTGTATGGTAGAGCGCATCCTAGTTGAGGACTTGATGACGTTCCAGGCCCAAATCCTGTGTCATAGCCCTCGGCGGACGCAGATTTGTGACTGAGAACTTCATCTTGACCGGAGTTATGAGATACGCTCTAGTACATAAGTTAGTAGATAAATTTGCTCTCATGACTGTCAAAAACGGCACCGAACCAACATGTGAAGTACACGCACGACTGTCTGCGAAGCTCTCGTTGGCCCCATTACATCCAACACACAAAGATCGTACGGCCACTATCTGCACCTTGAACGCCGTGAGTGTAGACTGCATAGGGTGTTAGTAACCAACCATTGGGGCTCGAAAGGCTTGCTATGTTGGGACAACTACCGACCCCGTGCCAACGTTTTGCACGTTCCAGCGAAGCCTAGCGAAGCGCTCTCTCTGTCGGCTCTCTCACACAGACTCTCCAGCGTGTCTGTCGTCGAGCTGACTGCTGGAACCAATGGACCCGCAAATGCTAAATACGATGATGGCGCAGCTGGGTATCTCTCCGGAGGATCTACAAGCATATCAAGATACGATGGGAGCCGTCGGAATACCTGAGACGAGCACCAGCCCTCCTCAGTTCCATCCCGGAATGTCTGAAGCCGAATTGCGCGTAGCCATCCCTAGGTACAAGGCGTGGCTCGAGGAGGACCGCAAGATTCTACCCCAGCGTGCACGATATGTGTCGCGCCAGACATTGCTCTCATTTCACAATCGAGTTCGTCAGGCTCGATGGTCAGACGGACTCCCACAGGGTGAAGTGAGCACCAGGATGACAATATCGGGATTCCCAAAACATTCCAGTATAGTTCCCCTAGAACGACTGGAGCGCAGTACGTGGAATACAAGTTTGATCTCACATACAATAGCTGATGTGTTGATGTGTAGTCTGCTTCTCTCAAATGCTTGTTCGCAAAGTACACCTAGTGAGTAGAAGGGAACCTATATTTTCTGATACATTGCTCAAGCGATAGGTACTGCTATAGGGATCATATCTTCTCTGTCGTTCGATCGCACCTTCCTGTCAGTGACTGCACATTCCATAATTGTCAGGTCTTCACGCAACGTCTATAACAGGTCGCTTAGCATCAGTACAACTCCTCGTCGAAGACCCAGAGGGGACCACGCATTACCTCACCATCTACAATTTCCCCACTACCTTTCAATGCTCCCTCAAATATCTCGATGACTTGCTTCCGGTCGGAACAATCTTCGCAATCCGTGAGCCAACCTTCAAGGCTCCGACAACGGGAGATTATCCAATTGTCCGCGTCGATTCACCCAGTGATATCATCCTGGTGAGCCCGGGACATAGTGTCCTTAAGGGCGTTGCCTGGCGAACACACGACCCCTCCTCGAAGATATTAGCGATGTCCACGGTAGACTCATGCAGAGATCGAGGGAACGCCTTTTTTAAAGCGTCGCACTGGCTTCCTGCGGCTCTCATGTACTCTCGCGGGCTCGCAGCAGATCCTGAGGCCACCGTCCTGCTATCAAACCGTGCGGAGGTTTACCTGCGTCTTGGGTTCTGGTCCGGTGCTATCGCCGATGCCAGACGCGTTCGAACAAATTCCGATGCGCCTGAAGCTCTTCGTAACAAAGCGGTTTTCCGTGAAGCGAAGGCAGAATATGCGAGAGGGAATTACAAGACAGCCGAAGACCTATTCCTTCAATGGCAAAGTGTTCGTCCCGATGACGAGGAGGTGAAAGGCTGGATATCTCGAGCGCGTAAGCGACAGGCGGAACAAGAGACTGGTCAATACGACTGGGAGACGTTGTTCAACCAGTCGCAGTCAGATCATCATCTTGATGTTGCCGAATTCCGTGGCCCCATCGAGGTACAACAAGTGTCCCGACGCGGTGGTGGCCGTGGCATAGTGGCAGTTCAAGATATTGAGATAGGCCAACTCGTTGTGAGTATATGAGATACGGGTTTTCCCATATATGTTCTGACTATGTGGCACAGCTCGTAGCGAAGCCATTCCACAGCGTCTACGAGCGTGACCTTCATCCGAACGAGATCATGTTGAGCGTTGACCTGATCACTTCCAAGATGAATACACGTACACAGAGCGCTCTTTTGGCGGGCGTCATGCAGAAGCTCCTTGGCAATCCTGAATTGCATGGGTTGGTCTTTGACCTCTACGCTGGACCCGACTCCTCTCCCCCATCGTCATATCCTCCTGTGATATCCCCCGACGTCACGCCCGTAGATCCCTCCCAGGCATCCATCGACATCGATGTGGCTCGTTTGGATGCTATCATCTCGTTCAACGGCTTTTCACCCTCGGTACTTGAACCCATTTCTTGTAGGTCCAAGTCTAGGCCTGAAGAAGGGAAGCCAAGCGGGTTGTATTTACTGCCCTCGCTCTTCAATCACGCCTGCCAGAGCAATGCCGTCTGGACTTGCGTGGGCGATGTGATGGTCATTAGGGCGACGAAGCGCATCATACTTGGGGAGGAGATTACAATACCCTACACCTCTGCCCATGGCAATCCATACGAGGAGCGTCGAGCTATACTCCGACGGTTTTCCATCGACGAATGTGGCTGTTCTCTGTGCCAAGACGATCGCAAGGACGACGAATCGGCGCACAAGATGAGAGACGAACTTCTCGCCAAGAGGAAGTCGAGTCGACTGACCGACGCCTCGACCGCCCAACTCTTATCGCTGGAACAGCAGTTTGCGGCGACCTATTCGCCATCACGGGGTCCTTGCAAACCTAGACTGGCCGATATACAGCATGCTATAGCGGAGACGCTGCGCAAGCCGGGCAGCACAGCGTCGATTCCAAACGCGATTGAATACGAGAAGAAGGCACTAGAAAGTCTAGGGTTCATTGTCTTGGGCAAGGACGCCATGCAGCAGTCCGAGTCATGGGACGGCACCAAATTGCCAATCGATACAGCACAAATATCAACGGCGTCTGTTTTCGACATCCCAGCTCTCTGCATGCTGAGGCTTGCACACGACTATCTGCGACTTTCCGACACGTCAGGTGCCATCGGATGGTTAAAGACCGCACAGTGGCGTAAGTATTCCCATCATGCTGCGCCTACAAGCAAAGACTGATTGCTTGCAGTCGTTGCAACCTGGGTTGGTGGAGACAAGATGTTTTTCATGCGAGTAATGGCTCCCGTGCTTGAAGAATGGAAATTGAAAAGGTTGGCAGCGTCAGTCGTGTGAGGTGTGAGAAAGATGCAGTGTTCAGGGATATAGCAGGCGTGGTTAGTAGATGATCCGTAGATTGTCGATAAACAGCCTAGTGAATCCTATAATTCACTTCGATGCACGCCGTGTCTCCTAGTAATTCGACTGCAAAACTAAGAGATACGGGATTTTGACTGGTTGACAATGAATGGGAACCCTCTTTTAAGAACATGATCGACAAGGGATCTTAGCGATGAAATGTTTCGCCGTACTGACGAGGCTACAGCCAGCGTCCACATGCACGCGGGAAACTATGGATGCTGTCAGACGGCGTATTCGATTGTCAAACTGTGTAGCAGGGCAACAGGTCTGAGATGACACTTGTGCGTTGAGGCATGTCGTTGTCAATTTCGGTCTGCGCGGATCCACATTTCCGGTGTGCGAAGATGGCCCCACAGTGACGAAGCCACAGCGCTCACCTGCACGGTCTGCAATACGATAGCCTCTCCGACGCAACCATCTCTGATACAATAGACTGCTACTCGACTCACGAGGGCTTTCAGAGATTGTACAGTGATATGGCCCGCTATTTCCATAGTATAGGTGGTAAGTATAAGTTAACAACATTACAAACGGTCATCCCGGCAAGCCCGCAGGAAACATGGGAAGCACGAGCCAACGAACGTGAGTTGACCTGTGAAAGATATATGCTACAAACAAGTAAACGAAAGCTAGGTTTGCGTAGACAAAAGAATATAAACTAACCAGATCACCGTTATAGAGTATGCTCACGACGCGCAGTCCGCAACTCCGCTGCCCATCTAAGGCGCCGACCCTTTATCATGTCTCGCTATATGAAGGAGGGACATCCACGGGAATATCGTGTTCGGGTGGGGCGGCCCCTGCCGACGAAGAGGATGCGTCCACAGCTCCGAAACGTATGCCCGAGTCCGCATGGTACGTCGCTGGTTGCTGCGCGATGGACAGTAGTCCAGCTTGCGCCGCCTTGCTGTTCGCCTGGTTTGGCGAAGATTTATTCCGCACAGACATCTCCGGCGCACCAGAGCTCGAGCCTGCTGCAGAGGCTGAGTAGCTCATCGGTGGCTGCGAAGGGCCGCCGCTGTACGTGCTGCCGCCGACCTCGCTGGAAGGTGGCGAGTAAACACTAACCTGATTGAAAGGTACCTGGGCCGGGGGAGGTGCAGGCGCGGATGCGTTAGGGTATGGTTCTGTTTTGATCTCTGCAGTAACGAAGATATCAGCGGGTGTCATGATAAAGGAGAGCCTGCGCGTACCGTGATGGAGCATGTCATCAGCATTCGAGGCATGGTAGAAGTATGCACGCCCGCCTCTTCTACGTCTCAGAAGTAGGAAGAAGATCAGGAGGCCGATGATCACCAGACCGGCGACGCCTCCCACGACGCCTCCGACAATCGCACCAACGTCTGTTTTCGAGCTCGAGGACGTGGAAGCACCCGTAGTTAAGGGTAGGGGAGCGGAGGTGTAGGTAGCACCTGGCACACTCGTCGTTGATTCCGGGATATATAGGATGAATTCGAGAATATAGGGGTTGTCCGCAGTCGCATTCGTGACATTGAAAACGACTAGATGGTTGCCAGAAGAAAGATTTGGTGACTCGTAGAATGTGACACCGTCCTGTTCTGTGGTTACGTTGGAAGGTCCAACATACGGCACTGGCGTGGAATGGTCGACAGAGTATGTTGACTCGATGGGAGCTCCTTGTTCGAGAACCCCGAATACACCGACTTTGAGACCTGGAGAACGTGTCTACGAGTGACTCCTATTTGGTTAGGAGTACTCACCATTGAAATCGAGGACACCGGAAGCTGTGCCCTGTGCGATAGCGATGGTAGCGTTCTCGGACGTTATTTTCGTCCAGTTGCCATATAAATTTAGTTGAGAACTCGTAACATAGACAACCACAACGTCATTATCAGCGGTCTGCGGCATAATGGAGGAAAAAAGAGAGCGGACGGGGTGTGCGTGAGAGGTGGCGATGTTAATATACCAGTTGCATCAGGGGACGTTTCGTGCCCTGATGGCTGTACAGTGCTTGGCTACGCCAGCGGAAACGGGCGGTGATCTTAAAAACCCATGCGTCGGGGTTACGTTAGCGATAGCGATCCCGCCGGTGATTGCGACTTGGAAAAGGGGGACAGACGTGTTGCCACACGGTCCAAACCCCAGTGGTCTCTGGAGTAAGACGAGGACTCCAGAGCATTTGAACCAGTGCTCTAGGCCGACTACCAGTGCACAAGCGATATATCACACCCAAGGAAAATTGACCGGGCCTTGGGATCTCAGAGAGCATACTCGCGTTGATGGCGCTCGTCGTTCCCGGCGCACCTATAATACACGTGGTGTAATTTGATGGATCCGAGTCAGTTTGGGAACATGAACGCTCTACTTGCTTTGCTCGAGAAGACGAGGGGAGTGACGATCAGAGCACAGAATTGCCGTTCTGGATGAAGAGTGCAGCGGCATTCGTCAAGTTGCTTCCGTAATTAATTAGGGTCTGAAGTCCCTATTCGGTGCATTGGTCGATCTGAAGCAGATGATGGCACAGAGTTGCTTTGATGTATGACCCGAATTATATTTCGGGGTATAGTTTGTCTAGGTTGAGAAGAAATGATTTGCAGAACGCAGAAGCGGCCCGTGGCAGTGAAAGGAGAGATCAGAAACGGTCCGGCAACGTCCGAGATGCTCAGTTCACCTCTACTTCCGCGGAAGTCCACCTGATCGAGATCTGAGGTTTACTTACCCCGTGTTTGGTACCTATAACTTTAAGGCGTGAGTTCAGCCACATCTTCATGTGTGTGTTCGGTAGTAATTGACGATTCTAGGGTCTCCCAAGGGCATAAGCCAAGCGTGAAGAGACTTATGTACGTCTACCTTCTGCTGGCAAAGTTGCTCCATTAGGGATTCGCCCAATTTCGTTCCGTTTGCCTTACTATGGATGCGCTAACCGCCCCTCTCTTTAGTGAAGTGGAGAAGCCTGTCTCTGTGTTCGCTGAACTTTCATACCCAAGGCGGCATGCTTCGGCAGGCCTGGAAACCCGTCGTCGGCACAGCTGTCCTAGTTGGCGCCCCAAGCTATATCTATTACAGGTATTATCTCAAGCCCGCGAGCGAGACGTTCGACCTCCGCGTCAGAACGCGCGGCCCCGACGGAAAACCCGTCGTGACTACACGCGCCATGTCACTCTTGTCCAAGGACCAAATTAATGCCCGCCTCACTGAGCACGCGACCTCAAAGACTACCCCAAGACCCGGCATTGTGTGGAAGCAAGCAACTGCGCATTTGGCGTCCAACAACCCCATCGAGGACGCATACGCCAGTGCTTTCGTGCAACGCGATGCGACCGACCCAGCTGGCCCCGGTGACCTGCTCTTCTTTGCCGTCATGGACGGCCACGGTGGCCCGCATACCTCACGACTGCTGTCACAAGTCCTCCTACCCGCGGTCGCCCTTGAGCTGCATCAACTCTCTCGGACCCCCGAATCGTCCGCCTCAAAATGGCCAAGTCTTCAAAATATTCAGTCGCTATTATACCCTACTGCCGTTACGCCACTACCATTTGACTCGGACCCAGAGCGCGTGAAGCGCGCCATTCAGACTGCTTTCTTGAACCTGGATTGGGAGTTGATTAATGCCCCGATGCGTATTCTAGCGGAGCATGCTGACGCACTCAAGAAAGGGAATGTACCCGACCTCAGCCAGCACCCGATGGCGCTGGCGAGTATGAAGCCTGCGATGTCTGGTTCGTCGCTCAATCTGGTACAATCAGCGAGCGTTCCATTTTGACAGTTGTGTAGGGAGCTGTGCGCTTATGGCGCTCTTTGACACCGCACATGAAAATCTGTACGTGGCCTGCACAGGCGACAGCCGTGCGGTTGCTGGAGTGTACGAAGAGACTGAAGACGGGCGAGGCTCATGGCGTGTCGAAGTACTAAGCGAAGACCAAACGGGCAGAAATCCCAACGAACTCAAGAGGTTGCCTTCCTTAAACACATTCTGTTATGAGTGGTATTGACTCACCGTATTGGATAGGATACAATCAGAACATCCTGCTGACGAAACAGATACCGTCATCATGCGTGGACGTGTCCTCGGCGGGCTAGAGCCCAGCAGAGCATTCGGAGACGCACGATATAAGTGGCCTCGCGAGATGCAGTCAATGTACGCAGCCTCTCGTGCCTCCTAGACGATACACTGACCGTACCCAGTCTGAACAAGGCCTTCCTCGAGGGCACCAACGTCGCGACGCGCTCGGCCCCCACCCTGCTCAAGACTCCTCCATACGTGACGTCCCGCCCCGAAGTGACGCATCGCAAACTCCCCTTCCTCGGCGACCCCTCCAGGCAGAAGCTACGGTTCGTCGTCCTCGCCACGGACGGCCTCTGGGACGAGATCTCCTCCGAGGAGGTCGTCGCTCTCGTCGGCGGGTACCTGTCGGGGCTCAAGGGCACCGTCGCCAAGGCCGACCTGCCAGACCTTGTGCCGACGTCGTCCGGCTCGCGGACGGTGGAAGGCAAGGATAAGCGCCATCAGCAGGACAAGCAGGGCGCGTGGGCCTTCGTCGACGACAACGTCAGCACGCACCTGATCCGGAACGCGTTCGGCGGTGCGAACGATAACCAGCTGCGAAAAGTCCTCAGCATCCCCGCTCCGTTATCCAGGAACTACCGGGACGACGTCACGGTCACGGTTGTGTGGTGGGAGGAGGGTCGTGGGCTTGACGCGCAGGCGGACTTATCGCGCTCTGAGCAAGCAGTCAAGTCCAAGTTGTAACTACGTGCGCTATGTACATTGTGAATGCATTCGCATCTTGGATATAACGCAGTCGCAGTGAAGAGAATAAGTCGGAGGTCTACTGCGACTGAGAACCGGAGTACAAGTAAAAGATATGCCGCCATACTCTACATCAAAAAGTGCCTTTTCTTCTTGCCGTAAAGGTTCACTGGCTGTCCAGGGTCCCGTCGCAGATTGTTACTGCCTGTTAGACGGCTGCTAATGGGATTGCTTCCGCCTGCGAACTTGGACCCGGAGCTTTTCCGTCCCTTCGCAGGAGTTGACGTCGCACTCGGTGAAAGTGGGGTCCGTGCCCATTTCCTCAGCGACTCCTCGTCATCCTCGCCTGGCTCAGGAGACTTTCGCTTTTTCGACTTGGCGTCGTCCCTCGCGTTTGATTTTGACCCATAGAAGCTAGTCGTGGGAACTGACGAGTAGAGCGGGCCTTTCGACGACAAGGATTCCCCGGGTGGCGCCGGCTTCGGAGTCGCCGACGTAAGGGTTAACGACGGGGCAGGAGGTTTGTCATCAGAATCAAAATCATCGCCCGACTCGACCTTTGTCTTCGGCACCTCGATCTTCTCTCCAATGTCATCATCGCTATCGTCATGATATTGCGAGAGGCTCGCGAGAGCGCTGGTAGGGCTCTTTGATACTGCAGCTATCTTTTTTGCAAGTGTTTTTGCCTGTGGATCAGCAGACGCTTTATGGCTCGTGGAGGCGTCCTTAGGAGCGTCGGTAGCCGGCATCGGCGAGGGAAGAAGTGGTCCAATGAACGGGGCATCGGTGGCCGACTTGGCACGCTTGGACGAGACCTCCTCATCGCTCCCAGAGACCTTCCGCTTCTTCATACCGGCGACAAGTCCCGTCTTCGTTGGCAAGGCAGGACTAACGGGAGCTTTGACAGCCGCCTCCAGGGCATGACCCTTATCCCGCATGTAAAACAGAATATAGGCGCTGCGCATGCTTGTCGGGGTGCCCGGGTGCCTGGTGACGGAATCGTCGTTCATTTCGTACCATTGATTGTCGCAACCCTTGACGTGCGCATAGTAGTGGCCAGAGTTGGGACCACCGCCGGCATGAGATATCACCCCGTAGAGCGAATATGTCGGCCCATGCTGGCCTTGGCTCATGTAAGGCTGCAACGAAAGGTGTTCTTCGTACTTGACAGGGTGGCTAATCTTCCGCCCCATCGGCGAGAATCTCTTCAGATGAAGTGTCAAAACCAATGGCGCGTCATGAACTGTAAATTGCTTGTCGGCTGTCACCGGCTTTTTGCACCTATCGTCACTCGTGGTTAGAGACAAGTACTCTCCTTGAGAGCTCCGCCACTCACTTCTCGCATTTGTATTTATCAGCGCCCTTCAAGTGATCGACGGCGACAAACTTCCGGAGAGCTTCCTTGAGGCTCTGTGCACCATAGATATCGACACTAAGGTCCAGGACATTGTCGAACGTGTCGCTGTTGTAATCGCATTCCAAACAAGTCACTCTTGAGCGTAGGCGGCCGCCAAAAATTTTGTGTACCCAAGTTGTTTCTGCCAACTTCGGGTCCACTTTCCTGTATACAGGCCGATCAACACGTGCACTAAGACGCTGGATGATATACTCACTGAGGATACCCCGCTAGGCATGATTTCTGAAGAGCATCAATAGCATACCGAAGGAACTCGTGTGAGTCCTCCTGTCTCCCCCTACGCATATGTTTTGCAATAACTGCCGGGTCGTTGAGCCACAAAGTCGGTATTGAAAGACGCCAACAGACCTTGCAGCTTAGTCGTAATGGGGTATGGCGCAAATGCTCGTCGCTTGGTATGCGACTCGTGCATAACTTGCCGCAGAGAGCAAGCCATGCAGAATGCATTCTTCGCCGAGCGGCCTAGTGAGAGAGCGTCATTATGATTTGTCACGGCATTCAATGAAGTGACAGAACGCACATGGATCGGACTTTGAATGTGCGATCAAAACATGAAGTAGTGGGGGTGTGTGAAGCAGGCATTGGAGCGCACTATTGAGGAAGCACGTATTGCCCGAATTGTGGAAGCCTGAGCCAACTGTGGCGCCGGTAGGCCATGCCGTCGATAGCTGGCTAGTGAAAAGTTGCTTCCCTGGGATTGATGCAGCGCGCTGAGGATTTGGGGACTGAGGGATCGTGGCATTGGATGCAGATTTCTTGGTTTCTTGTGCCTAGACAAGAAGACACCGCATCGTTTGTATCAAATCACCTTGTGTGATCGAAAAGGGACTAACCTCAACTCTCGTGGGTCGCGGGGTGGTGTTGATCGGTTGGTACTTGTTTTCGTCAGTTGCCAGAGCGCCTGAGGAAGATCCCTCAACGAATTCGATCGGGGGTGGCAAGAGACTCTTGAAAGACTCCATGTCCTTCGCAGGACGATACTGCTGCATGGTATCTTCGGATGAGAACCCAGACGTCGGCATGAGCGGCGACGCGAGCATTTTGTAAGCTCTGCGTATTGGAGAAGGGGGCAGGGCCGGAGGGACGCGATGAATCGCGCAGAGAGGGAGGAGGAGGCGCGCCGTGGATGGGGGAAAAGGAAGGCAGTCCTCAGGAGCGTCTAACTCGAGAGCAGGGAAGAAGTGGAGATGCGATCTCTTCACGTGATCATCCTTGGCCCCGCGCAAGTCTATGACGAGACATTACTTAACAGACAAGATAAACCACTTGTTTGAATGTTCAAGCTTGAATAAGGCATTTTTCTATGCTCAGATATTACTCGAATAACAGCGATACAAACTGGTGGCTCCGATATTCCCCCACGACTTACGGTGCTTGAGCGCAGAAAGAAGGCATTGCCCCCGCCGAAAATGTATTATGTCAAAATAATGAGGCCGAGAACGATACACTACTATGGTGGCGTCCTACTAGACGATACAAGCGCTAAGTGGTATGAAGTTTTAAGTAAGGTGAGGCGGCTCTATGACACGAGAGAACAGGATGCTGTATTAAATGATATAAGTTACCACGAGATATGCCAAAGTGTTCAGGGAAGATATGGGGTTTGAGCGTAAGCATGATCTGGACGCAACGTGTTCGAGCTATAAAGCTCAGGGCGATAGCGCGCGTTCGAGATCATATAAGACAGATACTTCGCCTCGTAAGGAGATAGCGAGCCAGGCATAGGATCATGTCTGAGTGCCGTCGAGGAGAAGTACGAAGTCGGTGGAGAGTCAGTGGATGCGTATTGATATGTCGGCGACGGCGTTGGCGTTGCTTGCGGGGTATGAGTTCCAGTCCAGCCAGGCGCTGTGCTCGCCCATTGGCTCTGACTCTGGCTGTGCATGTCGGGGAGCATCGTCAATAAATTAGTGTCGACCATCTGCTGCGTGCTCCGAGAGAGAGCCCCTGGATAGCCCACTGCGTAGTCATTGTTAGATGATGACCTCTATGAACAATACGGGAACGACGTACTTTGCCCTCCATTGAGGTTGTAGTCTTGAGACATAATATGAGACCCACCCGCAGGTGATGAGGCGTAGGGATGACTACCGCCATAGTTGTGCTGATACGAGACGCTCATCATCGGATTTGAGGGACGCGCCACATCGTGGTACGAGGACAATCGCAACGAGGAGTCGTATGATAGCTCATGGCGGGCCATTGAGCGAGGGACACTCTGCGCCGAGGGCTGGACATACGTGTTGGAGTAGCTGTACGAAGGCGTATTGCGGAGACTCGAAGACCCGGGCACGGTGGCCGTGTACGCGGTCAAGGGCTGAATATACGAACTCGACGAAGGCGCAGAAATGCGAACCGGGGTATCTTGCTGGCGGGTAGGACTGTTGCCCTGCGACGAATCTGAGGATGTGTACTCTGGAGTGGCCCGACGTACACGCTGTGAATTCCGCGTGGCGCGCGCTTCGGCCACGAGAGATCGTGTGCCCGGTGGTTTTGTCTGCCGTTCTGGCTCCGGTGAAGGTGCTTCTGCAGGCGAGACAACGGTGTCTGGAGTTGCCTTCTTCTCGTAAAGCATGCAGGCCGTGACGTTCATAGTACTGGGGTCGATATTGTGGTGCTTCTTGAGATGGGTGATGAACTGCGCCCGTCGCTTGATCCTGAAGTATTGGCCGTGAAGACATGCAAGGACGCAAATACAAGAATAGAATGAACGTACGTCTTTCTTTTGATGCATACCGGGCACAAATGTCCCACAAAACCCATGTGTATCTCCTTGTTGTGGCGGCTACGGGATGATCCATCGCCAAATATCATCGGGCACGCTTCACATTTATAAGGCTTCGCTCCAGTGCTATGAATGATGTCAGAACACGGCGACATGGCTTGGGAGGATGACTGGGCGATGATAGCGGTAAAGTGTTGATTCTAAGGACTTACTGTGTATTTAAATGCGTCTTGAGGGCGCCCGACTGAATAAAGCGCATAGTACAATATTTGCATTTATACTTTCTGTATGACGGTGGCGATGAGTCCGATCCAATAGCCGACTCTTTTGAAACTCACTTGTCTTGTATGTGGATCTTGATATGACGGGTCAGCTCACTCGAGCCTGAAAAGGACTTCTTGCACGTTTTGCACCACTGAAGGTATCAGCTGTCAAATACTGAGGTGCACACGATGATCCTGCATACTCACTGGTCTGGGCCTATGGTCATGGTTAAGATTGATTTTAGGGCGAGAAGAACGGGGCATAGTCGTTGCGACGTTGCGTTAAAGCAGCAGTAATGTGAAGTGGCGACGTGCGAGATGTGCTTGGTATACGGATGGGAGTAGGACGGAAGAAGATGGTGGCGAGAAAATAAGTGCGATGCACTGTCAAAGCGCGTCCGCAGTTGGGATTATTATTTAAGCAACAGGGCCACTGTCAAAGCCAAAGCCCAAGATTGCCACAACGTCGGAGATTATAGACAAGGCTAAAGCTGCCTGCAGACTTCCAACCTCAATGAGCGGCACGTTAGCGTGCGGGATCGCAACGGTCGTGGAGTGGAAAAGATGCCATGGCACCAACGTTCTATGCCTTAAATCCCGCTGCAAGTCGGGGAGGAGTGAGACAGAATCTGCAGATTGAGACCGAGTGAACAGCGCACCATTATTGTTTTCTTGAACGGGGCAGCGGCGGGGGAAAGAGGGGTGCGTCGTGGAGGGGTGCGATGCTCTAGAGAACAATTGTCGGCCAGGTCACCGACAGTGCACCTTAGCATCACACAAGGGACATCTAGATGCTCATCTTCTCCTGACCGAACCCCTTTCCATATTGGGTATTTGTCGAATCTGAGATCATCTCACAAGAAATCAAGTACAGTAGTCTCGCGGCTTCCACTCGGCAGAAGGCTCTGAGCATGCTGATCACAGTGTCGTGTGAGAAAATCCCGCTCAAGGTTGCGAACCGAGTGGGAAGCACGAGTGCGACATTGCGCGTCAGCAACTGATGGAACAGCTAAGTGGAGTGCATTCCTAAGGCGATATCGGGCAGCTCGACGCTAAAATACAACATACAACACTTACAGAATACAAGAGGGAGACCCGAGATTCAGCACTGTCGAGAAAACGCTATTGTTGGAATTTACGACCCGCCTCTTCGTCACAGCTGATCATGCTGCGCTCCTAACCGTCAATCGCCATGACCTAGGCTCGGGCCAATAATCTGTTTCGCTTCCAGCCATGGTGCGATCGCGTTCAAGTCCTCAAACGTGAAGGACGCATACTGACTTCGCCCGGGGCCTTCCACAAGCACAGTGTCTATGAAGGGTGCCTCATCGAACGTTGTCTCCATGGTTCGCGAGTTTGTCAGCTGGGCCACAATCCTGCACACAGAAGTTGAGTGGACGGTAGCCACTGCAGCGAGTGGCCGACCTACATCATGCAGCCCACCCATTGCAGCCCCCCTTCTTCCACTTCACCGGCGGTGATCCAACGTTGATCCCCTCCGCCGGGAGTGTAGAAGGGATAATTCTCATGTGCAGGGACAGGCAGTGGATGTACAAGGCGCCGGTAAATGTCATCTGCAGCTAGAGACAAACGAGCACACCGTTACTATGCCTACTGAGTGCTGAAACGATTCGCACACCTTTTTTCTTCCGACGTACCGGCACACTACTGGAGTGGCCGGGCTCGCTGTCTATTTCGTTCTCGGATGCATGCGGGGATTCATCTTCATCAGAAGGGGCTGGAGCGTCGTCCTTGTCTATCCCTGGCGGATGCAGGAGTGCACGTGCATTGGCATTCACACCGAACGTTGACCTGGGCTTGTTCAAAACCCCGATCGCTAGAATGCGCACATCTGCGAACTGCACAAGGACCTAGAACAGAGTGAGGACAAAAGCTCCAGGTGATGGAATACGGCTACGCACTCTGATGCTAGGCGGGAGGTGCAATAGATCATTCTGCAGCCTAATCACAGTCAGCCATAGCTATCACTGTCGCAAAACAATACCTACCTCACTTCTTCGAAAATGGTCAGCGGATTGTAGCCATGTGACGCACTTTCTAGCTGATTCGCTGTCCCGTTCCGATTTAGAGTAACGTATCTATCCCCTAAAATCAGTCTTGATAACGAAGCGCACAATTCGATCACATACTTCGTCCATGCCTCATCTGAGGTGCAGAACGTATTGCTACGGTGCCAGACCCTGTATAACACTCTGGACAGACATAGCCTGGAGTCAGTCCGCGGCTACCGCAAGAACAAGAAGACTGACTTCATGAATGCCTCCTTCCAGGTACCATCTTTCCGTACCTTGGCCCAGCTCGGCGGAAATCGCCGGCTGAAACACTCTTCCCAGTCCCTATCCTTGAGGTTGGGCAGCGATGCCTCAAAGAGCAAGTAGTTCGCGCGCGCAAGACTCAGGATCTCGACGAAGTTCTGCCGCGGTACTGTCGAGCGTACACTGAGAGTCTTTAGGCACGGGTCGTACTCGCCATCAGTACTATGCAACGTGCGGAATATTGGGCGTCGCCAAGGATTCAGTGAGGGCTCCGAGGAGATGGCACGAAGGCGGGGGGAGACATTAGAGACCGTCACCAGCGAGGAGAGATCAAGCTCGCTGAGTATGTCGGCTATCAGCTCGACCGGCAGTGACTCAAAGGTGCCGTCTAAATCCATGCCAATGCTGGAGGACGTGGGATGTATGCTCAGACACTTATATCGCAACTCGTGCTGCTATGCTGTGCAGCCTGCCGGTGGGCTTCGTAGATAGTTGTAAATCCTGTGCCACCGCAGAAGAGGAGTTCACACTGCTTTGCTGACACATCCCTATTATTACGTACCCGATGCCCACACCTCCTTCCAAATTAGGCAGGCGTAGTATTCGTTGGTGTTAGCATCGAGATTCAGCGACATCTGTGGATCCAGCAACGTGGGAGGGCCGTGAGTAGCGAGCAAATATAAGCGCATATTTGAAAGTTGCAAATCACTTGATTTTGGCTCAACTTAGAGCAAGCACAGACTGCACAATGGAGTAGACGAGCCGGAGGGCCAGAATCAACTGGTTACTTAACGAGGCTGTGCGATCGGAGAAGATGTGGGTGGAATACAAATCCAACCACAGAGAATGAATATGCAGTGATTCATTCATAGCTCCCGAAGCCTCATGCCGACCTCGATGCAAATACCGTCACGGAGTTCGGTTCCTTCCCACCACATGTCCAATATAGATACCGAACCCAATCCGTTGATCCTGTACAGCCCACCAGATCCGGTACGAAATAAATATAACACAAACTCCATCCCCCACTTCAACCGCTATGTATTAAAAGTCCTTCCATTCATCCCAATCGTCTTGCTTCTTCGCCGCCGAAGTCACGCCACCTGTCAGCGGCGCTGGCGACGCCACTGCCGGCGCGTGGCTCGAGCTGCTCTGGAACGCGTCGAAGAACTCGTCGTCGTCTTCGTTATCGTGATACAATGCTGACGTCTCCCCGTAGCCGCCCTGGCTCATCGAGCTGTAGCCCCGCTGCTGGGGCCCGCCTGTAACGCGGTCCTTGACGGTCCCCACAACGCCGCCCACCTGCCCTGCGACGTCTACGCCCAACGCATTCTTGCTCCACGAGTTTGCGCTACGTCCGGCATCTGCAGCGCGCTTGCTCGCTTCAGACACGTAACCCTTTACGCCGGCTTGAAAGGTAGGGTCCATAACCTTCTCCATGCCGGGCTGGATGACGTTTTCCGAGACGGCCTTTGACGCGCCCACGACAGCAGCTGAGAACAGCGACCAGCCTTTGCTCAGGGCCGCAACCGGGTTTTCCTGCAGCTCTGATAGCGACGGGGCAGCCCGCGACGACAAGCCGAACGCCGGATGCGGAGCGCCAGGAGGCGGCGTCGGCGTGCTACCAAAGCCTTGATACCGTCCGCCTTGCGAGGGCGGAAGATCTGCAGGCCGTGATGCATTCGCATCCCCAAGGGTTGCAAAGAAAGACTCGTTCGCAGCCTTTTGATCTTGAAACGGAGCGGAGGATAATGGGCTGGCAGGAGCGGGCGAATTGTGATTGCTGAAAGATGCTGGTGAGGCCGAATCACTGCGTGGTGGGCGTCCACTACCAGTACGTGCGGATGCGCGTGACTTGCGAAGGCCCTGCGCGGACGAGGGTCGACCCGGAGGACTCGCAGCATTGTTAGGTGAGCTAGCTCCTGGTGCAGGGGAAGAAGGCGACCATGCTTTACCACCAAGTTCAGCATCCAGCTGCTCGGCGTAGGCAGATCAGCACCGTCGACAGAGCATCACAATACGTAACACCGACCTTCTCACGATATTGGGTAGCGGCCCACGAGTGATAGGTTTCATGCGGGCTCATGCCTTGCTTATATCCGCCTTCAGGTGGATACGAATTCATGAAGTCTCGGAACGGTGAATTCCCTCCAAGCTGACGCGTGTTAATATGGCTGGTTTCATGGGGAGGATAATGTACATCTACTACTCACTTGCATCCGCTTGGTCTGCTCCTCCTGCCAAGTGTCCATCGAGACAGACCGCACGAAGCTGACATTGGGCATGCTCAACGTATTGCTACTGCCGTAACTAGACGAGGACGCACCTGATATGCACACCAAATCCTCTGTGCACGCCGGCACATTGCAAGCATAGGAATACCGCGAAGCTAATGCAGTAGTTCGGCGAACCGATCACAGGATCTGAGGCACATACAGCCTGACCTGAGCGAAGCCCACTGTGGGTTCGGATTCGAGCAATCAATGCATTTCTTATTGTCGAGATCTTCTCTCTTTATGAGGTCTTGCAATGTCTTGCGGGCCACGGCTTGATCCATGGCAAGTACAGGAATTAAAGAAGGCTATGAACGGAGTGCGCTGGAGACACGCTGAAGATGGACAGCGCGCACCGCCGCGGTGATCGAGTTCACCGTGGGTAGTTCCCACGGTAATAACCTAAGGATAGTCTCCATCGCTGAGCTCAACAGTCCCGCCGGCATCCAGGCCCATCCGCCCAGCGAGTAACGGCCATCCTGAACGACTGCGGCGACGATCGCACAGTAAGCTTATAAGTCTGCACGATCCAATATACCCAACAAGCGTTTCAATCTCTATCGCTTGCGCATCTCCGACCTCGGAGCGTGCTGACCATACTAAGCCAAAGCTCTGCTGATTGCTACCGTTTGACCACCACAGGCCTTGCGCTCGAGTGCTTGCTTGTTACCTTCATATACTCTCAAGTGGACCACCGCCTGGCTCACTGAGTTAACCCTCGACTGGCGACGGTGCATGCGCGATCTGTCAAGGTAGACCATCGGCGCGACCACGATGATACAGAAGACAAACGCGCGAGTTGGCAGCACCTCAGTTGCGCCCACACGTCAAACAGAGACCAATGACGGTCCACAGTCATGGGGTCTGTGGGTTGGTCGCAAGTGAGTTCTATCCGCAATCATGACTGCATTCTCTGCCTGAACTCGCTGGCTGCAAGGCATTATTCCTTGCAGGTCGTACAAAACCCCCTTCGTGCACGTATGTGCGGATTTGGCGATAAAGTGCGCCTTGCTCAGGCGGCACGTCCGAATGTGATCGCTGATGACAGGGCCGTCTGCAGGATAGGCGACCCCTCGCCCCAGCAGCGGTAGCGAAAATGACCGTGCAACGAGAGGATGGGAGCTATGTGGACGTTGAGTAAGTGCCAGCGGGTACTCCCCGAGTGTTGCTTGACGTTTCTCAGCGACATAGACGTGTCGTTCTTCCTTGTGACAGTAGATCTCTGGTCGGCGGACGGCAAGCAAGAGATGAATCTCGTCCTGCATCCCACGTCAGCCGACCGATATGTCCCCGCGAACACGCCCAAGACGAAGCGACGAGGCACCAAGGACACCACGTCCTCTTCAGCGCAGCGCTCAGCGAGACAAAGCAGTCCCACGCCATCCGTAACACCGAGCACAAGCAACTCGCAGTATCCGCAGGTGAGTGTGCGCAGTCTGAGTTCGCGCCCGGCCTGCTAAGAATCTGCCATATCAGCAGCAGCAGCAGCAGTCGAGCGGAATGACCCCGTACATGGCCCCGTCCACATCAGGCTATCCTTCGCAAGTGTATCCGTACACTGCGCCGCAGAGCGCGGTCTCCGAGTCATCTGGCTATCAGTCCGTTAATAACTACGGCGCTCCGTCTGACGCCCCTCCGCCATGGGGCTATCCGCCCCCGCCTACGTCCATGGAACGCGCCTCGCAATACCCGCCGCCGCCGGTCCTCCCATCCATCCATTCCCTGGAGAGAAGCGGTTCTTCCGGTAATGCGCCCGCGGCAGGAGTAGGTTACAGCTCCGCTGGTGCCCCAGGCACCGGCGCGGGAGAAAACTGGCATCTGGAGAACCCAGGCAGGGAGGGCACGGAAGCCATCGCCTATCGCACATGGCCGCAGGACGCTTCTTATTCTCCGATAGACAACAACGGGGTGCCCCATTCGTCCGGCGCGATCGATCCCTCGCTCCGAGGAACCCATGCTTCGTCTTCGCACTCGGAGCCCGCGTACGCCCCGCTGGCACCCACCTCCCCCGCCGACACATACGCGCACAGCCGCTACCCGCAGCCGTACTCGCCGCTGGATCAGCATGGCGCCAATCAGGCGCTCGATAATTCATCGTACCCTGCCGCGCCCTTTTCCCAACATCACCAGCATCAGGCCCAGCACCAGGCCCAGCACCAGGCCCAGCATCACCCCCAGCCGTCACAGTATCAAGAAGCTCCGTATGCACAGGATCCCACACCGGCATCGACTATTCCTCCTTTACCGCGGCACACGTACACCCGAACGCTCGTCGGGCCCCTATCTGCGAACGCGTGCCGCCTATTGGACGAGCATCGCAAGCCCGGCGTCTTTTTTCTCTTTCAAGACTTGTCAATCCGGACGGAAGGTTTGTGCCTTCGTGCAAATCCTTGTGACACGCACGGGATCCGCTTATCGTAAACCTTCCTCGGTGCACCGTCCGTTGAATGTGCAGGCACCTTCCGCCTAAGGCTACGCCTTATGAACGTTGGCGCGTATGTCATGCCCTCGATCGGTCTGATTACCGCGCGTGAACACTGACTGACGCCGTCGCGCATTGTATTTGCTTCCGCAGCGCGCCAGCCCCTGAACCAGGCGCAACTCAGGTTCACATGGGCGTATCGCCAATCCTTGCCCAGACCTTCACTGAACCATTCATTGTATACTCCGCCAAACGCTTCCCCGGTGTCCCGGGTGCGCCCTCATCTCTGTATATGACTATGTCTGTCAATTTACAACTCATGACCTATAGACACAACCGCCCTCTCTATCGCTCTGGGTAATCAAGGTCAGAAACTACCGCTGGTGAGTTGCCCCCGCCCCACTCGAAGCTGCAGCAGATCACAGACGTGTTACCGCATGACCGAACTAGCGCAACCGCAATGGGTCCGCAAAGCAAGGACGGAAAAGGCCACGAAGTGGGTCCGACGCTTCCGGCGGCGATGAGTCCGACGAGGCATAAGACTAACTGCATGTGTTCTGCTATAATGCGATTGAGCGGGGCGAGAGATTCCCACTTATCAATATCAGCTATGCTCTTGCTTTTTATGGTCGATCTCCGCTGCAGCGCCAGTTTGTCACTCCTAGTTGTTCTAATGACGCCTGTCTCGCATTCTCCGTATCCGTGCTTGACTGAGAATATCGTAATCCTGAACCAACCGCACTGTGTTGGGACAAGTGTCGTAGATCGTTCCTAAGTGGCGCTCTGCAATGGCCGTCCTCTTCGTGAGCGTCTCCACGTCGGTGACATGGTTCTGACTAGTATGCCGTTCCGATCTGGGCATTAGCGGCTGCACGACCCTCCCAGACTGGAGGTGCCGCATGACATCGAGAAACACGTCCATCACTACCCTGTGCACCCGCCATGCGCTCCAGAGAGGCGAGACCTCAGCGAGGATGTGGAGCACGTGCGCAAAGTCGTCGGGGCGTTCTTCTGGTACCCTGAGCTTCCTGGTAGTCAGCCAGACCGCCTCAGATCGGCGGTCCCGACGGTGGAGGGGGGACTCGGACGTTGCGGCTGGGAGCTCAGCTTCGGCGGCCGCCCTGTCAAAGACAGGCGTGTCGGGTTGCATGTTCCGCTCCAACGACACCGACGTGCGCATCTTCCGTTGGTACGGAAGGATCACCTTCTCCACGACCTGGAATGCCCGCACGGGGTCGCCGGCGCGGACGAGGGCGACGGCGAGGTGGTTCCAGTTGTGCGAGTCGAACGCAAGCTGTGCGTCGTGGAGCGTCCCCCAGACCTGCGCGAGCTCGGCATGACGGCCCCCGGCAGACAACGCGTCGACGGCGATGGAAAGCGGGATGCACAGCGCAGTGCCGTGGCCGCGCAGGTCGGGCTTCGGGTCGCCCTCCGCGCCGACGAGGAGTGAGCCGATCTTCGCCTGTCGGAGACCCAGCTCCTCGATCTCAGGCCAGAGCTGGAGAACGGCATCAGTGTGGCCCCGTCGGCGATACGCGTCCATGAGCGCAGTGACAGAACCGAGGGTCCGTTCGCCACCAGCAGCGAGCATGTCGTCGATGAGACGCTCCACCTCGCGCGGCTTTTTGCGGCGAACGAAAGATGAGAGAAGGGGCGCAAAGATAGTGGACAGCGCCCAGTCGCGACCATTAGGGTCGGTGAAGGCTGCCTGCGGCAAGGCTGGGTCTGCGGGTCCGTCTGCATCTGGAATTGTGGCTGCCTCTTGGGTCGCTGCTGTATCTGCTGCCGCGTCTTCGACTGCCTCTGTCACTACAGTAGCGCCATCGTATGTGTCCGTACTTGCGAGCAATTTTGCCTCCGGGTCCGCCTCAGCGCTGGCTGCTGCAAGATTACTCGCATCTCCACCTGCCTCTACACCGGACTCCGTGTCGACCTCTTCTTCTACACCGTCTTCTTGCGGCCTTGGCGCTAAGCCAGCAAGCCCGCGTACAAACTCCTCCGCGACCGCCAGCCCGGCGCCCTTCCGGTCCTTCCCGTACGCCTTCACGATCGCCCCGTACGTGACCGGCGTCGGCTTCAGGCCGCGCCGCCGCATCTCGTCGAACAGCGCCTTGGCCTTCCCGCGGTCGCCCTTGCGCAGGTACGCGGCCATGACGATCGTGAGCGCGTGCACGTTGATGTGCAGGTTCGACTGCCAGCGCGCCGCGAGGCGGTCCATCTCCGCGAGGAGGTCCTGCGCGATCTCGAGCAGGCCCGAGTCGCACGCGGACTGGATGAGCAGCGCGAACGTGTACGCGTCCGGCCGCACGCGCGCCTGCTCCAGCCGCTGGAACACGCCCGCGACGATGCGGAACGGCGCGCCGATGAGCACGTACGCCTTCAGCAGCGTGTTGAACACCTCGAGCGAGAGCCGGATGCCCCGGTGCGCCGACGCGGTGATGTAGTCGAACGTGCGCACGACGCCGTGCCACTGCCCGCTCTCCACGTACGCGTTCATCAGCGTGGTGATCATGCGCCGGTCGGGCGTCACGCCCTCCTGCAGCGCACGCTTAAAGACCTCCTCCGCTGCGATGGGGTCGTTGCGTCGCGCGAGTAGCGCGATGATCGTTGTGTACGACTCCTTACCGGGAAGGATTCCTGCAGCGCGCATCCGGTCCAACAGCTCCGACATGAAGACAACCTCACCGCGCGTCGCGAAGCTCTTCAAGATGATGTCGTACAGCTGGTTGTCGTGCTTGATACCTGCATCGGCCATGGCATCCAGCCACTGTGTCATCCCCGCCATGTCGCCTGCTTGGGCGTGCGCGTAGATGACTGTTGTGTACTGGATAACGCCGGGCCTGGGCTGAGAGGACTCGTCCTGAGGGAAGATGTGGCGGAAGAGCTCGACGACACGAGCAGAGTCACCCCGTACAGCGTGTGCATGCATGAACAGGGTCTTTTGGCGGATCCCAGCTTGCCCTCGGTGGGCCAGCTTGCTGTAAAATTCTTCGGCGCGAGCAACGTCACCCTGGTGTGCGTATAAATGCAAACCCGTCGACAGATATCGATCGTACAGAGACCCCGTAGTCATAAAGCTGATGATGTCTTGATACAAGCGATTCGCTAGCTGGAATGCATCAGACTGCACCAGAGCAAGAACGACAGCTAAACGCTGTTCGGGCCTCACTCGCAGTGACTGTAACTTCATGTAATCGAGGACGTCAAGAGCATCGTGCCCCATTTCCGCATAGCAAAGAGATTCGATGAGCAACGAGCCCGCCAGCTCCCGCGTGTGGTTTGACCACCGTTTCTCCATATCCTGCAGCAGTGTGACAGGCTTCTCGATCTCAGAGACTATGTTGTAGACATGCCTTCTAAAGCGTGAACCTGAGAGTGCTGTGACCTTATCTGCGGACAAGATGACAGACGTCCGCTCGAGATATGTGCCGACGTAGTCCCATTCATCTATAATGAAGCGTAAGACATCCTGAGAGCCGCGGTATTGATGAACGGAAAGGGCGACAGCAGTGAATGTGCGGATGACATGTGATATAGTGCGCGGCAACTTGGGCATCTCTTCGACCTGTCGCAGAGCTTCTACGGCCTCGTCCAGTTGCCCCGTCATGGCCAGCCCAGTGACGACAAGACAGCGTTGACGGAGTAGCCCTTCTGTCAGGTCAAATTGCTTGATCCGAGGGGCGGTGCGATCAATGAGAGTGAGAAGGCGGCCACCCCATAGGCGCAGTTCCTCCACTACGTCCCTGTCATGGCGCATTCTCTCCACGGTCTGAGCAATCCGGGTCCCATAGTCCAAGAGCTGATACGCTGGCATAGACGCGCATCTATCAAGTTCGTACAGCGATTCGTACGCACGCCAGGCTTCCTCTAGGTCAGATGCTGTAGCCCCTGAGCCACAGGACGTTATCGAGTGTCGCAATTGGTCTTGCTCCAGCGCAGACGCGGAGGAGCCCGAGGGCCCAACAGGTTCGGGAAGACTCGAAGCGTGTCGTCTTTGGGCCACGTCGACGCTTCTGACGAGATTGTGAAGTGAAGGAACGTCACTTCGACCGGGAACATGCATCGTCTTCCGGCCGGACATTCGTCGCACTCGCTGACGGCATGAGACGTCGCGCAGCGAACGGAAGTCTCGTACCCCTATGGGGTGCCCCAAGTTAGACAGAGAGAAGGACGAGCGTATTGGGCCTGAGAGCGCACCTCTGCACGCCTGGACAGGGGTCGTATTGCTCGCACGCGCACTGCGGTCATCGTCCGGTAAGGCTCTCTCCTTCCCTTTGACACGTCTCGGGTGGGGAGTGAAGAAGTCCTGTGGGAGGCCATGGCGTGTGCCCCGTACGGCCATATGCAGCGCCGGCTGGGCCAGGGAGCTGCCTGCGAGTGTTCGCCCAGTAACGAGGGTATTGAGTACGGTGGCAGCGAGAGGTTCCAGCATCACAAAACCCGCCGAGACGAGTGTTTTCTGGCAACCTGCTGCGAACGTCAGTGTCCGGGAACAAGCCAGCGCGCGTGCGGCGGAGACACACACCTGCGAACACGGGAAATGGGGGGCGCGGAGGGGGTGTGCCGCGACATGCAAAGTGCTGGAGAAATTCGCAGGCAGGGAGGGGGCCCGGCGTCTGCCGGAAGGGCGAGGCGCGTCACGGCTCGGGGTTGTGTGCGTCTGCAGGTCCGCACCGCGCCAAACGCGCCTCCCTAGGATCATACTCGGCCTCGCTGCAGCCTCCATCATGTCCTCCGCCCCCGCACACGAAATCATCCTCGTCCCCGCCCGCGACGCCCTCCGCCAGCAATGCTACGACGTCCGCATCGCCGTCTTCCACCGCGAGCAGGGCTTCCCGCTCGACACCGAGATCGATGAGTCCGTCCCTCCCTGTCCGCGCCTGCAGCCGACACACACACGCACACGCACACGCACATCCTGTAACTAGCCTCGACGCGTCCGCGACGCACTTCCTCCTCCGGCTCACGCCCTCGCTCACCCCCGTCGGCACCATCCGCTGCACGAAGCACGCCCGCTACTACAAGCTCAGCCGCCTCGCCGTCCTCGCGGACTGCCGCCGCTTCCGCCTCGGTCGTGCGCTCGTCCTCGCGCTGCACGCGCACGTGCAGCAGGACGCGCAGCACTCCGGTGCCCGCGACGGCGACGCGGTGCTCGTGCGCGCGCACTCCCAGCTCCCGGCCAGGGGCTTCTACGCAAAGTAGGCGTGTCTTCTACTGGGGTCCTTGAAATTCGCTCACTGCGCCATTTGTCACGCCGCGTTCTCAGGTTGGGGTACCAGCCCGAGGTACGCTGCCCCGCCTGCCTTCTGCGTCCGCTTCCCTTCTTCGCGGACTGTTCTTGTCACTTATCCGTGTGCACGCACAGGGCGAGGAATTCGACGAAGACGGTGCGCCTCATCAGCTGATGGTCGCTCGCTTGCCGCTATCCGATTAGGCATAATTCAAGGGCCTGCTATCCGTGTATATTGAACGTCGTAAGGGTCATCAAGTATGCGACAATGAAGCGGAGGGGGAGGAGGAGGAGGAGGAGAGCTAGCAATACAGCCTAGGGAGTGGGGTGGTATACAACAATACATTGTACAAAGTCCGTTGTTGCTGTTCTGAAGTTCATAAAATAGTGCAAGCAAAGGCATAGCGAGCGAAGAACATACTCTAACTACCGGTACTGCTCAAAGCTCCAAGAAGGTATACTGGGCACCCGCGCCCGCAATGGCAAGGCGGGGTCGGGCCTTAACGAACAACAGCTGTATCAGATGGGTGGGGATCATGAACATTAATAGCACGCATGCAAGAAACGCGGCGAAGCCCGCGACAGAACCATTCATGTGCGGTTGGGGATGTCAGATCCATCGTCGGTCGTGAAGCCGTCGCTCTCGCTCTCGGAACTCATCGCCTCCCGCTTGAGCGGGCGCAGCACGCTTCTCGGGAACGGCATCGCGTTGATGGGGCTGCTGGGGAGGATGCTGAAATTGATGCTCGAGCCGTACCCCGTCGTGCCCTCTTCGTACATCTTCCGTGCCGACTCGTACTCCAACTTCTCCTGCTCCGCCTGCGCGAGGAAGGGCTGTCCCGCCGACACGGCGCATCAGTCAAACACGCTCGCGCCCAGACCACACAGCTGACACGTACCTTGCGCTCCTCATCCGTCATCGAGCGCCACTTGCCAGCCGCGAGCACGCTCTGCTTCGTCGTCTCCGTCTCGTCGCCAAACACCTCTCTTACCAGTTCGGGATCCGACCGGATGCGCTGCAGGAACATAAAGTACGCGCTCAGCGGCTTCTTGGGCGCGTTCGGGTCCTTGATGTTCCCCTTGCGCGACTTGCCCGCGCGCCGCTGCGCGGTCCGGAACGCGTTCTCGCGCTTGATGTCCTCCGGCGTCAGCGTGCGCATATATGCGGCGTGCTCGCGCTCGCGCTGCTCCTTGGCGGCCTGCGAGCGGCGCTTGTACGGCTAAAACACGTGAAAGTCAACTGAATGAGCACAGGGCGGGCGCACACGAGATCCGCGCGATGCTCGTACCTCCTTCTGCTCAGGCGTGAGCTTCGCGTATTCCTGGCCCGCTTCTTTCGCGGCCTGCGCGACGTTGAGCTTCTTCTGGCTCGACGCCTGGTGCTGCGCAATCCAATCCGTGAAGTACAGCTGCCAAGCGGAGGGCGCGAGCTTAGGGGGCCGCAGCGTCGACTTGAGCGGAGCTGTGTGTGCGTGGCATCCCGCGATAAGTACAATTTGATTCGGACGTCAGAAGAGAAGGACGCGCACACTCACGGGTCTCCGGCTGCTTTTCCACGGCTCGCGTCTCCTCGTCTTCGCCTTCCGCGCGCTTCTTCTTGCGGATGGTCGCGTCGTCGTGCTCGCTGATGGATTCGGCGCGGCGGCTGTACCCCCGCGTCATCGGCGGCGGGCGCGCGTACGAGACGGACGGCGCGCTGGACGACTGGAAGATCTGCGACGCCGGCGTGAGGCCGCGGCGCGACGAGACGCGCTGGCGTTGGGTTGCATAAGCGTCGTCAGACAGGGGTGGGAATGGCTGCGGTGGTGTGGCAAGGGCGACGTTCTGCGCTTCGGGCGAGTCCCACAGCTGCATCGCCCATGCGGGCTTAGTGAAGGTCATGTCAGGTGGCGAGACGGAGGTCTGGCCGGCGGTGCGGAACGCGTGGGTCATCGCCGCGTCTTCCTCCGGAGTGTACGAGCGCGGCAACGGCTGCAAGGCGGCGTATGCGGTGAGCGGCGAGAACGCGGTGACATCGGGGAACGCCGAGGGCGAGTCGCTGTACGCTGTGTACGGAGACTGGGGACCAGGCGAGAGTTGCGCGTGGTGCGGGATCGGGATGGGCGCCGCAGACGAATGGAATGCGAGAGGCTCTGGGTCGGCGAGCCAGTGCGAGTAGAGGGCGCTCTCGCTAAAGTCAGATGTGGCGACCTCCTGTCCATTAAGCGCGTCGGAGGCATAATGTCGATCACTGGGTGACATGTAGCTGAGATCGAGCTGGCTGGAGGTCGAGTCCGGGGAGCCGGGGAAGGGGACGGAGGACATGGTGTAGTCGGCCGAGGGATCCCAGGTGAAGGGGGACTTGGGCTCGTAGGAGTGCATGTCGTCAAAGTCGAACATGAGGGCGTCGGGGTCGACGGGCAAGGACTCGTCGAAGGCAAAGATGGGCGATGCGTCGCGTATGGACATATCGTGGATGAGACGCGCGGTGGGTAGGGTCGTGTGGCTGGGGGCGCGTCGAGGGGCGAGGGGGGGAAGGGACGGGAGGAGGGGAAGGCGAGGTACGGGTGGGGCGCGGGTGCTTATAAAGGACGGCGCAGCAGGGCGAATAGAGAGATGACGGAGCGCGGGGTGGGATGGCGGGTGCGCGAATTTAAAGGGAGGGCCTCGGCATGCGCATCGAAGCACGGGTGGTCTTGGAACGGCAGGCATATGTGATTGCGGTACCTCAACTGACTCGGTCGAATCAGCGAGTGGATGGTCTTCGTGACGCCTGCCTGTTACAGACGCTCCAAATATAGGCGTCTGTATTCGACTCCAAGTCGAGAGATAGATAGAACGATGGATCGCCCGGCAGATTCGATGCCAGCGCGGCTTGGGCTGTCACAGCCTCGAGTCACCCCGTGACACTATACACACCCCGCACCGGCCCTTGGCGCACGCTAGCTTGACGCCCCGAGCGAGAATGCGAGACGCTGCCCGACCTGCTAACCACGATCAGGCTAATCGCCCTGCGCGAGTGTCAAGTCCGTGTCAGAGAAACAGCCTACACGGCTCCATCCAAATATTACGCGCCGCCGCCACTCACCGTGCCGCTGTCCCCGGTGCTTGCCCTAAACCGGCCGCGTATGGGCGCGGCGGGTCCCCCGTGCGAATCCCCCGCTATGGCATCCAGGCCCCGACGCCCCGGCTCGCCCTCCCATTGTCCCCGGCCGTGCCGTCAGCCAATCCCCGCCCGGCGCGCCTTCGCCTGCGCTCCGGATCGCGGTCTCTGCGCACCGACAGACAACTGATGATGTACTGCCAAATGGAAGCGTATTATCATCGCCTGATTCAATTGCTCTGAGGAAGCGCATACAAGGGGACAACTACCATCATAGAACCACAATCGACTCCGCAGGCCGGTATCTTGGGTTGTTGTAGACACTTTTGCCTGCCTGTCACACACCCGACGCGAACAGGGGCCATATACGCAGGCCAGAAGGGAACAGATAACCATCAGCATTCCTGCACAACCCATCGGCTCCTCATCAAGAGATCCACTGACCTCCCAGCCCGGCACGTCCTTCATGATCTCCTTCTCTCTTTCCAATGCTGCCTGCTGACGTCGGTACGTGTCGCGGTCCCCTTCCGCCAGCAAGAGGGGCACCAGGTGAATCCGGGACCACACCTTCTCTCTCTGGAGCTCTCTGGAAAACATACCGTATCAGCACCCAGCCTCCAGCCGTTCTCGCGCTGGCATATAACCATATTCGGATTTTGTCAATGATAACACGTATCGGTATCGTGCGGGCGGATCCAAAGCAAGCCACGTTCCGCGACGAGCGGGACCATTGAGCACACGTTTTACGTCCGCCTGACCTCTTTTCTTTCCGAATACATGCAAATGTTTTTCCACGCACCTCTTCTCCAGGTTGCCCTTTCCAAGTCGATAGAAGCCGTACGCGCATACCGCCGTCACGCCGCCGAGGATGACGAGACCGCTGGGACCGCGCAGCGGCAGATTGCGTTTGTATTTGATCGCGTCGAAACCCCCGGGCGGGGGCATGTCTCTGTCATACGGGGGGCACAGGCATGAGCACGGACACGCCCAATGAGTCAGACAATGGCGTACTGTCGGTATGGTGCAGACACTGCCAGCGGCGTGTCAGCTATCCCGCTCGCTCAAGACACGTCATATACGCACTGGTGGTAGGTAGGTCTACTCGGTGTGAGTCAGACGGCACCCGGCTGCTGGTGCAGAATAGGCAGGATGCTGCGGCGGTGTTGCCAGCTGAGTGGATAGCGTGTGGTGGAGGACGTCGAGTGCGTTCTCCGCACATGCGCCGGCCCTGATGTGCCTCACGTGGCTGTGGCAACGACCTGCCCGATCGGGCGCGAAGGTTCGGGGAGAGTGGTAGTAAGCGAGCCGTCGCCGACGCGCATAGCAGACCGTCCAGTGCAATACACACACCGGCAGTGCACGCTCCCAGAAGGGCAACTGCCCTGTCACACACTGCCCATCACGCATAGAGTTTGCTCGCAGTCAGCGAGGTCGTTGTTCCAACATCACGATTCTCACCGCGCAGCGGGGCACAGCATTCCCGGTGCCACGTATGTGCAATGGAAGATGCAGCGACAATAATTTAATTATGAGGCACATGCGGCGCACGGCTCGTCCATGGCGGGAAGGGACGCCGCAAACAGCCGAGGGCGTGGCTCAGTATGGGAAGTCTGCTGCAAGCGGATTCAACGCCCGCCAAACATCACCGCTATGCAAGGCGCGTCGCCGCACAACGCCTTCCCTTTCCCCCACCATGTCGCGCCAGCCCTCCCCCGGCCCCTCCATTCCCCACATGCATCAGCCAAATCCCCTCTCCATGTACCATCCCCCCGGCGTCGCAAATGATCCTCGCTTCATTCAGAAGCACAGAAACAAGACCGTCGCCGGCATTACAGCGGGTGTCGAGGACGTCAAGTACCAAGCGAAGTACAAGGACCTCAAAAAGAAAGTCAAAGAGATAGAGATGGTGCGTGACGTCTGTCTGCGTAGCTACCCGAATGCCGTTGATCATTTCCTCTCCAGGATAATGACAGATTGCTTTTCAAACTATTGGCTGCCAAGAAGAACATTCGTCGCATGAACCTCGAGCGAGCGTGAGTCGCTGTGAAATCCGCCATCCTTGATACATCATAACGCGTGTGCAATGCGATTAGGATCCTCTACGAACGTCTGGCGGCGGTGCCACCTACCCCCGGAAGGCATGTGCAGGACTTGCCTCCGGAGCAAGACCCCATTTTCAATCACCAGCCCCCGTTGCCTCCTGAACATGTTCGAGTGATAGATACAAGCGATCCCGCGCTGTCCGAGTACCTGAGCGGCCGCTCACAGGCTCGCGTCGTCCACGGTCCAGATGGCCGAGTCGTCGCCGTGGAAGACATTCCACCGAACGCACCTGGCGGTGCACCCTCGCAACCCCCTCCTCATGGACTGCCCCTGGTGTACGGTTTTCGCCATGACTCAGGCCCGGGCTACGACCCGAACCGCCAACTACCACCCCTGCCGCCCATGATTCCCCTTCTCCAGCCCTTGGGGGAGCACACTCAAGACTTTGCTCCCATCAACGATCACCACGGGGCTCCGTATCCTCAGGTGCAGCCACACGGACACGGACACGCCTACGTGCAGTCGCACGGCGGGTCCACACACCACTCGCGGTCAAATTCAACTCGCCCAGATCTCGATGCGTTGCCGGGATCTAGCACGCGCATCGACAGCCTCCCATCTACGCACGCGGGGCACAGTCGCAGCCCCGGGGTCCCCGGCGAACCCCACGCAGAACGGTCCAGGCGCCACGACGCCGCAGAACCCGCGCACTTGCATGGCCACCCGCACCCGCACCCGCACGTCCAGATACCTACGCAGAACCTCCCGTCCTCGCCGCCCGCGTACTCCCCCGCGAGCACCCGCAGCTCCGAGCGCAGCGGCGGCCGCGTGCACAACCACCAGCGCGTCGGCCCGGGCGCGAACATCAACCGCGACGTCGTCGCGCGCGAGTGGGAGGCCGAGCAGGCGTGGAACCGCGAGCGCGAGCACGCGCACGCGCACCGCGTGCGCCACGAGATGCGCGCGGAGCGTGAGGGCGCGTGGGCGCACGACGAGCGGGAGCAGGCCGGCCCCGGCGTGTCCCACAGCGCCTCGCGCTCCGCGTCGCCCCCATCTGCCCCCGGGAATGGGGGGAGCAGGGTGCCCTCGCGCCCTGCGTCGCGCCAGGCGTACGACGCCGAGCGCGTGCGTCCGCGCCCGTCGCGCGCCCCAGGCCCCATCGGCGCCGAGCGCGAGTCCGCGTTCGACGAGCCCGACGACCGCGTCCCTGCTGTGCGCGGCCCTAGTGCGGAGATGCCCGCGGCTGGCCTGGGTCCCGTGGGTGGGGCTGACGAAATGGACGCGGACGAGTACCCCAATGAGGGCGGAGGCATTGCCCGCGCCCCATCGAGCCAGAACAGCGCGCTGCCGAGAGGCACGAAGCGCAGGCGCTCGGAGGACGGCGACGAGGACCCCGATGCAGACGAGCGTATGGAAGAGGATGACTAGCTTCGAGCGGACACAGCTTCACGGTGGTACAGTGCGCGGGAAATGGGTGTCCGTATGTCCTATTGTCTTTTCCATTCTGAAGGCGGCTTCTCGTATCAGAGCGTACGCCATTGTGTGTCGGAGATCCCTGTCGCGCGTTATGTTGCTTCTTGATATCTCGTGCTATTGCAGTTGTGTGGATCCGCCCAGGTGTGTGCGCGTATTGTACTCAAATGCGGCATCCAGCCAAATATCCATCCGTCCAAAACCTTGCGCGTTGCCGAACCCCGCTGCTAAATGCCCTCCATTCCCCGAGGATCTCGATCTGACGCGACGGTGCATATGGCAGAGGACCCGCTTGTGCGTGACGTAGGCGTATGTGGACGAGAAACGTTGGGCATCATGATATATGAGTGGTATATTTGCGCTTCCGGCGAACACACATGAGTCACTGAAGTCGATCCGCGGCCCACAGGACGTGATAGAGTCAGAAGTCAGAGTACACGGCGGCCGCGGGGGACGGCGTATTTCAGGCATCTGAATCCCCCATCTCTACCGGTTGCTCTAGTAGGAGCCTTGGCGGACCGCTATAAAACCATCCACCGTCAATGCTGCCTGCGCTGTAGCTGGGGGAGCTTGGGAGGGAGGCGACAGGTACCAGGCCGCAGTCGGACGGGCCGGACGTCGACGAGGCCGCGTCCTCGTCCCCGTCCGTCTCCCAGCCAGCCGTCGAGCGTTCTGCGGAGACCTGGTACCGCTGCAGCGGGGACCCGTCCCTCTGGTCCGCCGCGACCCCGCGCCACAGCGCCGCCTGGTCCGCCCAGTACGCGTCCACGCTCTCCACGCCGTCGAAGGCGTAGTGCCGCCGCGCGCGGGGCAGCGCCGCCTGGCTGCGCTCGAGCGCGTCCATGAGCACGTCCTCGCTGTACTCGGACACCGGCGCGCGCGCGTTCAGGATGACGTCCATGATGAACGGCCGCCGGCCGCGCACGTCCGCGCCGCGCGCCGCCGCGCGCCGCGCCTGCGTGAGCAGCGCCCGGGCAGGCGACGGGGGCGGCTGGGGCGGCGCGGTGCGCCTCCCCTTGCCCTTGCCCCTGGAGCGCGGCGTCAGCGCGCGGCGGCCACCGCCTCGGCGCAGCGCAGATGCAGGCGAGCCCGGACGGAGCTTTGCGTCGACGGTCCGGCCGTGCGTGTCTTCTCCGTAGATGCCCGCAGGTATCCCGATAGAGGGCCTTTTGGGGCGTTTCACGGGTACGCCTGTGCTCGCGCGCGGCGCGCGGGCGCTCCGTCGCGGCGTGACATATGTGTCCCCCGGGGCCATCCTTGATCGCGTTGTGACAAAGCAGATATGAGCGCGGGGCGGACTCACGGTGTGCGCGAGTCAGCAAGCTTCAGGTCAACAGAGTTCAAGTTGTCCGTGATTACTGCAGCAGATGCGCTCGGCACGACGGACGTCAGAGGTGCTGGTTCTGATTCTGTTCTTACGCGTACGGCTGCGGCTGACAGACCACGCTCTTATGCAGGCAATTGCGATTCCGCCTGGCCCACGGACACCAACAGCATCCGCCCGCGCGCATCCCCAGCGGATCATGGGAGCAGACCGCGAGTGCCGACAGCACACTGGCATTCAGTCACGCACGGCAGGCAGCTATAGCCCACGCACCTCCGCGCGCGAGCATGCCGGGCCATTCATAGCACGGCTGATACGATCGCAGGGTCAGGCGCCTCCGATGGCAGACGATAGCATCCTCGGGCAGTCTCAATCGCAGCCCGCCGGCGGATAGGGGCTAGCCAGGACAAACCGAGGCTGCGGACCGAAGGCACTGCTCAATAGATACTGGGAAGGCGGTCGATAAGGCGCACCGATCGAGTGGGTAAACGCGGGATCCGTGCGCGGGCGTGTTTTGGGTTTTGGGGACAAATACGCGGAGCCATTGCTGAAACGGTTTGAAATCGCGTGTTTGGCTGGACGCGGGACCAAATCCGACCCCGCGCTGCAGACGGCCTAGGCGGGACGATGATCTGTTCGATCGTGCTGCATCTTGTGTGTGTTGGACGAGGCAGGTCCGTGGACTGGCTGTGCGTCGTGGGGGCGCCGCCGGAGCGCTGGGGGCGGGATGCAGCGGGAGGTTGGTAGCCACGCCTCACTGGCATGTCGTCGATCTAGCGCGTCATCGTGTGATCAGGAGCCCTATCTAGGTCCACGAATCCTTCTTTCGAGCATCAATCTTCCCCAGAATCGCTGGGCACGAAGAATCGGGCACCGCATACATTTCGCACAACATGCGTGCTGGCAGACCAGAGCTAGCTGCTTTGGGACGGCCATCTATGTCCGCACGACCAAACCCGGGCCAAACACCGTGCCGGCCGTGCGTCTTGTCACGCCCTGCGCGTAACGGCCCATTGAATATCGACGAGCGAGTGCGGGCGCATCACTGTCAGCAGCGCTCCACCGTGGCCCCACGCGACGGCGAGTTTCGCATTACGAGACTAGCTCACCTGTGCCCTCCTCCCAATAGAACGGCGGCGAACGTATCTGTCACCAGGGCCATTTATTTTTGACCAGCTGAGAATGATATCAGGGTTCCACGACACGTATGTACACCGAAAGGAAGTCCTAGGCTGCATCCGAGACCCCTTTGTGGCGGCCCGCGTCTCCAGCTTCTTGCGCTTGTCCATCCCAGCCTCTCACGTCCGCTCACCGGTAAACGTGGTCCGCTGGGGCGACGTACATTATCAGCTCCCGCCATCTCCCACGATTGACAGCATGGGGAAAACATACCGTGAAGGTTCGCTGCGATCTCGGCTTCGGCCCTGTCTCCGTTCGCCAGCAGCTTCTCCTTGTTGTACAGAAGCTCCTCGCGAGTCTCCGTCGAGAACTCCTGGTTTTGCGCTACACGGGAGAACCCAGGGCGAAGCGTTCCATAGGCGATGGCCACATTGATAGGGTAAAGGGCAGCGGTCAGGTACAGATCGCGAGGAACCTTAAGCGAGGAAAAACGTACTCTCTACGATCGCATCGACAGGGCAGGCCTCCTGACAGAATCCACAATAAATGCATTTCGTCATGTCGATGTCTAAGTAGCGTCCAGCCAGAGTCCAGACAGCGAGCAGAGTCAATGCCGTTCGACAGTCAGCGGGCAGGTGACTTCTTTGGGAAGCCGCATGACGCACCGTATCTCGTGGTACGTCTTGAACCGTCCATGCGAGCCTCGCTCTCGATGGTGATCGCCTGGGCAGGGCAGATTGCTTCACAGAGCTTGCACGCTGCGGGTGGTGCGGACGTGAGCCCATGCATGCGTGGAGCGCGCCAGAGCTACATACCAATGCAGCGCTCCTCGCCGCTCGGGTACCGTCGCAGAGCATGCTCGCCCCGGAAGCGCGGGGACAGGGGCCCCTTCTCGAACGGATACATTATAGTATAGGGTGGTCTGAAGAACTGCTCGAGCACGATCCACATGCCTGCACACCGAGTTAGCCACACGCGTGCCGCCCGTCAGGGTCCCCCGCTAATGAGAATGGATGCCTCATCCCAACTTTGCGCGACCGCTGGCTTCCTGGCGAGGCGTCTGGGGGTCCCCGCGCCTCGGGGGATGTCTCGACGGCGGCAATTCAGTCTGCGCAGGAGCGGGCGGGCATCCACCCGCATAATGAGGGGCCCCACCGCATGCGTACGCACCTCGCAGGATCTCTGTGAAGAAGAAGAGGTGCACGGCCTTGTCAACCGCGCCGGGCCCGTCCTTGTACGGATCGAAGTCCTTGCCCGGCTCGTCAGCAGCGGTGAATGTCGCAGGCTTCGTTCCGGGAGAGCGCGGCGCGACCACGTCGTGGAGATGGTCTGGGGTATGCGGGGCCCCCGGCAGCGGGTCCGCGTGCAAGCGGCGGGCGGTGGTGGAGAGCAAACGGTTGGCCAGCAAGAGAGATGCGCGCGGCGGGACGACGTGGGTCGCCAGGCGCGCGGACGGTCCGGCAGAGACCAGCGCGCGAAGGAAAGACATGGTGGGGAGTGGGGAGGGCGTGCTCGTTCAGCAGCGACGACCGCTCGAGTTCAACGTTCTGCACGACGGCGACGGGTCAACTCGACGACGTCGGCGCAGAGAGACGCCTGCCCCGGGGGACGCCGGGAATTCTTTGCTGGCCAATCAGATTTCGTGTATTCAGATGCCCGCCTGCGTCCCGTGACCTGCGCGCGGTCGCGCAGGGCGCATATGCGCCGCGTTCTGCCATCGGTCAACATCTCACCATGTCTGCTTCCATTGCGAAAACGAAGAGCCAAAAAGGAAAGCCAACGCCCCCGACGACGCAAGGTATGTCGTGTGATTCATGCACAAGTCTCGGGTAAATCATTGGGCGACCTTGCCAGGCAGAAATTCAGCAGAACTACAACCGCCTTCAAAATGAGCTGCAGACTCTGGCCAGTAAGATCGGGGAGCTCGAGCAAGAGGCGGAGGAGCATGGGTGCGTGCGTTCTGACCTACTCTGCCATGTATATACTGATACCTATCGATCCTTGAACCACTGTAGTTTGGTGCTGGCGACATTAGACGAAGCCCTTACCGAGGAGCCTGATCGCAAGTGCTTCCGGCTGGTGGGTGGCGTGCTAGTCGAGCGGACAGTCAAAGACGTCGTCCCGGCGCTGCAGACAAACAAGGAGGGGGTACGTGTTATATTTGATTAGGTTGCTACACCGAGCTCAAATGCAGTTGTGGGATAGATCCTGAAGGTGGTTGCAAACCTTGCAGAACAGTACAAGTCGAAAGAGGAGGAGCTTGAATCGTTCAAGCGGGATTACAACATACGACCAGCCTCGGCGGCGTGAAGTAGTGAAATTCGTGTGGTCGCAGATGGGCTGGGTATGCGGGCGGTGAGACGGGTGTACGGTAAGCCTCATGCGGTTTTCATGCACCGGTTCGGTTGTATCAACTCGTTCCTCAGATATCAGGCAGTGCACGAGAGGATTGCGTGGTTAATGCTCCGCATAACTTCACCGACATCAGAATTGAGTGCCCTCCATGCCTTCTGTGAATGTAGTCCAGATGTATGAAATACAGGACGTCATCGTACGTTCTGTAATACGACTGCTGCAATGCAGCGCTCCGACCGGTAATTACATAAACATGGTTTTCAGCTTTGCGCATGAGAGACTTTTGCATTTGTCCGTGCCGGGCGACGCTTGAGCAAAGGTGAGGGCGGTCGTCGACTTGCCTGTACTGACGATGACGAAGGCTTAGAGATCCTATGCACCGTGCGGCATTTTGTCATACATTACATCATTACATCCTCATACACATTGCACCTGCGTAAGCGATCCTAGTGACGTCTGCTATTATTCATCCCTGCGTGTACGTGCAATATATGATGTTGGAGCAGAGGCGTTGCCGCAGTAAGATAGAAGTCACTGATTTGTGTAATTTCATAAACATAGTTTTCAGCTCTGCGCATCAAAGTCTTTTGTATTCGTCCGTGCCGGGCGACGCTCGAGCAAAGGCGAGGGCGTGACGACGACGAAGGCTCAGAGATCTCATGCACGAGTGCTTCCGAGCAGCATCTTGTCGTGCATTACATCCTCATACACATCGCACCTGTGTGACCGATCCTAACGGCTGCTCTCAATCATCCATGCGTGTACGTGCGATAAATATTGTTTATGGACGAGAGGCGTTGCCGCAGTTCACTGATTTGTATTTTGGACGGGGAGAGGGTTTACATCCGGGTCGAGACGATTACTACGATCGAAGAACGGGTTCCTGGCAGGCACGACGATCAAATTCACACAGCGTCTCCGATCGCGTCGACAGGCTACGGGCGCCAAATCCATAAACCCCCTTCTTCTCTGCGAGTTCGTTCAACGCCCCGGGGCATCCTCTGTGCCTGCTGTCCGCGCGCGAGAGGTCTCCATTGTGTTCCTGCAGCACATATCGCTCATTGGTCTATGTCATTCATTTTCAAAAATGTATTTTAACATCCTTTTCCTGTTCGCTCTCGCGTTCGCCCTCTCTGCGGCCGCGGCACCCACACCTGTCGAGTGTACGTGACGCAAGCTTGCGTTTTTATCGGATAGAGGTCACTGATGGCTACCATATGTCTAGTCAAGACCGTCGATTTGATTCAAGAGCTTGGAGAAAACGTACCGGATCATGAGTCTGTGGCGTCCGCTCTTGTACCTTCTGTGCCTGCGGTCGCAGAAACAGATGCTCATTCGACCATCAACGTGACTCCTTCGCAGGCTACCCCCGATTCCCCGCTGAGCGCTATCCCAACACTCCTGAGACCCTTCTCGTTCCTTTTCTCCTCATTGGCATTACCAAGTCCGTCCGTGGCCGGCGCAGGCAGCCACTCGGAAGCTCCCCCGAGCCCGCTCGCGCCGGGGACAGATAGCGTGACACGAGCGTCCGCGACGTCGTACTCGTCCGCGGCGCCTTCCACTGATGCACAGCCTTCAGCCACGCCCGGACCAAGTGGTGCGCCTCCCATATCTGCGACGCTAACGTTCGCGCTTGCTGATCTTGATTAACTGATGTGCTAGTGCCGTCTAGCGGACAGTCGACTGCATCCGCATCTGCTGAGTCTATTGCATCTGTTTCGTCCGTCCTAAACTCGATATCGGGCTCAGTACCGTCGAGTTCGGCGATTGTGACAAGCTCATTTGAGGTTCCTAGTGTCATCTCAATAGCACCGCCGTCAGTCGTCTCGAGCGCCGCTGCCTCTTCCGTTTTGGGCTCAGCGTCGCCCTCTCCTGTTTCCACTGTTGCGTCGAGCGCATCTGTTCCTCCCTCTGTCTCTTCGTCAGCATCTGTCACATCTAGCTCCACTCCCAATGCATCTCTCGGATCCTCATCCGCAGTGTCGAGCACTGCGTCACCTTCTACATCATCAGCTGTGTCCTCGTCGTTTGTCATCGCTCCCGGAACCCCGTCGCTCTCTGCTTCCTCGGCCACCGCTACCGCTAGCTCGGCTACGCCCACCGGCAACCCCTCTGCTTCCGCTTCTTCCGCAGTACCTTCCTCGGCCGCGCCGACATCTTCTCTGCAGTCTGTTTCTTCTACTCTGTTCTCCTCCGCTTCTGCACCTAGCGACACATCGCCATCCTCCGGCTTCTCGGCGACGCCATCCTCTTCCTCTGCAAGCGCCAACACCACCCTCTCTGCGCCCTCGAACTCTCTTTCCGCGTCTCAATCCAGGTCGGAACCGTCGTCTTCGAGCGCGTCCGCACCCGCAGCCAGCGCGAGCGCGCCCGTCGTGCAAGAGTATCTCGACTTGCATAACGCGTACCGCGCGCAGCACAACGCGACGCCGCTCGCGTGGTCCGACGACCTGCAGGCGACCGCACAGGAATATGCGAGCGACTGCACGTTCGCGAACCCCGGCGGCGCGCTCGGCGCGGTGGGCACGAACCTCGCGGCAGGCACAGGCGATTTCTCCGCCGCCGCGGCGGTGGTGCTCTTCATGAGCGACGAAGGTGATGCCTCCCCTCGTTTGCGCCCGGAGACGTGTCGTATTTATGGATATGTGTGTGATGTAGCCGAGTACAACACGACGCAGCCGACGTTCTCGCACTTCACGCAGGTCGTGTGGAAGGACTCGACCCAGCTGGGGTGTGCGTCAGCAGTCTGCGACCAGATCTTCGACGAGCCGGCGACGTACCACGTGTGTTTGTACGACCCGGTGGGGAACGTCGTCGGGCAGGAGCTGTCAGTACATTTCTGGCATTGTTCTTCCATGGTCGATAGCTGACACATGTGTCGTTGATTACTGTAGGCTCAACGTTCAAGTCTGAATTTGAACTCCTGGGGAGGTGGAGCCTGCCCACTGTTCCGTGTCGCTGTTCGCTGAGGCTATTATATCGACGATACTGGTTAATCGTGCATCCCAGACTGGTTGCTGAGGCTCTCCGTTATTTGTTTCGCTTTGCTCTTTGTCGAGCCGTGGTTATATACCGGTCCATACATTCCAAGGAAGCTCGAGGCATAGTCCTGGATGTGTATACATATCGCCGTCACATCTCGCTCGCGTCTCTCGAAGTAGAATGTGCCGCCATCAGTCCGAATAGCCAATCCAGCCGTTCGTAGAGTTATCAAGATAACACCTAGCGGTGAGTCGCCCCTCGATCAGCTTCGATCACTTGTGGGTGCACTGGGTCCACGCGGCAGCCTCGCGGTGATGCAGCATGTCTGTCCACCAGCACCCCCAGCCGTTGGAGATAAGCCTCGTGCATCACGAATGCGAATCTATCGTTCCCAGAGATCTTAGCTAACTCACACACCACACATGCCGTACCAATCGACCGTCGACGATTGGGCAGAGCACCGAGGGAACAGACACCACAAGAGATAAGGAAGACACTGTACCTCGGCGCCCAGGACTATCGCAGATGCTGATCAGCGACGCACCTGAACTGCGACTCGTTCATTGTGGGACCAGACATCTCGACGAACAGGTAGTTCCCGCCACCAATGGGACTCGCTGCCACTGTGTGCGGGGTCAGCGGGGCCTACGTTAAGTATGGTGGATAACACTTGCCTGCGCACGCAGATCAAGTCATGCCTCCGCACTTTCTTGGTTGTCAACGAGGTGGTACGTCTTGGCGATGATGGTCATGTCGACTACCGGCGGACGAATCGTCGTCGTCGGAATCGCGTACAGATCGACGGGTAACGCCCCGCCTGACTGGCCCTCGTGCGTATGGTAAAGCCGCCCTTTACACCTCTTCGGCCATCGATTGCTTGTTCCCCTCGGCCGGGGCGCGGTTCATGTTGGTCACCTCGGTTGTAAGCTCAAACGGACCATATAATACACGAAGATAGGTAACGACAGGCGTGACAATCGCAGAAGCTTCTCGGCGAATCCTCTCATCTCACATTCGTCCAATACAGGTCCAAACATATTGATTAATAAGTACTTTCCGCTGCCTATCACAGTGGCCACATCTATGCCCAGAGTCAGCGTAAACCATCCGAAAATATGATAGCAATATTTACATGCATGGGCAGACTTCAGCCACGCTTCAGCGTTTTCATTGTCGCCTAGGATCTGGTACGACCGCGCGATGAGGATCATACCGGCCACGGGCGCACGCATGGTCGTTGTGGTGGGTAATGCGCGGAGATCCACAGGCAAAGCAAAGCCCGGCTGAACTTTCTGTGCGCTATAGTTCCGCTCAATGATAAAGCCTTGGTTTTCCAGCACCCGCATGTCGTACTCCACAGCCTCCTTCCGTGCTGCCTCGTTCATCAGATTTCTGACTTTGTCGCCCAAAGTGCGGTTGAAGCTGGCCATCTCTAATTTAATCATCGTGCTTCGGGATGGCGAGTACGTCCCTTGAAACTCTTGCGCCCACTGTTGAATCTCTATGACAGGCTTCAAGATGCTGAGCCCTTCGCTCATGAGCTTCGCAAGGTACTTTATTCTTGTCCGGCGATCCTCGTCGGTATCCTTCCGTTCGTCTTCGCAGAGCTGACAGTCACATGGGCGGCCGATCATGGACGGCAGAAATCTGCAACAGTCTTCGTAGTAGCCTGTGGTATAAGGGATAGTGATCTCTTCGCCTGCTGCGATAGGTCGTCTAGCCCTGATTATGATAACGTCCCCAAGCGATTGCCAACCCGCATTTGCCAGGCATGCATGGTTGAACATAGACGTCAGCGCGTACACTGCTGCTGAGAGGTCTGTTGGGGTTTCCAGTGGTCTCCTTATCCTAGAATGGAATGGCCCTATCGGAAGAGGGTTGAGAGCGTTGTACGAGAAGATGCCTTCGAGACGTGCAACATCGATGTTTATCTCAGGCCTCAGAGGATCAACGGAAACAGAATCGTCTGATACGACGGGAGGATATGAGGGAGGTGGTGGCGGGCCCAGCATAGAGATCAAAGACAAGGTTATATTACTCAGGATTAGCCAGAAGCGTATGAACACCATGCGGGACACTTGCGCTCTGCATCCTGGGCTGAGACTGCGAGAACCCGACATGTGCGCAAATTGTGGTGTGATTCGGATTGAGATCCTCGAGAAAGACGGAGATGATTGGTTTCGCGATTACCTATGAAAGAACGTGAGTTCATGCGGTTCACCAAAGCAAACATTAATGAACTTACTAGCAGGTGGCCCGCTTGGACATCCTTCGTCGCCACGACACCTCGACCCGGTGGCTCAGCAACCGTACCTCAGTAGGACCCCGATAATTAGCGGCATCGAGACGAGAATTAGTGAGCGCGTGTTTATACATTCGCGTCCAGTTATGATCCCCGGACTTTTGTTCTGTCTGCCAGTTTAGAGAACGAGAAATCTAGTCCGCCACGTCCAGACCTTTCGGGTGGAAGCGTTGCCACTCTACGAATCTGGCGTGCGCTGTCGCATAGTTTCCTCGCGCATACTCTGCCTTCACTTCTCGGAGCAAGGCTTTGTGGCGCAAGGCGTCAGGAGTATCAGGATCCGAACGGACACGTCTTGCGTCGGCAAGCGCCCCAGAATGCCATTTCAAACAGAGATATACTTCCGAACGATTGGCGAGCAATACGATAGCGGTTGGGTCAATTCTCAGCCCGCGAGTATACGCGATAGCAGCTGGTACCCACCGACCGGCTTTGAAAAGCTCGTTCCCTGTGGTTTTCCATGCGTCCACAGTGGACGGTGATCTCGGCAGTTGTAGATCCTTACGCCATGTAACGCCATTGAGAATAGAATCATGGGGGTCGACGAAGATAATATCAGTTGGTGAGTCCACACGGACTGTTGAGCACAGCTTGGAGCGCGCCGATACGCACTAGGTATATGAGAATGTGAGGAATGTCGCTCCCAATGGCCAGGCTGACTTGCCACAAGGTACAAGGGTACGACATAGCAGATAATAGCTCTGAGAGGGCGAAAGTAAGAAATCATAAGCAGATAAATAGATAGTCTGGACATACTCGATGTGTTTTGCACATAAGCATCCTTGAAAGCGAAGCTACCCGCAGATGTCAGTCGCTGCACCAGATTGATGTAAACTACATCGAGACTCGGACGCACTGCGTTCAAGTTGACTCAGTGGTGTGGTACTCAGAGGTCTCTGAAAGCCTCCGAAAATCACTTGGCTTTGCTTTTCCTGTTTACGCTCGCGCTCTTTCTTGCTCCATGCGCAGTTCTGCGTGATTCAGGGGTTCGCAATCCGATCGTGGCCTGGGAGGCAGAGTGCGACCTGTGTCAAGCCAGTCCCGAGGATATACTTTCCGGAGCTCTTGGGTGGTCATTGACAATCCATCTTTCGGCGGCTTGAAACTTCGACCAACAGGATTCGCTGTGCAGTTGATGTGCTGCATGGCGCGCACCTCCTCGGTTGAGATGCCCATGGACGCAGCCATCGAGTTCAATAAATCTCGGTACATTTGTTTGGTGATGTATGGAAACACTGGAGTCCAGGCGTGGTGAACGCAAGAAGCAAACGTTTTAGGTAGCGGATCCGCTATCGGTCGGACCTATTTACAGCCAAGTGCTGGTGTTTCGATCTTTCTGAATTGTCCCATACGTAGTTGAGATACCTGCAGTGAATAACTCCGACTTCCTGATTTGATGCGCCAGGCGCTTATGTGCGGAATGTCGCGGATCATCAGATCATGCGAATTTGACCAGCACCAGTACTTATATGAGCGAGATCTAAAGGACGACCGCTTTGTCAGCGTACGCACTTGCACCAAGGAACTTATCCACATAACGGACCACTGTAGAGATATTTTAGGTATTCTTGCTAATGTATCATGAGCGGGAATCCTCAACGTGCCGTTTCAAATTCGCCCATCAACACGATGTCTCAAAATGATAGGTGAGAATCTGACGTGTCTCGCAGGCGACCACAAGGTCTCACCCGAGGTGTCGTGGTTGGACAGCGTACCTCAGGACGAATACCGATCTCAAGTGGTAGATGTCCTTGCAAATACGATGAACAATTGCCTGGCCGAACTTGGATATCACCCAGATTTCACACAGCAGTTGCAGACCATTCATGAGTGGAATATACGACTCAGGAACGAAAATGCAAAGCTGTTCCAGGATAACAAAAAGCTTGCTCAGCTAATTGGAATGCAAAATGAACGGATCTCTAAGACCGTTCCGAACATACCCCTTAACCAAGGCGTCGCGGATCTACAGATACGTCTACAGGCAGTAGAGTTGAACCGTCAAGAACTATTGAATCAACATCATGCCGCGTATGTCTTTCGTAATGCTCCTTGCTTCGCATCCAATCTTATACGATCACAAATCTCATGTAGCTTGGAGGAGATAGGCTTCTTACGACAAGAAGTTGCCCGGCTCAACCGAATGCTACGCGTACGATTAACATCGACGTCTGGTTCTTCCCAAGTTCCAGTTCAGACACAAGTACCACCCCAGACTCACATCCCAGTCCACACGCACATCTCGCAAACGGGCTTCCTTCCGATGTACGACGGTGAGTTATGCCATGTTTCACATTGCGGTCAACGTAATGCCGACATAATTAGGTAGTCCTCCGGCGCTTCCTGGCTTTTACTCCTCTCCGGGTCAGCAAGCCCATGGTTCACGACTTAGAACAATCGATACTTCCGTTGCGCGTTCTCTGACACATCAAAGCCCCACGGCGTCGGCGATTGAGCGGATGGTCCGTGGATACATGCTTGATCCTGGAACACCAGTCACCCAGATGCCGGGGCGGCGCTCATCCGACGTGGCGATGACTGCATATCCGCCGGCTGGTCCTAGCGCGACCACCAGCCCGAACGTTGAGATGATCGACCTGAGGACCCACGAGGAACCAGAGCCAAAGGCGGAACCCCAGCCAACCCCGCAAATCAACGGTGATGTGTCGCTGCCGGAGACTCTGCCGCAACGTGCGGAAGAAACACAGGAGATGCAGGAGGCGCAGGAATCCGACTTGATACAGGACTGCATTGACGCGAACTTCGTTGAAAAAGAAGATGAAGAAGGAAGCGGCAGGTTTTGGTGCCGGATGTGCAGGTATGGCCTTTTCGTGTTGATGTTGATGTGAAAGGCCGGACTGTTCATTATTGAAATTTTAGATCGCGTCATCAGGCAGGCATATCGCAGGTTCCTCCAGAGCCGTTCATGAACGCGAGTAGAGACTCGCTTATCCAGCACTGCGAGGCTGAACATCCGAGTGGATGGGAGCGCCTCAAACAGGCCATACAGGAACAAGAGGGCAGCGATTAGGGTACCATCCTGCATGCACTATCAAAATCATATATCGGCCAACGAAATCCGCTCCTCGAGACAGTGCGCTCAGGCTCGGTGTGGACGTTGTTGTTTTCTCCGTTGTTGCCCATTCTTAATTTACGCCTTCTGTTGTCACTTGATTCTTGCTGTCACATCGCTGTCCTGATCTGTTATATTACGTCCTGGTTACATTTCAAAGTTGTCCGCTAGTTAGTGTCGAGACATCCCAATCCAGACCAAGAGGCCATGTTCCACCCTAGGCAAGTTGTTTGGATGATGATGTGGAAATGTTCCCCACAGACGACGAGCTCAACGAGATGAGTGTCTATAGCAGTACTGATGGGCCAGATGCAGCCACGTCAGGCCCAATCCTGATCCAATCGCTTCTCCAATATCTGTTCCAAGGCAAGCCATTCCTCGCATTGGAGCGGACGTCACACTAACGCTTGAGTACCGACGCAGGCGTCATTCTGTCACAGGCCAGTTCCTCTCCTTCGAGATCGTTCAAAAGTTGTACTAAACGTAAGCAGGGAATCAAATTCTGGACGCGCCGTGCCGACGATACAGTGTCTTTGAAAGTCTATGTGTCAATTCTGGTCTTCTTTTCCATGTAAGTGACCGATTGGCTGAATTGATGGACTAAAGGAGAGCTCATATGATATATAGCCTACAGACAGCCCTGGAGACGTACAAAACATGGTTTGAAGTGATCGCCAAAGAGCACTGGGTGAGCTTTCCGAGCCATGTCATGCTGTACCATGGTACTCATCGTAGGTGGCGTCCAGTGGAAAAGTCCGCTGCATTGGGCTGAGTTCTTTCTGAATGGTGTTATCTGTAACCTATGCGAAGCTTTCCTCATCCGGAGGTGCTGGAAGGTATGCGCCACTCCGAGTGTCGCGACAGCAAAACTAAATATGAACTCGTCAGATAACGGGAAAGAACCATTGGCTGCTTGCGCTACTGACAGCGCTAGCAACTTCTACATTCGCTGCCAACATATACCTGGTAAGACGACTCAACCAACTATTATGCTGAGTGCTGAACCAGGCGATAGGCAGTAAAGATCGGGGAGCACATAGGCGCTATGACCGGGTATGCAGATGTGAGTAGAATGTCACTATCATCTGGCGATAAACCTTGAAGGCATTACTTAGCCACTAAAAGCAAGTTACTGGGCTTTCCCTTTCTGGGTGTATGCCTCGCTCGCATTGGCATTGAGTTTGACTTTCACACGTAAGCAGCATCTCCTTGATATCCCGGGTATTTATGCAAGGAAATCAGTGTCAATCACCCTCTGGAAGACGAAGACAGGTCTCAGCCATGCCGACAGGGTTGTGAAGCATATCATCAGCTTGACTTGGGAGACAGCGGCGTTGCCCACCATCTGCATGATCCTCGCCGTTGGCTTCTATTGCAGCAAGCGGGTGAATCATACGTAACACGGTCAAAATCAGACATAACATACTGATCTCATACCCAGATAACAAGCCCTCGACATCTCGACTTGTTCTTTAGCTTGCTCTCCGGCAAGTTGTACACGCTCGGAATTCTACGAACCATAAACTCTCGTGCTATTATCCGCGAACGCCTTGCGTCCACAGATCTAGGTCGCACATCGCTCAGTGATTACAAGTGGAACCAGCCATCGTCTTCTACTAACAATGCAGACAACCAGCCGGTGGGTGAACTGGCAATCACCTGATCCGACAACGTATTGACGATGTCAGCTTCATCAGCCGTTCGCCCCTAATCAGCATATGTCAGGCGAACGTCCCTCTCAATCTAGCCAGCTCGACTCAAACCCACAGATATCGGTAGCCACAGCCCTTGGAGAAGCCCCCAGCGATAATGATCTCAGTCATCGGGAGCGCCGACAAGACGCTCGCAGTCGTTCCAACTCATCGAATGCCATGCTACCATCGTTTTCCTAGTATTGTTGAAACATTCCGTCCATTGTGTTGATATACACTTTACATCTGAAGATTATACAGCAATGGCATCTGACAGCTTGTTGAGCAGGGCCGTCACACGCTTAGCCTCAAATTCAGCAAGCGTAGCGTTTTTCTCCAGTGTCAAAGCCTCCGTGACAGCGGGGAGCGTGGTTGCACCATATCCTATACAGATTCTCATGAGTCAACGTTGTGGAAAGTCCTGTTTATCAACACTCACCCAACCACTTCCCGGGCGCTACGATGAGATGCTTGTACCATTCGCGCTCGGAGATACCTTCCTCTGAGATGAACCCGCGCTCGAACACCCTCAACTTCTGGTTCACGTGTTGCACACGCTGCGCAGCCTTGAAGAACTCCTCGAGAGGATTGTGCTTGGTGTGTCGGTGGATTTTACGAAGGATCTTCTTAAGCCATTCGGGGAGGTGGAGCATCTTGCAGCTATCGTGCTCTGACTTCTTGGGCAGCTTCGCGAGAGCCTCCTTGAACTTCTTCTCAGCCTCGGCCTTCTCGACGTCGAGTGCCTGGCTGGCGGATTGCAAGTTGGAGATGGAACTGCGGAGGCCAGAGAAGTTGGGCGAAACTGCTAGCGTAGATGCGATGCTTTCGACTCTGCATAGACTCCGTGAGCACAAGGAGGTCGCATACAGGAAGGAAGAAAACGCACTTGTTGAGGTAGCCGTCCAATTCTAATGCGTACTGGGTAGTGTTGAGAGGGATGATGATAGCATCAATGATGCGAAGAGCTGTCAAACCCATGTGCTGCGCGACCGCCACCTGAAAGGCACCATGTATGAGCTGCAACGTCAGTATGTTGTTTGGCTTGACCTACATGGCGCGAGAAGCCAGGGTCCCCGTATAGCTCCTGCCACCTTTCCGAATCATAGATGGAGTGGTAGTGATACGGCGGGTCAGTAGGCGTGTTCCCGAACCCTTGATCCATGCTGGCAATCTGAGCGAAAGGACGTCATTGGACCGTGACTAGTACATGAAAAGGAATACGACTTACACCGAGGTGCTGCAAGAACGGTGTGAAATCGCTGCCCGATCCAAGGGGGGAGATACCCGTGTCAGAAGCCTTCGCTTGCTGAGCCGACTCGTACATATCCAAGAACTCCGCATCGCTCTTGCCGGTGAAGATACCAGAATCGCCCATGGCGTCCCATAGAGTCTTGCCAGGAACTGAGGGGTGAGACACGTCGAGAGCAGACTGACGAATCAGGTGGGCGAGAGAAGGCGAGCCGCTGGCGCCCCAGCGGGACCCACTGACAGAGACGTCTTATGCAGCCAAATCAGCGCCAGAGCGTGCAAGAGAGTAGGATGGCACGAACCGACGTTCAGATACGCAACAACGTTCCCAGTGATCCATTCGGGGAAGTCCTCTGCCCATTCCGTGCTGCCGATGAGACCATACTGTGCCAATCTTATCAATATCCACTACGGCATGCTATCCGTCGACTTCCAGACGTACCTCTTCGGCATCCCAGCTCGCAATGACGATGTTTCTGAGAGGCTTCCAGCCGTTTCTGAGTAAGGCACCAAAGCCGCGGACGATCTCGTGTAGAGACACGGTGCCAGACACAGGATCCACCGCTCCCATGACCCATGCTGAGAAGTATTATAAAGTCAAGGTAACCACACGTTGAGAGAACAAGACGTACCATCTCGATGGCATCCCAGCAAAACTGTCTCATTGCGAATGTGTCCCGGGATAACAGCCATAGTGTTCCAGATCGGGATGACCTTCGTGTCCACTAGAGTCTCATCAGCGTCAACTGCGCATTCATCTGTCTACGCACATACCATGGTTCACAAGTCGAACCTTCCGCTCGCTCGCCTTGCCCGTCACCTCGCGGCCGTCTTCCAGCTCCTCAAGAAGTCGCTGCGCGTTCGCCCATGAGATTGGCAGACTGGGAATCTTGGGAATATTTTCGCCCTCAGTACGCGTCGCGTTCTCGTACGCGGGTACACCCGGCGTTGTCGGGTCGCCAGGGTACGCGGAAATGAACTGCACGCTGCCGCGCTGCACAGACGTCGGGTTGCGCGCGGGCCCAGCAGGGTATGTCTCGTAACCGTTCTCAGCGGTAACTGCTCCGTCGTCGCGCGTATCCGAGTAGATGAGCACGCCCGCGGCGCCGTGTTCTTGCGCGAGTTGGATCTACGAGATGAATGTAGGCATGAATGGGACTGATCCGCACAGCAACATTGCCAAAAAGGTAGATGAATGCACACCTTCAGCCCACGGAAGTTCCCGCCGTAACGTGCAAGGATGATCTTGCCCGTTAGGTTACTCCCCTTCTCTACCACATTGTCGTAATCCTCCTTGGTGCCGTAGTTCAAATAGACAAGCTCGCCCTCGACCTCGCCGCCCTTGCTCAGTCCATGCCATGTCGGCACCGCGACGCGGTACTTTGCTGCCTCCGGGTCTAGCGGGTCGCCGTCCTCCTCCAACTCCGCGATCCAAGCCTCCGATCCGTCCTCAGCGAGAATCGCGAGGCTGTGGTCGAGCGGTGTGTTCATAACAGGGTAGTACTTGTCGATCCACGCGATGGGCGCGGGCAGCGCTGAGATGCTCAGCGTCGCGGCGCGAGAGGCGGGCGTGCCAGCAGGGAAAACAGGGACGACAGGGGGCGGAACGATTCCGAACTCGCGCTGGAAGAGCTCGAGTATGGTCTTGGCGTCCTCGAAGTCCTCTGGCGAGCCTGCAAGGTGCGGGTGGGTGGCATATTGGATGGAGGCTGCCAGCGCGCTTCCTGTGCTCGGTATAGACCTACGACAACCGAATTAGCTGAAGTCATTCCAAAGAGGTTGCGAGATCCACGTACAGATACAGCTCCTCCGCATTCTTCCCCGAAATCCCATCTTGCTGTTTAAATGCGTCCAATGCCCAGAACTCTGTAGGCGCTACAAGCTTTGAACCTGTATGTTTCTTGAAGATGGCGCGTTTGGCAAGAACAAATATTGCCGCAACAGCATAATACAGCACGAGGAACTTGAGAAATCGGCGCCAAAAGTACTTCCGCTGGGATTGAGGCGGTTCTGGGACAACGGCTTGCGTAGGCAAGACGTCTCCGCGGTAAAGGGCATTTTTCTCTACGTCAAGGCCCTTCATGCTGCCTGACGAGTTGGTCGACAGAGAGAGCGAGGCTCGAGTGGTGCCTGTTTATAAGCTGAGCGGATAACGAGAAGGAGCACCCCTGATTGGGATGGAACTTACAGATTGTCGATCACATTCCCACATCAGCATGTGCATACTGATGTCGACTTACGGGTGGAGATGATGCCACAGCCAGTAGGAAGGTGGATCAATACGGCGGCAAGCACTTGCACAAGAGAACTGGAGCAGAGTGCATTCGACCGCGGCTGCGGTTGTGCGGGATTCAGGCGAGGTCGTATACATGTAGGCGCTGAGCACGATGAGCAAATTGCCGCGCCGCCTTTCGGGCGCTTACATACGTTCGTTACGGTTTACCGGCATCGTTTTGAATGCATTCAGCCTATCCACGTTCATCTCGATGACTGGCCTTCTCACAATCGCTGCGGGTGTGGGGACCGCATGGCGGTTAGTGCGATGGAGGATGGGTGAGTCGAGGTAAATGGCCTCTGCCCAATGGGCTAGGCTCGGCTTGAGCGGAACGTAAAAACGACCCATTGTATTGGTGTGAAGTTCATGGCCTGAGTCTAGACTCAGGCTATGTTTCTACAAACGCAAGTCACCACTCCTTGACACCTGGACGATGCATGACTATTGTTAGACAGCGCTGATCACATATCGACCGGGCACGGTCAGACCGGTTCGTCCCTGCCATGCTGAACTTGCGTGTATTCTACAAGTCTATGTGATATGTTGCGTCAGGATGCAAGCACAGTGATAAAGTTTGTTTCTTCACTTGCTGCACCACATGAAACTCTCTACTGGGCGGATGCTCTCATCTGAGATGAAATGCATGGGTCAGCCTTTAGTCTATTCTTGCAGAGCACAATATGACCTCGGTAAACGGGGATTTTATGCCGGAACAGATTCTCGTCCACTCCACTCCAATTGTCCAGTCGTTGTCCGGTTAGTCTTTCTGCCATGTGTCATGGTCGATGCACTCACGGAGTCTCAGACAGTAGAATTCCGAAGTGTGTTCGCACATCTCATTATGCGGACGACGCTTTTGGACTGGTACCGAACGGTACCCGTGAGCTATTACACGGCATGGTACACGCTTTCTTCTCGGCTAATCTATGTCAGAACATGCTACTGATCGCCGCTCAGGGTAACATGCAGATTCGCGGTCCCGCTTTCATGTAGGAAGTTGGTGTTCATAATCTCACGCCCTCGGTATCGAGATCCTGACGGTATGGACCGTAAGTTCGAATGCCTGTTCCAGGCGTCCACCATACTCCACTCAATATGCTTGCCGATGTCAGACGGACGGGAAACCCTCTGTTCTTGATCACCCCGCTCTTCATCAGGATACCTAGCGATATGGGTGAGGCAAACATGAGTGAGACTCTTGTCTTTACGTCCATTGAGAACAACAACCGAATGCCTCCTTACAGGCACATGACCAAATAATAAATGGAACACTGTCAGTACACGTTTCTGTCCCAGGCTGGAGTCGTTAGCCCATCAATGTTGAATCTACTGGATATCCAGGGTGTATAACGATCGCAGGTAGTTCTCGCTATGCGAGACGGTGCTGCATCGTGGCTTGGAAGGCATTTGCGTCGTGGTGTTGCTACCAGTCAATCAGCCTGCCTCAGGAAGTAGTATGATTATGATGTAATTCCTCGCATCTGTGAGTGTTCCTGCTGCGTACTCTATCTCGACTCATATATAGTATCAACCCTGTGCAACCCTCTCTCCACGCATGCTTAATCATCGACACCGTTATTCAGCTATGCCATATCGACACAATCCTTTCCTCATTTTCTGCATCGCTTGCGCTGCCTGCGTATATCCAGTACTCACCGCTCCGCCTATCCTACCCTCAAAATGCCAGAACGATCTCAACATCTTAAGCAACATGCTTTCATTCTTCGCCATCAACTATATCGCGCACGCTGCGACCGCACCCCCAGTTATTGGAACACTGGATCCCGCTATTTACGTACCCAAGCTCAAGTATTGGCTCTCTATTCCACAGCTATTTGCGATCATCTATCCTTACCGGGGTCTACTCCGATCCCTGTGCATTATCACCGGCATGAGCAGTCTCTCTCCTCTCAAACTCGATGATACAACCATAGCATTATTATCTGGTGTCGTCCTTCTGGTTGCACGAGATCCATCAGATTGGGAACCGTCGAGTCAACCGGAGCTCATTCGCGTACGTCTCCCTGAGGAACTCGAACTCAGCCGCATTACTGACAGGTATGTCCGACTCGTCAATGTCCACTTCTCCGCTGAACTCTTTGATGACAGCGACGCGATGAACTCGCACGTCTATATTGAGGTTGAAGATGCGCCCTTTCCGACAACAAGGGTTGATCCCAAAAAGCACAATATAGTCGGGGAAATCGAGTTGCCACAAGGGTATCGTCTCCGCGCTGTACAGGCAGATGTTTCCTGGTTCTACTTTGCCTGTCAAAACACAGCTATCCAATCAGTCCTTGACCTCTTGATGCGTTTACCAATTGGTGATTTACCACGTTCGCTAGTCAGCAATATACAGGTACGCAACTTGTTCAACTTGGGAATACTGTCTAACGGATTTTCCTCGCATCAATTCGGCTACACCATGCCGTCGTCAACTCAACTATCACTTCATTGTTGCTGTAGAGGAGGTATCGCAAAATAACTGAGGACCTCCCTGCAAGCCAACATCGCGACGACGGTCCGTCTCGCGATCACACCCCTTCCCCCGCTCTATATCTCAAGCCGCTTCCGGTTCTGGAACGAGTCAGAGACTTTCTGCGCTCTAGCGTGGATGATACCAGCAAGATCAATCTGGCACGCGCCCGCTCTGTGCTACCGATGGTGATCTCAATTGCACAGCTGATTTCAGCCACCATCGCACTTTACGAAACTCGAGGAGACCAGATCACTCGATTCGGTTACGCTGCCTACGGACTTTCAGTAATCCCCTACGCCATTATGACCGTCGTCAACCTTGTATGCAACGCCTGCGTAGGACAATGGCCATGCCGGTTCGTTTTGAATACTGGGGTTTGCGCGGAAGCGGCCCGCCGACCCGATGCCAAGATCGATGGAGTGGTTGGCGTAACGAAGAAGCTGGAAGACTCGGGCTTCCAGTCTCCAGACGATGCTGGCACGCCAGACGAGAAAGGCGGATACACGTTGGCATTCCTATCCAAGGAGTGTATCCATATTGATCGTGGTGACTCCTCCAAGCGCGAGCTGCTCGTTGTCCAGGTCGGCGACACCACCAGAAGATTTCAGTTGCTCAAGACACTCCCTGAAGAGACCAGCCAAAATGCCTCGTCCGTTGGGAAGAATGCGCACTACACCTTTTCAATCTCATCAATCAACAATCATCCATACCAGCATCCTGCGGAGTCATCAATCGAGGACGGACTTGGTCGCCTCTTCAAGAAAATTGTTGGCTTCTGTGTCCCCATGTCATTCGCGATCATCCTAATTCCACTACCTTACCTCATCACCTACGCCCTCACCGGTTTCAAAGCGCATGGTAGTACTGCTGCTCAGAGGGGATGGATGATGACCTGGTTGGTTGTCGGTCAGTGTCTCGCATTTGTACCGCCATATCAAAACTCGCCAGCTCTCTCGAAGCTTCGTCAAGCGGACGCCAATCTTGGATGGTTTAGAATCCCGTCAGAAACAATGGTTGGGCTGGTCATCTTGTGCGTGATAGTAATTACTGGTGTTCCTGCCCTCGGAGGGTTCTACGAAGTAGGAAGGATGTTTTTGGTCGATCGCGGGTTTCATCGGTGTTGAAATGACGGTGCGTTGTGTAATGCTTATGTCGAAATTTACCAGCACTAATGACAAGCCTAAGTCAACAGATGTTCCAAGCTGAACACTGTGGCAACATCTGCAGAGAAGCATATCTGATTATTTCTCCCCGTCAAGATGCAGGACCGAGTGTTCTCGTACTACATATTGTTGATGCACTTGACATACAGCTTCGTTTAGAACACTTCATGTTTATCAGTGCATCTGTCCGCTTCATCGTTTTACACGCCAGCACCTCGCTAGATGTTTGGCGTCTAGCGATGTATATATAATGTACGGCTTCATTGTGTCATCATCCTTACCTTCTCTTCCCCGAGATCTGCGCCTCGCTGTCACAACATCTTTCCCTTGCTGTATCTGCTGCATGTCTGCATCGCAGTCTCGAACACGCAGTTACGCAATTGAAATTGACCACGTTGATTATGGCAATCTCTGTCATCATACATAACATGATGATATATTTGAAATTATGAACTTCTGCTTTGCTCAAATGATTGACGAGAAAATTGCTCAGTTGAGGTTCATGGATGGCCGCGAACACTGTAGAATCTTCAGATGCCAGTGAATATGGATGACGAAGTAGATGTTAAACCACTAGCGTCTCCGAAGTTCGGTTTAGCTCGGTTCAGGGGCCTCTTGCCCTGAACCTTGAACCGAACCTACATACCACTAGCCTGAACCGGACCGAACCTTGGACCGAACCCTCTGAACGAGTTCGGCAGGTTCGGAGCGGGTTCGAACCTGGCGAACCTTCAAATCTTAAATGGTCATATAGAAGATGTTAGTCTTAAATTTTGGGTTCACACTATAAGTATTACACTTCTCCTTGACAGATTGGGAATCTTCTTGCATGAATTTCGCAGTTTCCACATGAGTCATGTTCTGTCATGTTCCGGAGTTATCACATATGCGGTCCTCGACTGCTGCGTTTTACTGAATGGGTACTTTGCATGCAGGACAATGTTCATCTGCCTCATGTAGACAGGAATCGCCGCACCACAGTTCTCCTCTACAGATGATTCATCCGTACTGAAACGGTGCCCACAGGCCCGAACTGCTACTGACACATAGTGTGTGTCTTGGTCTGAGCCGCCGTTATGTCTGGTTCGAGGGTGGACGAATGCATTCGCTAATGACAAAACAGTTCATGTCCGCTCGTCGCTGCACCAAGACACCTGCAAACTTATGTGCGTCGTTATCCGAAGCCGGACGCATTCATTCAAGGAAGATTCATGAATATGCAAGAGCTAGAATCTGCATATGAGGATTAGTGCGTCAGCGGGACACTGGAGATACGCAACCATGTGGGTCCTGCATTGACTCTTTGTTGACACTGACCGAATTCTTGACCGAATTCGCGGGTGGGATGCCTTGACTGATCCTTTTATATTCCCTCCTGTACCATCAGGACGTCGCCGCAGGATGCCGCCATATTTTTGAGGCACTAGCATGGTCATTGATTTGATGTGTGACAAGCAACTTGCTGTGGTGACCCTGAGACCTTATATACAGGTTATGTCGTCTCGTCATCTAAGTGGGCATAGAACACATAGTACACTTCAAGGGTGAGTATGCATTTAATTCTAACTTACCACCATATTTATCGCACTTTGACAAAGTCGCCTAGATACTTCTCACTGATGCCGTTTCTCACGACTGTATTGTTCACCCTCTCCGCCGGATGCTTGATCCTCTTGGCATCGCCGGCGGTCTCGATTCCCCTCCCGCTCCCGATTTCCAAAGAATGTAAGCGAGATCTGAATATCATATGGGGACTCGTGCAATTCTACGTAACAAACTACGTCGCCTATGCTGCAAGTACCCCTACGACTATGACCGGCAGACACATACCCGTAGGCTTCGGAAGATTCAAGGCCTACATCCAGCCAATATGGATAACCGTGCTGCTCGTCCCATTTGCCGGCCTCGTGCGATCGGTCCTATTGCTTGTTGGCAGTATCACCATAGATGATGTATCCCTCGCGTTACGTGTACGCGCTTTGGTCGTGGTGACCCGCGTCAAAGGATGGAAACCCGCTGAGAATAGGGAAGAGCTTGTTCCCGTACAGCTACCTTCTGGGTTCGCCGATGTCGACAGAAGGTAAGTCGCGTAATTCCCTTTCTCACTGCAAATCTCACAAGATATCAGCGACACTACAGCGTCATTTGCAACGATTGAAATAAACGACCCAGAAATCGAAATGGAAGATATCGATTCCGAAGAGTTCGAGGTTTTCGGAGAGGCTCGAGTACCCGAGTGTTATACCCTCAAGTGCGTCAAGGCGTCTAATCTCATGGAGATTGACATACCATATTTGACTCACCTCGTGGAATCGAACGTCCGTGAAATAAGTGGCATCCACCTCTGCAGGTCCCGAAGCTGGCTGAAGGCGGGCATAGCAATATTCCAACTTGCGTCAGCCCTCTATACCTTGTACAGGACTCGAGGAGATCAGATACGTCGATATGGGTACGCTGCATACGGGCTCTCCGTTGCTCCATACGCCTTGATGACCCTCATCAACCTCTTCTGTAACGCTATAATGGGAGAGTGGCCATGCCAATACCTCCTGCGCACGGCGATTCTCGAGGAAGCTGAGCGCCGCGAAGGTGCACAGTTTTCAGGTGCTATTGGAACATTAAAGAAGTTGGGCGAGAATGAACAGGATGGGGCCGATGAAACGAGCGCGTCCCTCTGCCTCGATCCCAAATACACTTTGGCGTCCCTCTCACTGGAGGCCTGTGGGCCCGGGGAATCATACGCAGCACCAAAGACACTCGTCGTTCGAGCTGACAACATCACGAGAAGGTTCAGGTTCGATCCTGTTGTTGTTCAAGATGAAAGGGACCACGTCTTCAAGGTCGCTTCCCTGAATGACCGCACGTTTATTGACCCATAACTTGGCAGGTCGATATGGAAATTACCCGACGCCATCATCCTCATATCAGTATCAGATACACGCCCTTCATGCAGTGCCGCAATCCCACTGGAAAGATATATCAGAAACTAGTAGCACTCCCCTACATCATCGTCTATCCTCTGACCAGCTTCGAGCCCCGGGACAGTACCATCGCTGAAAGGGTATGGATGATGGCATGGATGTCGTCTTGGGCAGCTGGCGTGATATTCGTCATTCTACATGTGCTTGCGACGATGCTAATTGCGGCCATGTTCCCCCACAAGCGAGATAGAGTGTTCCATTTCATTGGAGCCACATACGAGTTCGCCTTCGTACTAGCTGGGGCTCATCCGGCTTTTGGTGGCTTCTACGAGGTCGGGCGAATTTTTTTAAGAGGAAAGGCGTTACGGCAGGAGCGAATGTTAAATCAGACCTACTTCACCAGGTGTGTCTCATATTTGGCTTCTGATCGTATTGCTGACATCCTCGTCATGTACTAGCTATGACTATTCAAACGAGCGCGCAACCACATTCCTTCCCAGCGTATCCCAAGACGGACAATGACAATATGCCCTATGGTACTTCACTATATTTACCTATCTACTCTGTCTGGAACTGCATTGTCGTTTATGTATTCGCGCTAAAGTCATGATGCAGACTCTTTCGGTAGTGGTTGCTTTCGTGGGAATCTAGGACTTTCTCAGTACATCATACTTGAGATGACTTCTTGTAGGAATCCCTCATACCTCATACCTCGTAGCTAGCGCAGATAATTCCTGAAGGTCGCTCTCCTTTAGTCACGACAAATCAGCTTAAGTGTCTCAGCGTGATCTATTTCACTTGAACGTCAAGCTCGCGTTCCACACAACGCTACGTGGAATAGCAAGTACGGGATGACACGACGGAGCCGAGTCCGCGCGCTGCTTATACAGCTCCGTCAATGGTGATACAGAATATACACAAAACAAGAGAAGCTAGACACATCAGATTGCGAGGAGGCCCAGGTGACGGTGGAGGGGGGAGGGCACGAGAATGGTGTACGTACGCATGCATATGCCAAGGGGCACAACTATAGAATGCGGGGAAGGCATGTGCGACAAGCGAGAATGGGAATTGGGCTGTGAGAGTGCAGTAAGAATGGAGAGTGTCTATCGTCGAGTATGTGAATCTGGATATGGATATGGATATGGATATGGATATGGATATGCAATGGTCCGTCACCGTGTCCGTATGCTACCGTACGCAGTAGGCAACGGCACTGTCCGTCTCACGTGCGTGAGAGCGACGAGACAGGGGGAGCAGGATAGCCCTGCCGCTAGAGAGGGTATCACACGGGCCGACAGGGCTCGGGTACAGCTTTTCACAATGCAGATAGCGTGTGGTGGGTCCAGGCGATCGGCGGGCGGTCGCACAGGCCGACAGAGCAACATAGTGAGCACTAGGCGCGTGGCGGGGATAAGCGAGCGTATAGCATAGCGAGCGTAAGATAGTCGATGTCAGGCGCCATCCGAGTCGGTCGACTCGTCGTCCGTGTGCGCCGCTCAGCACTGGCCGAGGAACGAGTTCTTCGGCCACTCCTGCTCGTAGTCGCCCTCCCACGTCGTCAAGTTCGGATTCGTGTACGCCTCCATGTACTGCTCGATGTACGCCGCCGTCGGGAAGTCCGGCGGGTCGCACCCGATGTTGATCGCATTGCTCGGCTGGTACACCCGGATGTAGTCCACGCGCAGGTGCACCGGGAACGGGATCTGCGCCAGGTCGATCTGCCCGAAGTTGTACGACATGCCCAGGTTCATGATCAGGTACTATCGGTCCAAGAATCGAATGCGTGAGCCTCGCCAGACAGGTAGTGGAGTGACGGAAGACGTACCATGGGTTCTTGCGACACCGGCCGCGCCGAAATCTCGACCCTCGAGTCCGCAGCGAGCCCTGCGCCGTTCAACGTCCACGCAACCTGGTTATTCGACACCCACGTAATGTACTGCCAGCACGCGCACACATCTGAGTCAGCCCACCCGCCTTCGCATATGACAGTAGTCTCAGACGACTCACCGCGTCATCAAACCCAGGCGCATACTCGAAGCCGTATATCGAGTAGCACCCCGTCTCCCCCTCGTAGCAGTTCGGATTCGTGTCCGTGACCACGCTCGTCGCCTGCTGCAGCACGCCGCCGATGTACGAGTTCTGCTTCGAGATCGTCGGGTCCGGGATTATCTCGTTCTCGCTCGTGTTGAACCACAGATAGCCGTAGTTAAACGGCTGCACCAATCCGATATCGACATCGAAACCGAGATCAAAACGCGCCAGTCAGCATCGCCTGTCCCGCAAGGAAGACACACACGCACGCGCGCGACTCACCGCCCACTGCGCGCTCTGCGACACCTGTCCCGTCAGCGGCGTCCCCGTGATCTGCGCTTCGAACATGTCGATCTCCGGCGCCGCGCGCCCGACGAACGTCCCGTCACTGTGCTTCGGGCCTGGATGGCTCTGTCCGGAGCACGTGCAGCGGCTCAAGCGCTGCCCGGGAAGGAACGACAGCACGCCGCCGTACTCCGCGTCGCCGTCCACGGTCGCAGCGTGCGGCTGCCCGTTGACCGTCTGGTTCTGCACCGTGCCGACATCGCACGCGTCGTAGCTGTATGGCCACAGCCCGTCGAGCGACGCGCCGTACCCCGCGCGCCCGAGGTTGCCCATGCTCCACACGGCCGGCCATAGCCCGACGGCGTTGTTCGTCCCCGGGAGCGACACATTCGCCTCGACGTACCCGCCCGTGAAGCAGAACTTGTTCCACGAGCTCATCAACCCGCCCTGGTAATTCAGATTGTGCGTCTGCTTCTGTGAGAGCGTAATCTCCAGCGCGCCGTCGTTCGTCGTGATCGCAAGCGGGTCGTACCACTCCAGGTTGTTCGTCTCCCAGTAGTGGAGGTCCACCGCCTCCCAGTACGGATCGTCGCCCGGCCAGAACGTCCGCCCAGGGGTGTTGAACTCGTCCGAGAACACAAGAGTCAGCTGTGAGCCATCGTGCAACGACGTCTTCGTGAGGGCCGACTCCGGCGTGTCCTCGTCGATGAGGCCGAAGTTTCCTGCGATCTTCGGGACCTGGCCCGACGCGTTGATGCCTCCGATACTGTACGCTCCAAGATTGTCTGCTCGTTCGTTCTGCACATAGTTGATCACTGGGTACCCGGCACTGGAAAAGAGTCAGGACTGGGCCCACGTCTCTCGAAGGCACGACTCACAAGAGAGTCAGTAGGGAGCCGACGAGCACGACGAGGGTGCCTATGTTGACAAAGCCACGCCAGCTAATCACGGTACCGCCGTGTTGGATGTGATTGGGTCTGTCGCTGGCGTCGGGCAGATGCAGCTCGTCATCGGCCTCTTTGGTCTCGGGCGTGACATACGCATTCCACTGATCAGGATCCGCGGAAAGCGGAAACTGCGGCACAAACTGTCAGCATGAAATGTCCGTGGCGCCCAGTGCTAGATTGTAAAGGACAGTGAAGTAGGAGGCCGCGCGCACTCAGCCCCCATCGCTGGTCAGACCCCAGAGAATATCCAACCAGCGTCCGGACGTCTTATGCGGGTGCATATAGGAACAATGGTGATCGACCAGACGCTGAGCGATAGCATGGGGGGCTGTACTATCTTTGGATAGACCCCAGAAGTCATGACCTCGGCACTAAGGCTCCCAGCATGCGACCGCGGACAGCCCAGATGGGCAGCAGAATCACTGAGTCAGGTCGTGATCACGACAGCTGGTAGGTACTTGCCTATCCAGACAACCATGGACTGCTCGCGCCGTAGTGTCCCGTTCGTGAAGGAAACGTAGAAAACGGAATGCAAAGCGTGTATATGCACCTGCTGACTTGGGTGTACGCCCAGTAGGCGCTGGATAAGCGGGTACAGTCTGGGAATATAGATATGGGAACTGGCTTGGAGTGCTGTTCTACATCATATCATGGCCATAAAGAGGACGAGACGTGCACCTCAGAGGTCGTGAATATGTCACCATCGTGGGCGAAGCAAAAACCTAAAGTGACTTTCGCATCTAACCAAAGAGACCTTCGTGCGATTGGCAGGCACCGACACGACGGCGTTTGATGCGAACTTTACATGCGAGGGCGTCATGCCATTTTTCGAATAGCGAGGCTTTGTTCTCGTGCCCGAAACGGAGGTAACAGAAGAGACTCACGTCTGTTCCGAGAGAGGCCATGGAGAGCGGTCTGCCTGCGCCCAGATACGGTGAGTCGAGCTGTGCAGCTGCGTGAGAGTGAGCTCGAATAAGACGGGTTGAATAGACGTACGGCTGATGATGATGGGGTGCTCCCATAGCTAGCAAAGCTGTGTAGACGGCTTCCGACGGAGGAGGTAAAGGGAGAGACAGGGACGGTGTTAGAGGATGTGAGTGCGCGATAGCGTTCGATGTTGCGAGACCGGTGGAGGTCAGGGAGGGACATGGCGTGCGCGAGCAGGACCGGCGAAGGTATCGGCACGCAGATGGAGGGAGGGGGGCAGGAGGAAGGAGAGAGGGTCGAGGCGGGCGGGGAAGCGTCGGGAAGAGGATGCTGCGGAGAGGAGAAGAAGAGAAAGAGGGTGGCACGCCCGTGTACAGATCCCGCGCCCATTTCGGGCATCTGCAGCAAGTGGACCTGGCCTGGCGTGTTCAGATGTGACAGGGTTCGCAGAAGCGTCGAAGAAGGGTGAAGTGACGTCAAGAACTCCCTCCACAACACGCTATCCTTGCTATCGCCTCGTTACCTGTCCGGCGCCCCGTTCAGCCTCCCTTTCCCGCTCCACGCTGCCCACTCACCGGCCAATCGAATCCCTGCGAAGGAGCGCATCCCCGGCTTCTCCAGGATACCGATGACGTCGCCAGATTGACTTTGGTGGTTTATCTCGATCGTCCTCGTACAGGCGTCTATTCACCAGAGGGCCTAGGCCCTTGCTCCTCTTCCTGCCTGTTTTGTGCCGTCGTCTCGCTGCGTCCACCTCGCGGCCAACGTCCTTATATCACTGTACGCACTCGCCCAGCCATGTCGACTGCCAGGCCGGTGTATGTCCGCGTCGCATAACCACCACTCCACCAGCTGCGCCGCTAGGTGAGCCGTGTTTCTAGCTCATCTTCGCTTGCATTTGTGGATCCTTGCTTGTTCGATGATGCGTTTAGCCGTCCGCGCCCATGGGCTTGGCATCCACCCAGCGGGCGATCGCGCGATCGGTCTTTCGCCTTTGTCATTCGACAACTGCTAGACCGTCAGTGCTGTGAGACGCATACAATCCACTCAGTCACCTTACACCGCAGAAAGTGGCGAGTAGTACCTCGCTGGCCATCAGAGACCAGCAAACATCGCGTATGGAAACTGCAAAAGCTTGCAACATTGAACGCACTCTGCTTCGTGGCTCTAGGTTTGTGACACGTCGATTGTCACAAGGAGTGTATCCGTAATCAACTGGATTCGCCAGTTGATCGTCGAATGCGCGCTGCGCAGCTCTACACAGTAGTCCCCAACAAAACCGCGAGGGGCGAGCTTGAGGTGAGCTTGCCAGCTGGCATCAAGTTGAAGCCACCTAGTTGCCGACGTGCCGGTGCGCGCGCCAATCTTCTTACCGCAATAACGATACTTACTTGCAGAGCACGGCAGAGGCACAGAGCCTCGTCCATGTGAGAACGTACCCAAAAACCAACAGTCCATCCCTCGCAAAGACTTCGTCGATCCATCGCATTAGTACATCGCGAGCCTGGTGACGTGCTGCGGAGAGATTACAGTTTGATTCTCCACCTGTGTAAGTAGGTCTATCGTTATGGGGATGGCTGTAAGTACTCTCATGTCCCTTCCTCGATCACAGCTAACCTGTCAATTATCCTGGGTCTGCGAAGGATTGAAGGGACCGTCGACATACTGCACTACGGTGGGCCCACTCGACTGACTATTCCCGAAGTACCCCTCCGTGTCAATCGTATGGCTATCTGAACGAGACTCAAACCGCGGACCGCGAGAGCAGGAAGCACAAACGGCGCTCTCATACACATTCCGCGACTTCCGCGCTGAACACCGCGATCGCCACAGGCGTCAGGACATGCATAGACGCCATAGCCCCAGTTACGCAAAGTACGAACTGGCTCATCTCGACAGGCACCACATAGAAGCAAGCCCGTACATGTTCGTGACGTGAGCTCGTCATTTAACTGTTGGTACCTGTCGAACCTTCGCGCGTGCCTGACACTCGTCTAGGCTAGGAACTTGTGTACGCACGGCTTCTGCGCGCGCTCTGCCCGCCAGCAGACCTAATAGAGGCTCCGGACCTCGTGACTGAATTTGCGCGTGCATGGATGTGGACGGCCAGCGCTTCGCCTCGGCTTTCAAATCTCAGAATTGCGGGAGAAGCCGCCCGGCGGCCCCCGCATCTAGATCGTGCGCGCATGTATTGGGTTATGGACGGGCACCGACGGACGTGTTGGGTACTGCTCCAGCGCGCGGTGTAGAAGAGACGCATCACATGTCTCGCCGTGCTCTGCGGTGCGTATCATATATATATACCCTGACGCGCAAAGTTCATACGCGTCCGGATTGTTGTGACACACCTGGGTGAGTCCAGCTCGGGTGTTGCACGATCACCGGATCGAGGTATCCTCGCACCGCAACGTCCGCGATATTGTACGGCATCTGATTCGATATGTCTCAGGCGTTTAGACTTGGAAGTTAGCAATTAAGATACGCGTGGCTCATTAGGTGACATCCTTTCAATCTGAATCCAGCAGAGCCAGACCGTCTTCGTTGACACTACGTGTGTGCTAACCGCGTAAACAGCATTGCGGTCGGCCCTCCCGAAGCAGAAGCCATGAGGCTGATAAAGAACATCACTTCCCAGTACCGTGATCTACACCGCGGGCGCCAGTCTAGACTCTGATTGATCCGCTCTCGTGGGTCCATGGCCCTCAATACAGTACAGATGCTGGTGATCGCCAGGCAAACATGCATCAGAACCCTGCGTTTATGTAGGACAGCATTCCATTGTGACCATTTACTATGGAAGACACGCTGCTGCATACTTGTGGCGTTTCGCCCCGGTCATCCCGGACCCGTCACAGTAATACGTACTCAGTCAGAACGACACGATGTTTGGATAAAAGTCCGCCAGAAGCCCCCGTCCGCTCCAACAATCCCATCGTCTGCGAGCTTCCGTCTTGCCCTTCATCTGCTCCCGAGAATGTCTGAATATCAGCGCGTCGCGATCGTCACTGGGGCTGCGCAGGGCATCGGCAGAGCGATCGCACTCAGACTGGCAGATGACGGCATAGATGTCGCCTTGAACGACGTGCCAGGCAACGTCGACAATCTCGCGCGTGTCGCGGAAGAGATACAGGCCAAGGGCAGAAGGGCGATCACAATCCCGGGTGACGTTTCCGTCGAAGTGGACGTCAAGACTCTGGTAGATCGGACGGCGGCAGCCCTCGGAAGCGTCGACATTGTACGTGCCGCCGCCATTCTCGCCCATTGCTGGCGGGCTCATTGTATTCGGGGCTTGTAGATGGTAGCCAACGCAGGTGTGGCGCCTACATCCTCCCTTGTCGAAAGTGTGTCCGCGCCCCCTTTCTGCTCTATCGTGGTGATGACCTATTCCTCCCAAAGTGAACGTGGAAACTTGGGACAACACAATTGCTGTCAACCTGAGGGGTACCATGCTGTGTTACAAATACGCTGCACTACAGATGATCAAGCAAAAACGGGGTGGCAGGATACTCGGTGCGAACCCACTGCATTTGTGTATGCGCTGTGCCAAACGGACTCAATCATATGTCTAGGTGCATCGTCCTTGTGTGGGAAGAGAGGCAAGAACCCTCACATGACCTTCTAAGCACCACACTGATAAAGTTTAGGTGCCCAGCAGCTGTCTGCTTATTGTGCCACGAAGTTCGGCATCAGAGGGATCACGCAATCACTCGGTAAGCACCATCTCGATCGGAAAATGACCTGCGCACTCAGGCGAGAAGAAACAATGGACAGCACTAGAGTTGGCGGAGCATAACATCACCGTCAATGCATACTGCCCTGGTGTGATCACGTCTGCGATGAGTGCGCCGCCCCTTGCATTTGCAAAGGGACATTCATGCTAATGTATGCTGCGCCACCAAGCCACGTTGGCGACGGATACGAGCTATGGAGGACGCCCTGGCGCCACTGTCAAGGCGGTACGTCCGAGACTCCATCGTGTCATGCGGCATACTAACCAAATCCATCTACCCGCACAGATTTTGGGCATTCCACTCGACAGCCCAGAAGTTGGTCCGGACGTCATAGCCAGCGTGGTCTCGTATCTTGTCAAGCCGGAGGCGCACTTCATTACCGGTCAGTCCATCGACGTCAACGGGGGCGCGTACATGGGGTGAAGGTCTCAGCGGAAGAAACTATAGGGAGGTCACCTTTGTTGCTACTGACAGTGTTTCACCGCTTGCCGCAGCACCAATATGCATATTGACTGCTACACCGTCCTGGTCGAATCAGAGCCCATTAAGCATGACATGCGCGTGAAGGACAATGATTAGCGACGCGTCTGCAGTGCCCGATAATCCAGAGTCATCCAACCCCATTTGTCATGCGTGCGTTCCGTCGACACGCACTATGCTCCTGCCTTGTCGCGTCGAGCAGTCATATCATATGCTGCTCCTTAGTGAGGCCAAGATTTCTGGGGTCTATGCCTCATCCTTCGGGTGTCCGGGTGTCAGAAGCCCTCGTATGCTGATGCGCGAATGCTGCTGTGACAGAAAGTGCTTGCGAAGCGGTAGCAAACGGCATGGGTCGGTGTCGATGCCCATCGCTATAGAATGGTCATGTAGAGGCCAGGCACAAGAGGGAGCCCACAAAAATAGAAATTGAGTTCGGGACAGAGAGATGTTTGCATCAAAATGACTAGATATGAGCATTTGCATCTTTATGGTGAACTTGGGAGGGAACTCTTCGTTGGCTACTCTTGCCTTACTATATTAAGATATAACACGTGATTATATTTCGCAAATAAAGTGAAGTTGGCCTCTAGGATGTAGGAGCAAGAACATGATAGTGAAGCTGAAGGCTGGTTCTAGGAGCCTGCATCAACCCTCGCAGGGATTTTGTCGATCCGTCGCATTGATACCTAGACGCTCGTCTCACATCGCGACCTGCCGACGGCCTGGCAGAGCCTGGTGAAGTGCTGCGGAGAGATTACAGTACTTTTGATTCTCCACCTCAGTGTGTAAGTTGCCGCAGGGAGGTCTATCGGTATTGAGATTGCTGTAAGTACTCTCACTTATTTTCTTACATTCCAGCTAACTTGTCTTATCCTGGGTCTGCGAAGGTTTGAAGAGACCATCGACATACTGCACTACGGCGGGCCCACTCGGCTGGTGATTCCCGTAGTACCCTTTCGCGTCAATCTGATGGCTATCTGAACGAGACTCAAACTGTGGACCGCGATAGCAGGAAGCACAAACGGTGTATTAGCTACGAGTGCCAGGATACGCATAGATGCCATAGTGCCATTTTTTTTACGCCAAGAACGAGCTGGCTCTCATCTCAATAGGCACCGAACGGAAGCAGGTCCGTGCACATTCGTGACGTGAGCTCGTCATTTCGATGTTGGTACCCGTCGAACCTTCATGCGTGCCTGACACTCGTCTAGGCTAGGAACTTGTGTGCACACAGCTTCTGCGCGCGCTACTCGCCAGCATAGGCTCCAGACCCCGTGACTGTTTGCGTGTGCATGGACGTAGACGTGGACGGCCAGTGCCTTGCCTCAGATTTCAAACCTGAATTCACCCGGCAGCCTCCGCATTGGCCATATAGTTGGATCGTGCGCGCATGTATTGTGTTATAGAGGCACTGGTGGACGTGTTGTGTACAGCTCCAGCCTAGTGCGGCGTAAGAGAGACGCATGGCGCGTCTCGCCGTGCTCTGCGGTGCGTACCCTGACGCGCAAAGCTCACACGCGTCCGGGTCGTGGTGTCTACACCTTCGAGTCCAACTTGGGTGTTGCGCGATCACCAGATCGAGACATCCTTGCACCACAACGTCCGCGATATTGGTTCTGCTCCCGTCATGTATGCGCTCTTTTCGTCCGAGAATCAAGTTCCCTGTGCGATGTGTTTGCTTATTATGTGCTCGTCACGCCGACCAGGCTGCCTCGGAGGTGCTATAATATCTAGGTAAGGAATCTGATTCAGTACGTTTCAGGTCTTTAGACTTGTAGGCCTGCAATGGAGATACGCGTGGCTCATCAGTTGACCTTCTTTCAAATTCTGAATCCAATGGAGCCAGACCGCCTTCACTTCCAGGTCTGCCAAATAACACTAACAACGTAAACAGCATTGTGGTAGGCTTTGCGGAAGCAGAAGCCATGAGGTGACAGTCTTGGCAGCTGATAAAGAACATCACTTCCCAGTTCCGTAACTGATCTGCATCGTGAGCGCCAGTTCAGACTCCAATTGATCCGCTCTGGTGGGTCCATTGCCATCAATACAGTCCGGATGCTAGTAATCGCCACCCTGCACAGGCAGGTACGTACCAGATACCTACATTCTATGAAAGCGTTCTATTGTGCTCACTGACTATGGAAGACATGCCACCCCATACTTGTGGTGTTCCATACACTGGTCACCCCGGGCTAATTACAGTAATACGTACTCAGTCGGAATGGCGCGATGCTTGGATATAAGTCCGCCAAAATCTCCCGTCCCCTCCAACAGTCCCATCGTCTGTGAGCTTCCGTCTTGCCCTTCATACCCCTTCGAGGATGTCTGAATCTCAGCGCGTTTCGATCGTCACCGGGGCTGCACAGGGCATCGGCAGAGTGATCGCACTCAGGCTAGCCGATGACGGCATAGATGTCGCCTTGAACGACGTGCCAGGCAACGTCGACAATCTCGCGCGTGTCGCGGAAGAGATACAGGCCAAGGGCAGAAGGGCGATCACAATCCCGGGTGACGTTTCCGTCAAAGTGGACGTCAAGACTCTGGTAGATCGGACGGCGGCAGCCCTCGGAAGCGTCGACATTGTACGTGCCGCCGCCATTCTCGCCCATTGCTGGCGGTATCACAAAACCTATAAACCCACCTTATAGCTTGATGGTAAGGGGGGGAGATAAAGCACTTAAGTGTGGGGGAGGTAATGCTGTTAAGCGCAACAACGAAGTGAATAGAACTGGGGGACAGGGTGCCCCAGGATGCTGCCTTATATACATGAGGGAAAACCCCCCAGGGACCGGTAATGGACCCCTGGTACCTAGCTGGGTAAGGATTACTAAGTATCATGTGCCCTATGGTGCGATATGGTGTTATCGATGATGTCATAGTCTGGCCCTGCCCTGCCCTGGGCCTAGGGTCCAGAATTGACCGGCCTATGGCCTAGTGCCTGAGCCTAGCTCCTACCTATGATGTCAGAATGATGTCATGGTCCAGACAGAGTCTGGTTTCTATCTAGAAAAGGTCCGGCATCAGAGTCCAGCCTGATGTGTCCAGAACAAGATCATGTGTCGCTTATTTAAGCGGATAACCCCTTAGATATGCAGCTGTACCCATATGCGGACGGATAAGTATGGATAAGTCCC